TTTTAATCTCACCGTAAACCATTTATAATCCTAATTGAAACAAAAAAGGACCCTCTAAACCTGGACATTCATATGAATAGATGGTACGACAGAGCTAAAACTCCGCTGGGTTGTACCTTCCAAATTTTGCATTAAAATCACAGCCGTCTATGTAACATGAGATTGAAAGAAGTACTCAATCAAATTAACAACAATTCAAACCAAAGTTGTTGGTTTTTGAGGGGCAAATGACGATGATCTTGGCCTTGACATTGACCACGGTTTTCAAAATTATTTCAAGGACAAGTGAATATTTTCAAATGCAAAACCCTTTTTTGCACCGCAATTGACTGGAGGAACTTTTACGTCCAAATATGGTCATGACCTTCAAGGCCTTTTCAAGGTCAAATCAAGACGTTGTCCCAGTAAAATGTTCGACAGCATAGTTGTGAGGTTGTAAGGTTTATCCAAAGATCACCTTGACGATCAGCTTCGAGGTCTAGTCGAAATTTCCAGACGGCGAAATGGTGATCTTGATCATAAAATTCAAGGTCATCTCAAGGTCAAATGAATATTTTCCATGGAACCCCGGAATTGAAAAAAGGAAATTTTACGACCAAATATGACTTTGATGTCAAAAGCAATTTGCTCTACCAAAAATATTGGACGCCACAGTTGTCAGGGTTGTGGGAGTCACCCAAAGGTTACCTTGATGATGACCTTCAAGGTCAAGTCTACGTTCAAATGTGACCTTCTCTCGTCGCCTTAACCTTAAATATTATTTGTTACGTAATTCCTGGGTTTGTATGCCAAAACCTTAGCATCACTTGACCTTGAGAGATCATGGTCAAGGCCATGTTCCAGGCCAGGGTCATCATCATTTAACCCTCAGAACCCTAAAACTTTTTTCTGGGATGTGGTTTTGACAATTATAAATAACCTATAGTTTTCTCAATGTCCAATAGATCATTATCGTTAGCAAATGGAAGTGATATCTAACTAAAACTTGCAACTAACAATTATAAAAATCAGAGAGATCTCCCTTCCATGCTTTTATATACACTAGATCAAAATGACATCCTAGAAAATCTAAACTCCACTTAAAATAACTCACCTAGTACGAACCGCCTAAATTGCTGCTTCTGATAATGTCTTCAATGGATCCTGCAAAGATAAAAAGATTTAAAATATCTTTAAGGGTATATTGTAAGAAGGAACCGATTCGATAGGGACAACTATCATGAGACATATAATAAATTGGTAAGACATAACAACCCTTATCACATTTTTTGTTGTCTGTAGTCTAAATTGTAATTATGGTGAATGTACCACTACCAGTAATCGGACAAATCTGATTGGGAAAAACGTTATTTGAAGTCCTATAGGGTGAATGTACCAGTGGTCGGACAGTTTAGACAAAAATGGAATACAAATAATTAAAGACATTGAAACTGCAATAGAGCTGATAAATAATGATATGAAAAACGTAAATAATTGGTTAAATGTGAATACACTCAAATTAAACACAAATAAAACAAAATCTATACTAATAGGAAAATCTTTAGATGAAAATATGATAAATCTTACGATTAATCATGAGAAAATTGTGTCAATCGAATCATTTAAATATTTGGGCATATGCGTAGAGTGTAAATTAAAATTGAAGGGCACTATGAATATATTATTTCAAAAATATCCAAAACGATAAATTACTTTTAAACAATTTCGCATAGCCTAAGCGTATATTTTAAAAAAATTGTGTACAACACTTTCTTCCTCATTTGTTATATTGTTCGACTATTTTGTTCACTGCAAACCATAACTGTATTTCCAAAATTACAAATATTACAAAATAAAGCTATGAGAACCATCTTAAATATAAAAATAAATATACTATTATAAATTTTATGCTGAAAGAACTACAATGGTTAAATATCAAAACTAATCTTCTACCAAATCACTTGGAAATTTTATTGTATTGAACATTGAATAACAGTTATTCTACTAGAGGGAGTATAGACTTTCATTTACAAAATTGCAGTAGCAATATAACGAGCAAGTCAGTATTTCAAAAAGGATTGTACGAATTTAATAAATTAAGCAATGATATCAAGATGTGTGCCTAATAATAAAGATAATATATTATTATTATCAATCAATATACTAGGTAGACCTGCTGCCAACCTGAGAACCTGCTTTCTAGTCTGTAAAGAAATTCCAGCCAGAGATGTGAAAACAACTAATATACAGCATGTAACTATTGGTATTATAAAGCCAAAGTTGATGCAGATGGCAATAACAGTCAAGTAGTGTCCTACCACACACAACAAGATGCACAGAACCACAATAACATTGCTGCTGAAAGTGATTTATAGTCCCAATGATACTTGAGTTATGTGATATAAAAGGAAACATTATAAGCTTGAGTAATGGAAAAGATGAGCTATCTAAAGTTTATATTCTATTGACCAATCAAATATGTTTCACTCTTTTATGAATAATAACACTTGAAACAGGCAAAATGGTAGCCTGATTGGATATCGGATAGTAAATTTTCACTACATCTACTAAAAAATATAGTATTTCGCATAATTCCAACGTTTTGCTTACCTTTTAAAAAATGGGTGACCAGCACTGACGTCCAACGGAGACTGCAAGGGATAAAACACATAAGGGAAGACAGAAAGGGAAAAGAGAGCAAAGACACATGAAGAGATAGATTAAATGGTAATTTTTAGTAACCCTCTATGCAGAAACTAGATATCTAATACAAGTGTTTGCAAAACTAAATACTCAACATGATTTATAAAGTCATAACTTCCTTATTAGTACTGGTAGGTAGATGCTGCAAGTAACAAATGAAAACTAGCAATGGGCTCCTAGACTTATCATATAAAAATCATTGTATGCAAAAATGGACTCAACCTAGCCTGGCTCTGAGCTACAGATATAATATATTTGGGCTACAGAGACCTATTTCAGCTATTTTTGTATTTTCTTACCCAATTTTCTAAGAGCCGGAGTGAAAGCGAACTGGATTCAACAATTTAATTTTAACAGTTTAAATATTTGTATCACAGAACACAGAAAATAAAACTCACAAAACGATGAGTTCAATAATGACAGTATACGTCAAAAAATATACATACCCCAAATATACATTTTTATGTTTTCTCTACGAACTAACGGCTAAATTTACAAAAAAAACTTGCCAAAACTCTTCAGGCCCTTATCAATTTAATTTTAACAGTTCTAATATTTGTATCACAGAACATACAAGCCACAAAAACAATAAGTTCAATAATGACAGTTTACGTCAAAAAATATAGATTGGAGATATACAGTTTTCTGTTTTATGAATAATAACACTTGAAATGGGAAAAATGTAGCCTGATTAGGTATCGGATGCTAAGTTTTCACTAAGTCTACTAAAAATATATTATTTAGCATAATTTCAACGTTTTGCTTACTTTTTTGTAAAAGCATCACCAGCACTGACGTTGCAGCTTCAAAACCTGAGAGGAACAGGCATAAAACACATAATGACAAAAGAAAGACAGAAAGGGAAAAGAGAGCAAAGACACAAGAAGAGATGAAAGGAGGAAGTAAAAAAGCTAGAAAAAAATATAGTGATCCCACTGTGGTCAGATCACTCTTTTATCTTAGCTGTTCGATACTTTCGGAATTCATGGCGAGTAAAACCATTACTTGGTGTGGAGTTTTATTCAAATTCGCCAGAACTCACCAATCAATAAAGAATGAATGGTCACATGCTTTCGACGTTTGACGTCATCCCTTGGAATGCAAAAACCTGGGTTCAAATACCAGTAAAAACACCCACCATCTTTGACATATTGACGTATAATTGACCAATCAACAAAGACATGATTCGTCTTATTTCTCATTCGTCGCTACACAAATACGGTGATTCGCCCTTCAACATTTCGAAGGTAAACACTAGTATGAGAGAAAGTAAAGCGCAGAACTTCGAAGACCCCAACCATACGTCAAAAAAAATGCATTCAGTCGGCCCTGATCCACGTGTGGTCAACTGAGGCCTGACAAGGCGCAACACAGGAAATCTGGCAACGTTTTTCGTGGTGAAAAAGCAGCCGGAAACACTGTCAATATTGATACTGTCACTTTCAAACTAGTAAAAAAAGAACAAAAATCGAATGAATTCATTTCACATTGCCTTCTTTACAGGGCCAGCTATGAATTCAAATAATACTATGTATGTATATACAGGAGGGTCGATATGTAACTGACTAGTTGGCATCTTGAATATTTGCGAAATGAAATAAAATACGTCCATTTTTTTCATCTTAATATTTTATTGAAACTTAGAAATTATGTATGAAAAATAATATCAGACAAATGTCTGGTTCTAGGAGCCGCGCAAGCCTGAGCCCTCTTGATTACATTTTCCACCACTTTTTGGTTGGTTTCGGGAGGAATATTTTCAATCGCTCTCGTAAATTTCCGCACCAACCGACTGGCCATATTATTTCGACCGAAATCTTGTCGTAGCTTCCGAATCGTTGCAACAAACGACTATTTAAGTAAAACGTTTTAACAATACGGACGCGCTATGGGATCGGTAATTACCTCCTTTACCTCTCTCCTATTTGGAGAACCATGTGTAAGTTTCACTAGAGTTGATCACTTCACAAAACCATTACATTGAATTGCCTCTTCTATTTGTCTCAAATTTAATTTAAGAATATGCTTCTGATTTTGCAATACTGCTCGTCTGCTCACCCAAAAATGAAAATAAAATGTTTGGAATACACATTTAATAGAGTAAAAAAATATCACTAAATAATACACTTTATATAAAAAGCTTTAATTCACAATCACCTTACCAAAAATATCAGAAAATGTTAAAGCTACTTAAATAAAATATATTACAGTTGAAGAAATCTGGAATATAAAAAACAGTATAAAAAAAGATATGAACGGCAAAAATAACCATACTCTTCTAACATTTTATATTATTATTAAATTTGAAAATTGAGACATCCATATTTTTAAATATAAAAATTTATAAACACTCGTTTGGAATGTGGCTTCGTTCTTTAAAAATATTCTAAATTTAAATAGTTTGATTACAATAAAAATAGATGAGTCGGTATCAATATTTTCAACAGCCACATTTTAAACAAGGAGTTGCTACATGTATAAGATTTGTAAAAATTGTTTACAATAAAAAATTATACCTAACACAATCTAGTAGTGAAGTATATAGTACGCCTAGGTATAAACACTTTTCATAAATCGTTATAATAATCTATATGCACAGTTGTTAATATATTTACAAGAAAAAATAGACGATAAGTTACTTATGCGTTGATTTTTATATTTAAATATTCATTAACAATATTCGGAGACAGTAGTAAAGTATTTCCAAATCAGTTTGAAAGTTCTGGCACAGTTCACACTATTTCATACGCTCTAACTATAGGACCCTAAACGTGGACGTATGTAGACCTACTGTGATCCTTTTTCGAAAAGTTATGAATTTCTATACTCTCAAAAATCTACATTCTTAATTCCATAACTATACAGGGTGTCCCAGAAATAACACGCCAGAGTGACACGGGGAGTAAATTGGCTTTAGATCAATCAGATAAAATCAACATGACCTTGGTAAAAGTTTTCACATTTTCGAGATATTGCCACTTTTAAGTTTTTTCAAAAAATCACTACTTTTTGCCTGTTATGGCTATTAAGAACTTCTAACTTATGAGTTTTTTGGTGGGCTACTATTAATAGTTGGTTGAGACAGCCGAGTATTCATTTCATTGAAAACTAAGCTCGGTATGCTGACATTCTGTGTCAGTGTGAAAACCTTTACTAAAGTTTGACTAATTACTGTGAAAAAAATGTGCCAGACTGAATCGGTAAATGATATTAAAAACTAGCCTATTTAATGCTCTTTTGAAAATAGTATAACATTTGGATAGAAAAGACGGCTGCACTTATTTTTTATTTGTAGTATTTCGCAAGTATTACGACTTCAATGACAAAACTTGGAATTATTAATTTTTAGTAGAAAGAACCTACAAATGTTTTTGAAAGAGCGTTAAAGACATGAATTTTGAAAAATACTCCTTTCTGGTTATTCCGAATCGAATGAGCTGCGAGAGCATAGGAATTCCAAAAATTTCGAAACAAAGATCAAGTTAATATAGACTCAACAACTTTTGACCGGATCATTTTTGAAAAATAAATATTAAAGCGCAAAACAGTCAAAAAACTGGAACACATACTTTTTCCAACTCTACAGTATCATATCACTCTTCTAATTTATTGGTAATATTCTACTGATGACAAGATTTACATTTAGGCCATAACTAGTTTGTATATAGAAGTTGCTTTATTTTTGGACTGACGACAACAAGCACGGGACATCCTCCTGTGGAATGTCAAAAATTTGAAATCTTACATCAAACTGCACCTACATTCCCTCTGCTTCACAAAATTCAAAATTCGATAACTATTTTCCTCGGTTGATTTCTGTAATTTCTGTACCGATATAAAAATGATGTTACAAAAAGAAAAAGTGGCGCCGGCTGAATCTGATTCCGCATCTCCTCCATTCCGTGGGGCCAACCCAACTGAGGAGATGCGGGTTCGAATCCCGCCGACGCTTATTTTTCTTTTCTCTCAAGTTGTTCACAATGTTCTGTTTTTGCTAAGCTTGTCTATAGAAATGACACCAAATTCGTTTTTGGATGGTTTTATTTGAAAATAATGTAGAGCAGAGAGACAATACGTTACATTCACCGACATTTTGCAAAATAAGAACAACATTCTAATACATGTAGAACAAATTATAAATTCCTACTTAATCTATTTTAACTGGACCAAATAGAACCGCGCTATGATGCGCTCTACGTTTATTTTATTGACTGCAGTTCAGCAAATCCAGCGTCTATCTAGATCTACTGAACGATGCCTTTACTGTTTAAAAATGTGTACTGTCCTTTTGAAGACCCATCAGCTTATCGAGGCACTCGTAAAGGAAACTAGGCGCTGCCGGGAAGGGAGGGGGTAAGTACACAGTCACCTGATCATGTGCCATATCACAGTATATGCTCAATAGTACACAACATGCTTTTCACTATTTATATATCACCATACTTGCGCTTAGAATATATGCTGAACAGTTGTCGAGATAGAACATTGCATCAAAAGATTGATATTAAACCTAAAGGGTGTCTCAACAAGAGCGCCGGATTTGAATCTGCCGCCATTTTTTTTTGTACAAACGATATGGTGTTTACTTGATGACAGCTGTCATGTCCAGACCAAGCGATTAGACGTCGTATTCAAATGAGCAACGTTTAATTAGTGTGGAAACTCAGTACAAAAATGGAGAAAGTTACGCGGAAACAGTTCACAAATTATTCTGTTCGCGTTGCTGAATGTCGACGTCACCGTCCTCGTCGGTCCCTTGAAAAAATAGTCGCAGTGCGGGGAAAGTGTGGCCGAGAATCCAGGCACTTCCACTCGGCATCGTGGCCAAGAATTGAACCTTACTAGACCACTCTGCAACGAATTTTGACAAAAGATCTGTGCTTGCATGCGTACAAGGTTCACCTGACGCAAGCACTCAAGCAAACGGACCATGCGCAGCGCCGCGAATTCGTTGATTGGGCGCTGTTCTTCCAAAAAGACGGTGCGACCAGCCACACAGCACGTGAAAAAATTGTATTACTGCGGACCAAGTTTCCAGACCGTGTCATCTCTCGATTTGGCGATCAAAATTGGCCACCAAGATCGTGCGATCTGATGCGAATGGACATCTTCCTCTGACCATGTGAAGGAAAAGGTATATGCGAACAAGCCACAAAGAGTTGAACGCCTTAAAGGAGAGATACGGCGCGTTATCGACGAAATAGAGCCACAGTTGTGCGAAAACGTAATCCAGAAATTTAAGAAAATACCGACCCTGTGCCAGAGATTCCGTGGTGACCATTTACCGGATCTCCTGATTCATGTTCAATCGCAACTATTCCTCTTCACGTTGAAATATAAATACTCGCTTGATTCTAAAAGAAATCGTGATTTTCTTGAAAATCAAATCCATCGCTCTTATTGAGACACCCTTTACAAATATCAATAAGCAGCAAACAGTTGTTTTCTAAAAAATAGCGGAGTCACTCCAAGAGGATGCTGACGGGAGACATCCAGGCTTCGACACAGTAAAGGCTCTAGGTTGAGTATTATTACAAGCTCGGAAAAAAACGAGTTAGGAGAAAAAATGAACAAAAAATAAGTGAAAACGGCACAAAATGAGTAAAATCGACGTTTCTGAAGGTGGATGGAGCGACTAAAGAACATGATCATTAAACGGAACTTTATAACTATTTTATAAGATTGGTTAAAGCTTAACAAAAAGTAAGGGTCGATTGAGTGTTCAAAATTCCAATAACTGTGGGAAAAAGCGGTATCACTGGATGAGCGTTCTAAGGGAAAACAATATGTGAAATATAATAATAAAATGTTTTTATTGTGTGACCCATCTAACAGGTGCGTAGAATTACTGCGGTTGGAAATGTGTAAATATACTAACGCCCAAAAATTGAGTCACAACATCCTCCACCCTTACAATCCCTAACCCCCAATTTTTAACCCCTAAAAAAAGATTGTCGGAAATGTTAGGAACTGAAACATCAAAAAATTATTTTAAGCGTTTTTTTTTCATCTTTTGTCTATAACTCCGCCAATTCTCAAAATTCTTTTGTGGCATGCGACATGGAGTTTCATCCAACTCCGAAAAAAAACATCATTTTTGGATTCACAATGTTTTACGATTCAAGATTTCGTGAAGAGCAACATCAAGGGTCACGTGTTTTAGCCTACTTAATACATAATGATGTTTAATTCTGATTTAGTGACGATTTAGTATGCCTTGTGGAAATGCGAAAAATGAGTTATGAAATAAATGAGTAAAAACGAGTACCATAAAAAAATAATGAGCAAAAATGAGTCCGTGGTCACCTTGACGGGTGACCTTGAGCTTGAGGACCAATATTCTCACATTTATATAATTTTCGATTTAGTGACGATTTAGTATGCCTTTGTGGAAACGCCAAAAAAGTGCGACAAATGAGTTATGAAATAAATGAGTACCCTAAAAAAATAATGAGCAAAAATGAGTCCGTGGTCACCCTGAGGGGTGATAAAACACACTTGAGGGCCGATATTCTCACATTTCGGAAATGTTTTTGTAATAATTGATAACCCATAAAGAAGCAGCAGCACGTTTAAATGCATTTAACACATCGTCAAAATGCTAAAAAACATGGTAACTGCATTTATGCATTTATCTACTTTTTGGGTAGTTTTAAAAGTTATTTCTGCTGCGCCAAATATTCAACTAAATGACGAAATCAGCAAAATATTTAAAAAAAAATTAATAATTGTTTTTTGTAATGTCCTTTTTTTCGTAAATTTAATAAACATTCTTGTCAAGATTATAGGTTTTTTTGGTCCACCGAGTCTTCAAGCTTCTGACCCACCTGTGACTTAGTTTTACATAGCTGTTGTAAAGTATAACTGCTAAAGCAGGTACAGGTCATCATGGTTATAAGAATTCCAATAAAAAAACGCACAAAGTAGATTAATCCGTTAGGGAGCTAGGATGCCACATACACATAAATACACATGTGAAACTTATAATACCTCTCATTTTTGCATCGGGAGTTAAATACAGGGTTGATCTGGTAGCAAACCCCGAAAGTAGAAAGACCGAAGAAGATCTAAAGCACGTTATTTTCAATTATCTATCTCGCAACTATTCAGCCAGCTTTTTACATTTGCACTTTCGCATCACTTCATATTTCGCTGTTCTGCTTTAGGAATATTTGTTAAGCGTCTATTACCTCTAAATTTATAAATTAGGCGAGACAATTTGATAACCAAAAACTTAAACTCGTACACGCTAGGACAAAATCAAAAACTTTCATTCTAAAAAAATGAGCGAACTATTTTTTCTGATCTTACCGTTCTCTACAAATTTTCGTTTTGGTTTTCATACTTTATTCAATCGGTAATAGTATAGCTAATACTTAAAAATAATATTTAGGAACCAAGTAAAAACGTGAATGTGAAAAGTGCGTTTGTAGCTTTACTTGCACAATCTGTGAAAAATATATTTGGTATATAAAACAGTTCATAGTTGTGAGTGATACATAAGCATTGTTTCAGTGTCACCAAGAAAAATAGGAACTCATTTATCTAAATCAATAGAAAACATAACCTACCTATAAAAATACCTTAAATATCGACGGCATTAGGAAGCCTGGCGGGAATGTGTTCAAAATCTATCCGATAAATTCAAGTCGCAATCTAAAAATCGATATTTTGATTCGTCAAGAATTTAAGGGGGTCTGGATTCCCGTAAGACTCAAATCTGTAGTTAAGCAGTGAAAAGCATGTTTGTAGATGTTTAGCTTGGGATCAGGGTGCCAAATGCCTTGGCAGCAAAGGATCAGGTGACCTTTGTGGTCAGCAACTAGACGTCTCATCACCACCCAATGTGTAGGCAACGCTTTCCATCTTTTGGGCTAAATGCAATCTCCTGCAGTTTGGATCAGTCGTCAACGCCTCCAAAATCTAAAATATATTCAAGGTAAATAAGTATTTCTAGTGGAAGTTTAGATATATCTTACCGGCTCTCTATATTTGGTGACGTAAATATAGAGTTCTTTCAACGCTGCGACTGTGTCAAACTCATCTGCTTGCTGTGCAGATAGTTGTTGCATTGCTGACCCCATTTCTTGATCAGTTATACATGGCAACATGGCTACGTCATTGTAAAACTGGGATACCATCTCCCTATACCTCGGGATATCCTGAAAAATGCAACCGTTAACATTTCTAATACACCATATCGAGCCCTGAGGCAAATGTTGAACGAATTCGGGGGTGTGTTCTGAAAGACCGTCGATTGACAGGGTGACAGCTGAGCAATGGTCTCATTTCGGGAGAGGCTTGATTCCTGAATTTCGGCTCAAGGGCGCCATATGGCCGACGTAGTTTTTAGATCGTCAATTTTGTTTTACTCAAAAAAATGGCATGTATTTCTAAGTATTTTGATATAATAAAATATTTTTCCCATACTTATTTTGACTGTACTACTCATTTAAAAAACATGCGTTCTTTCTGACGGACCCTGTACATATAATAAAACAGCAACAAATGAAGTGATTAGATTCACCTTCCCTGGATCACATTTCACTAATGATCTTAGGCTCAGTAGCAACACAATCCGAACAATAATATGGAATTTTTTTAAATCGGTTAAACGTATAATTCAGACGTAAATAAAACCTCTCGAGTAAGATACCAACTCACAAGGTACACAGACATTCATTGAACAAAAAAAAAAGAAATTAAGGAGAAGCCCTGGAGTATAATGACAATGAATTTATGTATTACCCCCCTAGCTAAATGGTTATCAAAAAAAACTAATATTAAAAGAGCTCCGAACGGCTACCGTTGGTAGGAAGTCCCAGATGTTACCCTAAGACCTGAGGGTAAAACGGGAGGGTAGAATCCTATAACAATGAGGGTTCTCCAAAAATTGTCCGCTCGATGGTTGAGTGTAATTATCTGCGCGGTTAAATCCCCAAAAGGGTAAGAAAAAGTCTCCCACACTAAGAACCACCAAGGGGCCGATTTCTAACAAACCCGTAACTTCCGTAACTCGGCGTGTAAACTATTCACAGGATCGACTAGTGGGCCGCAGACAAATTTCTCGACCAGAACACCGGAAATAGCACCAAGTCACCTTCAGCTCTCGTATTTACGGTCGACAGAAATTATAAAAAATGACCTCCAACGAGATGGACAGTACGATTTTTTGCCACAAAATTACCAGACTGAGAAAAGTGTTTTGTTATATTGGGTGATTTTTTTGCTAGTATCTTTTTGGCAACACTGTTTTTGACAGATGACGTGTGAATCGTGTCTTGTGTCATTGCCAAACTTGTTCAGTTTGGTCTATAATTTAACCTTGAATCGACTTACGAACGAACAACGCTTGCAAATTATTGAATTTTACTATCAAAATTCATGCTCGGTTAAGAGAGTTCACTGCTTCCAATTTATGGGCAATTTGGTCGGCCTACTGAGGGAGCTATTCGGAAGCTTCTGACTAAATTTCGAACCCAGTTTACATTATTGGACATTAAACCACCAACACGCAGACGTAGAGTGAGGACTGAAGAAAATATTGCGGCTGTATCCGCCAGTGTTAGTGATGACCGTGAAATGTCGATTCGCCGCCGTTCGCAGCAATTGGGCCTCTGTTACTCCACTACGTGGAAAATTTAGCGACAGGATTTGGGTGTAAAACCTTATAAGGTACAGCTGGTGCAAGAATTGAAGCCACACGACCTCCAAGATCCACATTTTTATCGAAAAATTGTGTACAGCGACGAAGCTCATTTCTGGTTGAATGGGTACGTTAACAAGCAAAATTGCCGCATCTGGAGTGAAGACCAGCCAGAAGCATTGCAAGAGCTACCAATGCATCCCGAAAAAATCACTGTTTGGTGTGGATTATGGGCCGCTGGCATCATCGGGCGGTACTTCTTCAAAGACGACAATGGCCGGAACGTAACTGTGAATGGTGAGCGCTACCGTGCGATGATAACAAGCTTTTTTTTGCCCAAAATGGAAGAGCTGGACTTGGCTGACATGTGGTTTCAACAAGACGGTGCCACATGCCACACCGCACATGAAACAATGGCCCTATTGACAGGCGAGTTCGGTGAACAGTTTATCTCACGTTTGGGGCCCGTCAATTGGCCGCCTAGTGGGGCCATGTTAAGGCTAATGTCTACAGGGATAAACCAGCAACGATTGACGCACTGGAAGCCAATATTGAAGCATTTATTCGTGAGATACCGGCCGATATGTTGGAGAGAGTGTGCCAAAATTGGACCTTGCGCATGGGTCATCTAAAGCGGAGCCGCGGCCAACATTTACATGAAATAATCTTTAAACATTAAATTATATCGACCGTTCTATCGACTCAAATAAAGATTTAATCGTTTTTTCAAATTTTTTGTTTTTTTTTAAATAAAATCCTATACCTCTTAAAAAATCACCCGTACAAATAAAATTCGATGTTTTTAAGAGCGGCTATAAAATTATTATCCTCATTAAGAAAAACGTTGTAATAGTAATTTACTTCATCCAGATGTAGTTAATTTTTAGTTGACCATGAAAAGAAACTGTAAGACGATTTTTTGGGCTTAGTGCGAGAATTTTATATTGATAAAAAAAACTCACCTTGGCAAAGAGCAGCTTGTTTGATGGAGAGTCCTTGCCCAGCCTATGTTCAGTGGTAGAGCACGCGTCCATGAATGTTTGAGCAATGACAGACAGGCAAGAGTCCAAAGTGTTCGTTTTATTGATGTCAAAAATAAAATCTGGGTTCTTGATGAAATTCACCCAGAATCTTAATGGAAGGCTGTTCGATTTCCACGCATGGACAACCTCAGGGTCCTGGATGCCATGTTTTCTAGCTGCATCGTCCAGAAGATCAAACAACCATTTTACTGCCGGGGGTAAAGCTTCGTTTACAGTCAAGATGGTTAAGAAAAAATCATCGACGAACTTTTGTATCGTGCCCTTTGTGGAAAGCAGCCTTGTGAGAAATATTTCCGGTATCGCTTTATGAGTTCTCTCTGATAGCTTATTGTTAGGGAACTGATGATCGTCAATAGGCTTCACTAAGTGATATATCCTAGGATTGTTAGCTGCTTCTATGTCTCCATTTGTGGTTATGATAGGTGATTGTGAATTGTTGAGATACATCCCAGTAACACACGTATGGCAAAGCGTTTTACAATTATTAAAGCTGTCATTTTGTCTTGAGATCAGTGACATCACCGCACTTTCTTTTACTCCATAATGAGCTAATGTATTCAGTTTCTTCCAACCGTTTATCGTTTTTGTGGTGAGGTCTTCGTCTTGTAAGGTCAAATGACCACCCCTGCCGTGCCTCCATTCGAGGTCGACCTCGTGGATAGAAGGCCTTAGAGAGAACGGCGTATTCTTAAAGAGAGCATCTAATATCTTTGATTTCACTTGGCTGATCGTATCACAGTCGAGAACTTTGCACTGGACTTTCTCGTCTAAATCGTCTTGCACTATATGCAGTGTCTGGAAACAAAATTAAAAATCGTATTAGACGAAGATACCCCTGGTTTGCGAAATAATTGTAAGTCTGCTTTTATTGCTGCAAGTTATTCAAGGGGGTATTTGAAACATGGACGCATATATAAAATGGGTACATCAAAACTATTTATTCGACAACAAGGAATGAGAAAACGTGTTTTTGGGATTCAATCAAAAGTGTTGGCAGGAACGAAAAAACTCTTCATATAACACACGTCAAAAGATTCGAATAATAGCAAAAAAGTTATGGCCGAAAACCGAGGCATACTGCAGGTTTTGGCACTTCTTGGTAATGCGACGATGGTTTCTCGCAGATACTTGAAATTCTTCAAATTCGCAGATACTCCTAAATAACCACAACAAAATTGATCAAGTAGTTTTTGAGAATTTCTAATTCTTTATTTCAAAACACCTGCCATCACTACCAGTTTATTGAGCAATATACAGGGTTCAAAGGGCACTTTATAGCAAAATACACTAGTTTACCTAGGGGATATGAATCGCTAACCATTCCGGAAGATAAATGTTATTTTTATGCAAAAAAGGATGGGTTAATTTTTTTCTTCTAAACAAAGTCAAACATTTCGTATTTGTGAGTAATTCGAACCAAAGGTGATAGACACATCCGCTTTGTTTTAAAATGTGTATAGCAACCTATGTTTTTCGAATATCGTAGCGCATTTGTTGAGTTACTCAAAAATACGAAATGTTTGAATTTTTACGGAAAACAGGTGTTATGGGATAAACAATTAGAAATTCTCAAAAAACTTCTTGACCAATATACTGCAATTTTGTTGTTATTTAGAAGTATGAATCTTACGCATTTGAAGAATTTCAAGTAGTTGCGTGAAATTATCGTCGCATTACCAACAAATGTTTCTCTGTGATTGGATCTTGTATCTGTTGAGGAATATCTGAATAAAATAAAATAAAGTACCAACACCTGCATTTTCCCTGGGTTTTCGGCCATAACATTTTTGCTATTAGCCGGATCTTTTTACGCGTGGTCTCATTTTGTAGGTCACATCAATACCTAAAAATCTTATTTGAAACGTTCGACTGAATCCAAAAAAACACGTTTTCTCATTAATGTGTCAAATAAAAATTGGTGTACCCATTTTATGCGTCCATGTTTTAAATACCTCCTTGAACAACTTGGACCAATAAAACAATACTTTACAATTATTTCGGGGAAATGTGCTAATATTAGACTACAGTATATTCAGATAAGAGATAGACCGGATGTAAACAAAAGGTTCGGGTGATTTTCACGCTAACGCCGCCGTCTCGACGTAAAACAGGAGCCCTCATTGGTCAATTCGCAATTAAATGCCTATGCCGAGCGGCAGAGCAGTCGTATCAAGGCAGAGTCACATTCAGGTTCAGACGTGTTACGTATGTCGTGTGCATCATTGCAATTTGATATTTCTTTGGACGTTTTCGTTTGTTATCTTATTAAGTTGTTGAGTTTGTCGTTGTTATTGTTATACCTTGTTATTGTTATCAACCGCTTGCGCAAAATGCCCAGTAGTACAGATACTGCCGATGAAGTTGTAAACTCCTGTAGTCCACCTAGGAAACGCTCTAAAAAAAGACACCTGAGTGCAGAAATGAAAGAGGTCATTTTGAATATATATAAGATCGAGCGCTAGGAGAACGAGGCATCAACCATCAAAGAAATTGTTGTGAAGGTTTCTCACAAAGTTGGGGTGTGTCGCGCATCAGTGTTTAATGTGTTAAGACAATACAAAAAAATCACACCTTTTCTGAGCCAATGACCAGTAAACATCGCAAAAGTATTGTTAAATCATTGGATGAAGCTGATAAGCATGCGATTAGGAGGAAAGTGCATGAATTCTTCTTTAGGAATGAAATACCTACTATAGATAAAGTACTGCAGGAGGTAAATGGAGATACAACGTTGCCAAATTTCAAACGATCAACTTTCCATGCGTTACTGAAGCATTTAAATTTCAAATGGAAAAAACGGGGTCGTAATAGTTTACTACTGGATAGAGAAGAAATTGTGCTATGGAGGAGGGATTATTTAACAAAAATAGGGAAATATAGAAATCAAAACGGGAAGATTTATTACCTTGATGAAACGTGGGTAAACGCAGGACACACTACAAGTAAAGTATGGGTTGATGATTCTGTAACTTCATCCAGGAGGGCCTTTCTAGATGGACTGTTCACCGGATTAAAAAATCCAGCAGGTAAATACGAGTAATAGACAACAATCGGATGTTTTTCAAACCTTGGGAACAAGGTTCTAAACATTAATTCCAGGGGGCAGATAAAACATATTACAAGTAACAAAACTTTTATAACTTTCGATAAAATGCGTGGATGTTTTATTGTCATTTTCATTTGTTAGAACGTTTTTAAGCCATGTTTTTATGTGTTTTCGATATTTCAATAATTTTTTAATATAATCTTAAAATATGTCGAATATTATAAACTTAAAAAAAGTTACTAAGTTTTATATTGTGTACCTTTCCTAATATTTCTAATCATTTTAATTCATACTTTAAGCTTTATAAAGTTATAATTTGTTAATATTAATATTTGCGCGTATTTCAGGTTCATGATCATTTATTTTTTAAAGGTTTATAACTTTAAATTAAATTGTGAAGCGCTGAGTAATCATACGACGTTCAATATTCTTTCTTTCAATATGACTAAATAATCCCAATTATAGCAATCTGATACTCATGTCTCAATGTTTTTTCGCTGAATGTGATGAAAACATTTGAAAAAGGTTCGCTTATTGAAATAAATCTACACCAGTTAGTACTTCGATTTCCAGGTAAAGGGAAAAGGCTCATTATCTGCCATATTGGCAGTGAGGATGGATTTGTTGTTATAAGTAATTATAAAGCTACTGTATTTTTTAATTAATTATTGACATTTTTGAACCCATTTTGGCAAAACCTATTCAAGAATCTACTTTCTGACAATGTTCAACCATGCACATTTTTTTACGTTTTGAACGTTTTAATTTGGTTACATATTTACCTAGAAATCAAAAAATATACTAATCAATATTCTAAAAGCAATTTTAAGAGATATACGATTATTTTTAATTTAGGCTAATTTAAACGCCATTTAGAGATTATATTCGACTGTATTTCACCAAACATCAGACGGCATCCGAAGCTGGAAATCGAAGCGAAAATTTTGAAACCCTTATGTATATTTACATCATTATATATTTCTTACCCCACCCTCACATGATCCTATATCCATCACCAATCGTATACACATCGAATTGTGCTAATTTACTACAAAGTTACGCAAAGCAGCATCTACTATCTAAAATATGTACTGCGTGACTCTTAATACGTCCCTGCCGAATGTTACAGCGTTCGATGATCACGTGGTCTTGTTTATGACTATTTTTATGTCTATCTCTTATCTGAATATACTGTAATAATCGACTCTTTGCATAGGGTGATTAAAAAACAGTTCTAATAACACAAAAAATGTTTCATGTGCCCGACATCCAAAAAAGTTGATCTGATCTCAAACACTTGCATTTTTTTGTGGGACTCTGTAATAAAATAACAGGTTTTTGCAAAAACTTATAAATCTTTTGATAAAAATACGAAGCTTTGCTGACTTACCACAACACTATATTCAACATTTTCTCTTAAGAGTCTTTCTTCCGAGAGCGAGTATCTAGCATCGTGAGTAATAGCATCGACAAGGCCTTTTTCTATTTGATGCTTTATTGCTTTGAAGAGAAGAAATAATGATGAACCGGCATAATCTTTGAGATATCGGTACATGCATAGGGCCATCCAATTAGTCAACATTTTTTCGACTACACTTTCAGTCCTTCTCAGCATCAACTGCGGATGTTTTGTATATACAGACTTTTCTATCAAACGCAATAATAAACTTTTTAGAATATCAGTGGCATACTCCATTTTGTTCATCAACACGACCATCAACAACGACGCTACATTAACCCTGAAATAGGAGCAAAATATGCGTTAGTTATTTTATAATCAATTCCCGTACTGAATACAAAAAAATAGTTTATTATATTGCCACTTACTTATTCCTAATATTAAAAGATTTCTGAGATTCCAGTATGTCTATAAATGTTAATATAAAATATCTATTGTTAATGAGTTGTTCAAACTGCAACATTGCTGTGTCGTAGTTTGTCCTGGGTCCATTCATGCGTACCTAAAAACATTATTTTCAGTAATGTAACATCTGAAACGTATCCTGTCGAAAATCTCCTTTGCTTTCATTTATTTGTGACACAAAAATCAAATGAACTGTTAGCTGGAAGACGGATAAATCAAATACTGTCTCATTGTACTAAAGAAGATCACCTTTGAGACTGGAACGTTTACTACATGAAAGAAAATCTGTCAATACATGTGGTTTTATTGGCCAGACAAGCATGGGAGATTATCGTCAGTGAATATTTTATTTTCTAGTAATGACACGCTATAATTATGAAGGGTTTTCCATCAAGGACTTGACAGCTTTCTTTTTAAATAAAAAGCAAACCATTTGAGATATCTCGAAAATTTTATTATTGGATTGAAGATTACTCATTTATGTATGGAATTCGATCTCGTTCATATGTCCACCACGGGCACAGATTTCAACAGAAACAACCGCTATATCTCGTTCAATATTAGCTAACGACGCCGGCTTGTGGGCATAGACCAATGATTTAATGTGGCCCCACAAAAAAAAGTCTAGAGGTGTTAAATCACGCGATCTAGGCGGCCATTCGACAGGACCATTTCTCGATATAACACGTTCACCGAATTTTGATTTCAATATGTCGATTGTTTCATCCGCTGTATGGCTTGTGGCACCGTCTTGTTGTAGCCCATGTCATTAATGTCTAGCCCATCCAATTGACCAAAAAGATAACATTGCAGCATGTCTCTGTAGCGATCTGCGTCGACTGTAACGTGGCGGTCATTTTCATCAACGAATAAAAAAACGACCCAATGACACCATACAGTTATTTTTTATGGATGAAGTGGTGTTTCTTGAAGCACATGAGGGTTTTCACCTAACCAATAACGAATATTCTGTTTGTTGACGAAGCCGTTTAGAGAAAAATGCGCCTCATCACTGAAAATGATTTTGCGATGAAATTGGTCATTTTCTTACAATATTTATAGAGCCCAATTCGAGAACGTACGTCGCTTCGTGTGATCGAACGGGTTTAGTTCTTGAGTTAACTTGATCTTATAAGGGTGCAGGCCAAGATCTCTTCGCAAAATTTGCTACGAGTATATTGTGGCCTGAGGGATGCCCAATTGGGATGCCGAATTTTTCGATAGAGAAACGTCCTCTTGGTCCTCCACGACCACCACTAACCGCCTCCTGGTCCACCACCACCACCGCCGAATCCGCCGCGTTTAACGAATTTTGATTTCAATATGTCGATTGTTTCATCCGCTGTATGGCTTGTGGCACCGTCTTGTTGTAGCCCATGTCATTAATGTCTAGCCCATCCAATTGACCAAAAAGATAACATTGCAGCATGTCTCTGTAGCGATCTGCGTCGACTGTAACGCGGCGGTCATTTTCATCAACGAATAAAAAAACGACCCAATGACACCATACAGTTATTTTTTATGGATGAAGTGGTGTTTCTTGAAGCACATGAGCGTTTTCACCTAACCAATAACGAATATTCTGTTTGTTGACGAAGCCGTTTAGAGAAAAGTGCGCCTCATCACTGAAGATGATGTTGCGATGAAATTGGTCATTTTCTTACAATATTTATAGAGCCCAATTCGAGAACGTACGTCGCTTCGTGTGATCGAACGGGTTTAGTTCTTGAGTTAACTTGATCTTATAAGGGTGCAGGCCAAGATCTCTTCGCAAAATTTGCTACGAGTATATTGTGGTCTGAGGGATGCCCAATTGGGATGCCGAATTTTTCGATAGAGAAACGTCCTCTTGGTCCTCCACGACCACCACAAACCGCCTCCTGGTCCACCACCACCACCGCCGAATCCGCCGCGTTTAACGAATTTTGATTTCAATATGTCGATTGTTTCATCCGCTGTATGGCTTGTGGCACCGTCTTGTTGTAGCCCATGTCATTAATGTCTAGCCCATCCAATTGACCAAAAAGATAACATTGCAGCATGTCTGTAGCGATCTGCGTTGACTGTAACGTGGCGGTCATTTTCATCAACGAATAAAAAAACGACCCAATGACACCATACAGTTATTTTTTATAGATGAAGTGGTGTTTCTTGAAGCACATGAGGGTTTTCACCTAACCAATAACGCATATTCTGTTTGTTGACGATGCCGTTTAGAGAAAAATGCGCCTCATCACTGAAAATGATTTTGCGATGAAATTGGTCATTTTCTTACAACATTTATAGAGCCCAATTCGAGAACATACGTCGCTTCATGTGATCGAACGGCTTTAGTTCTTGAGTTAACTTGATCTGCAGGCAAAATTTGCTACGAGTATATTGTGGTCTGAGGGATGCCCAATTCTTGAGAACGTCGTGGAATCGCCGTGTTCTGACACGTGGAATTAATTTTTTTCACTAGACGATGAATTGATTGTCTGCTGGGACGAGAATTACGACCAAAAATTGGCGTTAGCGCTCTTAGAGTTGCATCTCGGTAGTCAATTTTAATTATTTGTAAGCGTTGTTCGTTCGTGTACTTCACCATGATGAAAATGTTTTCTTTACTGAATGTTTGGGCATTGGCAGTTCGGTAATTGATTTAACGGTGCGTTCACAGTGAAAGTTCAAAGTTGTCAAGTTCCTACTGGAAAATCCGATATATAGATGAAACTGCTTGAAATGATGATAACTCACCTTAGGCGAGTTGAGAATAGGGTGATCACTGACGCCAGGAAAAAATACTTTCATGATATAACTAGTATGATCTAACGTTGGAATTCCTGAATTTTCTAGATCGGCAGTGAGATCGGTCATGTCAGTTTGCAGTTCTGCAAATGCTGCGAAAAAAAATATTATTAGAATCCAAGAATGAGTATTTATCTGAAAAAGAATAATCAGTATGGACAACAAACGCAAACAAAATAGCTAGTGTAAAAATGCATAACAAAGAGCTTACCTAATTTACACTCAGATCTGACATTACTTTCCAAAGTATCCATTTGTATTTGTATCCTTTTATACTCTCTTTCAGCTTGTGTCGATTTTCTTCGATATACGAACAAAATAGCGACGAAAAATAATATAAATAGAATCGTGCCAATTGCTATCATAATTATTGCCTCCGGTGGGAATGAGAACGATTTGAATATGTCGTATTGCAAATATCCAATAGGAAACCGTAAGCTTCTTCCTACTCTAACTACTACTAATGGAAGGTTAGTCTCAGTCTGAAAAGAATATATAAATTCATGTTTGCTCAGAAACGGCATATCCGACGTTTCAAATTCGACTCGAATCATTAGTATCGAGGAAATGGCGAGGGAATGAAAGAAAAGAGTCGTTTAAATGGAGGCAAAGGAGTTTGTGTAACGTAAGAATACTTAGACGGAGAAAAAATCCCAATATAGTTTTTATTTTTCCTGACTACATGAGGTGAGATTTTAAAATACAAGTTTTCAATTTTATTTTTCCTTATCGAATTTTTTGTGAAATGTTTTCAATTTTTATTTCAAATACGTATAATGTCATACACTGACATTGTCAATCTTCAATTCCACAGTTGCTTAAAAAAATAATATGTGCGTTTCAGTTGAGGTATGAAGGATATGAAATATGTTTAGCAACCTGCTGCATCGTCGAGGCTTTCACTTACTCCAAAATGTTTCTACGAGTTCCTTAAAATTATTTGCAATATTTCCATTACTACCTTTAAATATGAAAAAGTTAATATATTTTTTTAACTAACGAGTTAAGACCAACTATTGAAGATTACATTTTTAGATATTTGAAGTGTTATCGATCCATGTCATACGTTCAATATCACATCATTAAGATCAGAAAAAAAGTTTAACCATACCAAGTTTAAAAAACTGGAGGATGCTTAGTTGATATAAAAAATGACCAGAAATGAACCAGAATGGAGAACTATTCACCTGTGTAAAAATTCAATATTGCGTGCATAAGAAAAATCCAGGAGGCAACCGGTCTCGTCCTGCTGGACGTGGAACGAGCCTTCGATCGAGTTTGGCACGATGGACTCATCGCCAAAATGGAAGCCGCCGGAATCGATGCGAACATGTGCCAACTGATCCAGAGCTATCTAACACAAAGATGGTTCACGGTGAAGATTGGTACATGCCATTCAACAAGACGACAGCTGGAAGCAGGCGTGCCCCAGGGGTCAGCCTTAGCCACCCTGCTCTACAACATCTATACTCACGATGTGCCGAAGACAGCTGACACAATGCTGGCCCTATATGCAGACGATACTGCTATAGCCGCCAAGCATAGACGACCCGAGATCATCCGTAGGAGACTACAGGATGAACTGGACTACATCCAGGACTGGTGCGTGAAATGGAAAATCCGCATCAACGTCCAGAAGACGCAGGCAATCTTCATTCAACGAAGAAGGATTGCAAGACCTCTCGAAGCATCCATCTTCGACGAAGATATCCAGTGGAGCGACAAAGTCAAATATCTGGGGATCGTATTTGACAAGTCCCTCACCTGGAAAGCCCACATAGAAGCTGTCATCGCAAAGACCAGAGCAGCCATGGCTCAACTCTACCCATTACTGGGTAGACACAGCCGGATGCCGCTAGCGACCAAGCGGACCACGCGGAGGTTAGGGTTTAGTGGGTATTAGGTGGTCTCCTCAAGACAACCTGGAGTCCCACACACGCCGTAGCTCGGGCTATGGTGTGGTGCGTAAACGCATTCCCCCTCACCAAAAAAAAAAAAAAAAATAAGAAAAAATGAATTTGATGATTGAGGACAGGAGACGAAACATGTCGAAATTTTATTTATGTTATAGACGTGGAAAAGTAGCAACATTAATGTGCAATTTATTTCGGTAAAAATTATGTGATTTTGGGAAATTTGCTTCCTCCGAAAATACTTTGCAAAACTTTCATTCTCTTAGCTACCCGACTGCTCCAATTCTTCGTATCTCTTACCATTCCCAAAAACCCAATGGCGAGAATCGAATATGAAACCCTTTGTATAGTGAAGCATATTTTTTTGACATATCTACGAGTGTCCAATGGGAAAGTTCACTTTTTGATTTAAGAAAAGAAATACAAACCTAATGAAAAGAAAATATTTATTATTATCAACATATTGGTAAATTCGGCGGGTTTTATTTCTTAAATATCATGCCGTCCAAATGTTTGCTTTCCTTTAAAGCATGGATGATCGGATTGGATTTTATAAGCATGAAAACCTATTTTTTTCTTCATTATTCCATGCAGTACTGACCTAGGGATTCCCAGGTTCTTAATTGGGCCATCTCTTGGTCGGCGACTCGTGTACAAAGTTTCCGCAGGGCACCTGAAGTAAGCCTCGATAGCAAAAGCACGTTGCGCTCCGGTCCAACGTTCCATTGTGACTATTTAACCCGCACGCCGAACGCGTCGATCAAGACTTCCTCGCGAATACGGTTCCCGCGTAATTCAAATTTGAACTTTCCAACTGGACACCCTGTTCTTGACATCAGTTTACAATTCCTTTACCTTAACTCCGTTTTCATCCGTGTCCGCAGGCTGTTGCTCTGGAGGCGAACACACCAGCTGCGTCATAGCCAAACTTGTCACATTGCAAGGTTTTGTGCCAATTGTGACGACAACGTCAGCTTCGTCACTGGCAGAATTCAAATTTTCGCCTTCGATCACCAGAGTGTCGCCTTTGTAAGACTTTATTTCATTGACGAACTTGAAGAATTTTGGATCCTCGACGTATAGCAACGTCGATCTGAGATTCAAAAAATGTTTCTCCAAGTCCCTCACAGACTGAACGTTGTCCATTATAAAACCTATCCTGAGGTGCAACTTCAGTTCTTTCATCTGAAAATCATATTTTTCATCGTAAAAGGAAAGGTCGCCATCATTACTAACAACCCTTTATAAAAAATTCTAGGTAAATCATTCGACTCTGTCGGTATTTCATTTCTGACATTTGTCAAATTGTTGTATAACACCTGCAGGCAACACCAAAATATTCTAATAAACTAAAGACATCACGGACGATGCCATGATTATACACAAACACCCGCAATATTGGGCAAACATTTATTCCTCTATTTGATATTAAATAATTATGTTTCAGTTCGAAATTACAGATATAAAGTGATAAACATTAGTGTAATTGTGTCTAAATATAGGATTTGTGAAAGATTTAACGCAGATAAGTTCAGTTTTCCATCTTAAAAATCTAGACATACTTTTGATCATTATCAAAATATGAATCAAATACGAAGCCCGTAGAAATTGCGTAACTACTTTGCACGATAATCACAATAAAATTTGCTGCGCAAGTAATTCAATAGCCCTATATCACAGTGTAGAAGTTTATCATATACCTGTGTATGAAATTCACAATGGCCGATATGTAAGTAAACAAGATGACTGTATTGTGTTAGTTATATTCTTCACTTCGTCTATACAATACATAAGAAATAGTTTGGTTGCAATAAAGTAGAATCACGTAACAGAATAGTTGTATAGTTGACAAAAACTGAATCTTGCACTGACGCAAATGTCCTATAGCGGCTTACACTTTTGTTGTATAACTGTTACCTGCAGCCCTTATACAACCTCTTAAATGACTGAAGTGTCCTATTAGGTGTGCCCATTCCGCTTGTATAGCTGTTCTAAGAGGGTTTTGCCAATGTTTTTACAGTATACAATGCTGTGTAAGGAATATTGTATAATCATTCTTGAAACTCTAATAGGAGTGATAATTGATAGTTGGGGCGTTTACTTTTGGCCAAGACAAAATGCACTGTTTCTTAAAATTTCCAATCCTAACACCCTGTAAACATTCACCTTCCTTGATTCTCCTTTCCACAATTTTTTTTGATATCAGGTTAATTGGGGTTTGTGCGAGAGGTTGTCGAGTTACAAAAAACATAAGACACTTTGACCCTTCCATGAGGCTGGGTCGATTTAATTTACAATGGAAATACATCAATTCAAGGATCTTCCGTTATCAACTAAAAGCTATTTTTGATTTTGAAAGGTATTGTCATATTTCAACCGTCAGCCGTTGTAATGCTATTTTCATTTCAAAGGGTATCCTAACATTTTACATTTACCTTAATATCCGATTTACAAAAAGGTTAACTGTAACTCAAAAACCATTCGTACTAGTCTATGATTTGAGAAATACGTCGAATAGATGCATAGAATTACCCCCAACCCCCGAATTTCAACCCCTACAAAAATTCTTTTGAAAATGATCAGAAGCCTCTAAAACGTCAAGTTTTTATTTTTTCGTTTCCGGCTCTTTTTCTTCACCACCACTAGATCAATTTTCAAAAACTGCAAAGCTTTTCCGTCCTTGGCATAGTAGTGACATTGTGTAAAAATTTCATCAAAATCAAAGAAATATATCTCTTTTTGGCATTTTTACGATTACAATACTTCCTCGCCCAGTGTCGTAGGAAGTAAAAAGCCTGTAGACAGGGAAATCGAGAAATGTGAAAAATACAGGGTGTCCCTGAAAACTGAAAAAATATGTAGATAGGAACACAATATGGGATCATAAAATTAGTAGTAGTACATCTACGTTTATTTCTCAAAATACAGTATGTTGAAAAAAACAAATTCATTTGTTAGCTGATTCAACTAACTTCAGTACAATAATAGACGTAAAGAAAACCTTTTTTTATATATATCGAAGCAGCCGCGCAGGCCGAAGCCTAAATGCCGGAACACCGCGGCTGCTATGATGATCCCAAAGAAATTTAGGATTTTTTATAGTCATATTCGAATACCAGCGTACCAAATAACGTCTAACAACAGAAAAGAACTCACCTTTATAGCAGCAGGTTTCCTCAGGGACCTCCTAGACCTACTGCTGTAAATATGAAACTGCCTGTTTACTGGAGGGCTAGGGCATTCCATCAAAGTACCACTTAACACGGTGCACATCGTCCTGTTGATAGGCATATTTAACTTCCCTAAAGGATACACCTCCATCTGAGGTTTCTGAATGCTATCCAGATTAGTCCCGTGCACTGATATCATCCTACCTCCAGAAACGAAGCTGTTCAACGGCTTGATTTCCATGATCGTAGGGTCGGGTGTGTAGGTAAAGGGATTGCCCTCCAAGGTTCTGTTGGCCCCGTCGATACTCAACGTTAACCGTGATATCGCCACTGGCTTTGACGCTCTGGAGGTAATGCAGGTAAGCCTACCACTAGAAGCTTGAGTATGATTCACTTGACAGATGTACTCGTCCAGGTAGGCAGTTATTTCTGAACCAATGTTCAGATAGTGGCCGGTGATAGCCAACTGCGTTCCTCCAGACTGAGGTCCTGCAACAGAAAAAATTGCGTCAAGTAGATTGACTCTATGCTTCCCACGCTTTCAAAACATCACAAAGTCCAAAACAGCATAAGTTGGGGTAAAAACTTGGGCAGCTTAGTGGGGTTATATAACCCAAAAAAACTCTAACCTGTCCAATCTTATCGTTCATCCGAAATACAAAAACGTGAATCTGTGTTAAATTTTGAGTCGCTTGACTGTATTTTAGCTGTACAACTTTTTGATACGTACCTATAGGTGGATACAACCCCGTGAGTCTGATATCAATATAACTGAACTCGACCGCCGATTTGGTGTAACCAGCCTCGTTCCCAACTCTAACAGGAGCCTTCATTTCTACTCCAGAAGGCCCGGTGATGCACTGGATCCTCACCGATACTTCATAGTTCAACAGTCTGCATGTGATGTTTCCTATTTTTATTTTTCCCTGGACGTCTTCCTTCTTCAAACCTAAATTACTGCCTTCTATTGTGACTAGTGTCCCGCCTTCTATCGGCCCATTCAGTGGCTTTATCTGAAAGAGATTGGTTCTTAAATTAGACCAAATATTCGTTTCGAAGGTTGCAAAATTCACCCCACCGCATAAATCACTTGGTTTAGCTGCAAAAACTTGTTTTTCAATTCACTTACCATATCAATCCTTGGCCTAGGGCACTCGTTGTGAGCAATATCTTGGCACGTCTCAGCATACTGGCAGGAGTTCCGGCACCAAGTGCAGTTATATTTAGAGTTTCGGGTGATACACAAGGAACAGTCTGCGTGTTCTCTGTGAGATCCCAAAATGTCGCATTTGTACAATGTTACATTAATGGAATCGACGTGATGATTTCTGTTCCACACTACTTTCACGCTAGCCTCATGTTCGCCTTCGTTCGCTTCGTAGCGGTACTGAAAAGAAGAGCACATTGAAAAGTATGAATACAAGTACGTTCCTACCCTAGCCTACTGTGCCCAGTTCAACTGATTGCACAGGCGTTGACATTGAAGTATGACAGTATGGTTTCCAGCACCAGAAATCCACTGGATCCCTAGGACATCGAGATTGCGGAACAATTTACTCGAAGCTTTTCAAGCATAGGCAGTTCAAAAATTAGATTAACAAGGTTTCAAAAAAATGTTCAACTTACGGTTGTTTTATCACAAACTACAATGTTATCCCCATCAACTCTTGCAGGAACAAGCATCGTAGCACCTTCTATAGCTATAATGCACTGGAATCCAGTATGTTCAGACGACGGATTTGGTAAATTTATAACCTCGAATACTATCTCTTTGACAACGTTGTTCGGCAATAAAATCCCACTTTTCCTCCGCTTGAACTGCGGACAGTATGCGAAGCCGTGGTTTGGTAGCCGATTTGGATTCTGGAAATAAAAATGTTAGTTCAGACATAACGATCTTTGGTCTTTGTCTATGAGGGCGTTTTCAGATCTGAAAATAACTCAAATTTTTGTCCTTTGCTTCACACTAATGATAAAACACAGAGCAACACAAACATATACAGGGTGACTTTGAAGTCGAGTCATTAATTTTCAGCTAATGATTGTAGAAGGAAGATAAACCAAAATATGTGTGTAAAAATAAAAAAAAAATGTTACCTTGTTTTATAAAGTATCATCCCGACAAGTATTTCAGTGCGGACCTGTATTTGATCGTGCGGTCTTGGAGCATCGGCATGCTCTCTCCTGAGAGGTCTTAAGTCACCTGATTCACGAGCCCTTTGTACTACATTAACAAAGGCACGAGGGGTTGGTGTTGCACTCGATTGGGAAACCGATCCGCATAAATCCGTGATGCCGCGGCAGCATTTACCGACTGACACATTGACTGAATACAACTGAATAAAATTGTAGTAAAAACATCGTGATAAGCGTTTCAAATTCTTTCGCTTTTTTGTTTCCGATGCGATGAACCGATAAGGCGGATTATATCCGTTGTCGACAAACACGAGCACATAATATTATTATTGAGACAGGGCGGTACTCAAACTTCTAAAGGGCTATAACTTTGTTAATTTAATTTTACGACAAAAATGTTAAAGGAAAAAAACATTTCTTTTGATCAGATCTACTCACTCTTAAAATAAATGACTCAACTTCGAAGTCACCCTGTATAAATATGAAAAAGTTGCGTTCATGTACTAACAATAAAAACCAAAGTTGTATTTTATTACAATTGTGTATTCATTCGTTGTAAATTTTGTTTTTATTGTGAGCACATGGGCGCAACATTTTCAGTTTTATATATGTATGTGTGTTTTGTGTCTCCGTGCTTTTTATTATAGATTTGAAGTCCGCGCACCCATGTACTAATACAGGTTAATTACAAGGACAGATCTAGAAAAAAAATGTTTATGGGGCATATTGTGGAGCAAACGATGAAGTAATTTTTGTCGTCGCAGGGTTTTACTGGACACAGCTCTTGGGGAAGTCCACACCCCTGGATCCGTCACTGGCTAATTACACGAAATTTGCATAACAATGCAAAATTACGAACCTTCAAAAAAACGATCAATAAAAAGAAATATGCTGAAGGTTTAAAATACAGCGGTTAAGCTAAATTTGAGTTATTTTGAGGGCCAAAAACACTCTTATGAATCATCAAACTTTCAAATAAATAGCTTACGTTTTCTCCGCTAATAATGCTTCTCTGGCATGTTGAAACGTCGTGTGTGCATTTATTTTCATAGACGCACCAATTGCAAGCCCATTTACATCGTACACATTCACCACACGTCGTGTGCCTCCCACAATCATAGTACGCGAAATTCCTAGACACAAAATCTTTGTTTGTTTCTGAAGACCTCACGCTGAGTGACACCTGAAACATATGGAATATATCGCCTCAGTATTTTCACGTATCAATCTATTTTACAAATACCCTCAACTTCTTTTACTTCTCGCGCCTACTGGCGAGAAAGTATTAAAAACGTTCGAAAATGAGATATTATGTTTTTTTTATGTTATATGACATGTATGGTTTACCTGAAGTCACTTGAAATAGCATAAAAACCTTTGGTCGGCGCGTCCTTTGTAATTTCATGACGTATCATAGGCGTGCGGTCAATTATTTAGAACGATAATAATAATGTTTTTATATCACAATAAATGGATTTTACTATCTTCTTATTTTTTTGATTTGGGATAAAAAATACTTATATTGGGAGTTTAATTTATGTTGACTGAAAGTTAAGAAATGGAAAAATTACAGAATTCCAACGCTTGACATTGGCAAATATTTACATAGCAGGTAGGTATATAAAAAGGTATATACAGACTTACATTATAGGTATTTATATATCATCCTCGCCTTCGGAGCTGTCGCTAGAGTCATCTTGTAGAGGAATTACAACGGGATTTACAGGAGGCAAAACACAATATTCATTTTCTTTTTCAATAATATGCCTAGAACACTGCTTCCATAGGTCTGTGGCAGCAATATGAGATACTGCATCTCTTATTGTGGCCAATAGCGATTCACTTAATTGAGGGGTCTGATTATGTTTTCTTACTTTTTTTTTTAAAGCAGCCCAGACCAACTCAATCGGGTTAAAAATGCAGTAATAGGGAGGTAGACGTAATACTTCATGGCCATTTTGCTGAAGCAGATTGTCAACAACATACTTTTTCAAATTTTTGTCTTTTAATAAGATCCAATAATATGGCTTTGGTTGATTTTTGTGGTATTTCCATTCCCTTATCCTTCATAAAATCAATAATGTCTTGTTTTTTTGTGCCTGTATTCGGAATTTTGTTTTTCTGTCGGGAATGGTATGGCGCATTGTCCATAATAATCACTGAATTTGGGGAAATGTTTGGTATTAACTGCTGCTCTATCCACTTTTCAAATAAGTCGGAGGTCATGTCCTCATGATAGTCGGCACATGATTCTTTGATATTTTTGGCAGATAACAGCAAGGCATTAGGTATAAATCCATTTTCACTGCCAGCATGGAGAATAATGATTCGTTTTCCACGGTTGCATGGTGCATTTAAAATGCACTTGTTGCTGTCGTCAACCCAGCCGTACTGCACAACATCATGGGTATCATACCACGTTTCATCCAGGTAAATCAGATTTCTTTTCTGCTATCTATAGATTTTAACTTTATGCAAAAATTCTTGGCGCAATTAAACGATTCGAGACGACTCCATAATCACCATTCTTTTATCTAATTTTTTGTATTGAAAACCACACAGTTTTACAATACAGTGCAGTGAGTCTAAGCATTTGTAATTATAAAAATCTTCAGGATAATCTTTTAATTTATCCCGTATCATTTCCAAAGTGGGCACCAAATTTTCTTTATAAAATCCGTATATTATACGACGAATATCTTCCTGAAAAGCCACGTCTATTCTTTTTAATTTTTGCCCTATGCGCTTTCTGTGGAAGGAATGGTTGACTACATCTCCCCTTTTTATAACCCGATAAATGGTAGACCGACTGATTTTTGTCAGGATACAAATTCTGTTTAAAATTTGATTTTGCGAGGAATCTGGATTTTCGTTTTTCAGACAATCATACATATTTAGGATTACTCTTTGGGTCTGTTCCTCTAAATCTTTATGAAAGAATTCTGCCTGCACAGGTTCATCAACCATCTCCTCGTGGCTTGGAGCATTTTCCCAAGTTCTCCAAAGAGCCATATTTAGGACACACAAGAACAATCAACACAACAATTAAATCAACAAGTAAACTGAGTATTCAAAAGTCAAAAACACACAAACTAATAAAATCTACGAAAAAACACGGACAGACTAAAGAAAACACGTTTATTCACCGCTACACGGCACTGGCTAAACTGTTTCAATTTTCAGTAGCCACCTGCACTTGTTCCGAGCTCTGAAATACACGCTTTCTCATTGGCTATGTCCACGCATAGGCGTGCTTTACTCCACGTGGACCGGTGAAACTGCCTTTGATCTTATACGGGGGATATTTGCTGCGAAATTTGGCGATTTTTGCAGCAACAGAGCGTGTTAAATATAGATATATAAAACGCACCCGGTATTTCACAGTGTTTCAAGTGACTTCAGATAAAGTATACAAGGATTGTCCGGAAAATACGTATAAAAGTGTAACTTTATTTTAAAATTGTTCAGGTATTTCAATATGATCTCCTTCAAAGTAATCTCCCTAAGACAATATGCACTTCTGCCAACGCCGTTTCCACTGTTGATACGATCGCTGCAAGTCTTCAATTGTGAGGCTCTTCATTTCATCCTCCAAGTCCATGCCCCCACAGCACCATTTTGCATGTTGGGAAGTCGCAAGGGGATAAATCGGGTGAATAAGGCGGGTGTGATTACAATACTTCTTCGTCAGTGGTTTGGGAACTAAAATTATTGATCAATCACTCACCAATATATGATCTGTCTTTGGAGGAATAGCGGGCCTGCTCGACAGTCTCGGAGTAGGACATATCAACCCATTTTCAGTCAATTCTGCGTCAATTGGTTCTGCATTGCCGAATACGCATTTGTACTTAGCGCCTGGGGGAAGAGATGGCAACGTTCTGATAGTCAATCTGACGTTTGTCATTTGGTTGATAGGAATGCGTTCTGGAAACACCTGCTCGAAATCTATACATTGCTGGCCTGTTCCTAGGGACAGCCATCGTGGAGCACTATGAGAGGCTTTTTGACATGCACTTCGTATTGTACACCTGAAATATTCAAAACACAAGACTCAAAAATCATCCATAGGAAAAAAGAAAAAGAAATTTAGCCGTCTCCAAAATCCCATTGATTGTGTACGTGTTCATTTGCAGTGTTAATTTCGTTTACAGCTAAAGGTGTAGAGCGGTCTCCAACTCACCTCTTTTCTAGTGAACACCACCCACAGTACGGATCTTTCGATTCCAAGCAAGAAGAACAATTGCTATATGTACTACAGTGTTCAACATTTATTTTCGATACCTGTAAAAAAAATAGCGTCAGTAATTCTCACGTAAATACAGGGTGTCCTCAAAGTCGGGACTTTCCTTTACACGGCGTATAGATCTGGGAAAAATGAGCAGTTTTTTCTAGTAAAGGCTTAAGATTACCGAGATGTTAGGTTGCACAAAACCTTTACATATCGGTTCTTAAAAACAAAGCAAAAATGGCACACGCATAGTTGTGCATATTATTTTAATTTACGGTGAGTGTCTTTGAAATGTTACCGAGGCTTTGCGAGCGCATACAGATCGTTTTTCAAGATCCTTCGTGATTTCTTTTTTTGTTCGGGGCGAAATGAAATGTTTAAGTATAGAAAACTGACGTGAACACGGTTGACGAACAACGCGAGCGAATTTAGGAACCTGCGCATTCATTCTAAAAGTCTGCTGCTAGTACTTAAAATTTCTTTTCAAACATAGTTTCTCAGAAGGAAAGTCTCCACCTTCAGGACACCCTGTATAAATTCCAAATATTTATATTTTTTTAAGTAAAACGATTCGTGAATTTATTCAGGGAATGTTAAAACAGTGCATTTTTTGAAAGTTCTAAGATTCATTACTCATATACAAAACTACTATAACGATTTTGAGCAACCTCAAAAATAATATTTGAGCAAGTTTTCAAGCCATTTATAGGGGTTTTCAAACTCTAAACCAAAACGGCCAACTTTAAAGAATAATACAGGGTGGTCCATAAGTCCTTTGAAATTTCAAATTTGAATAAAATTTAACGGGTGAGCGTAAGCGGCGCGGGCGAGGTGGGGGCAGTATCTTCAGTGTCTGGGAATTCAGTCGCCATGGAGTGTTTCACTGGAGCGGATCGTGCTTTTTGTGTGCGCGCGTTTTATCAAAATAATGATTCGGCAACTATTGCGCGGCGTAAATTGACGCTATTCAGAGACTAAACTTTGCGATTGAAATGTTGAATCGATTTTCTTCGCTCAATAATGTGTTGTTCTCGGACGAGGCTCACTTCCATTTAAACGGGCATGTAAATAAACAAAATTGCCGTTATTGGAGCCCCGAAAATCCAAGGCGTAAGCATCAGAAGCCCTTACACAGCTCTCAAGTTGCAGTTTGGGCTGCTATGTCAGCGCATGGCATCGTAGGCCCTTATTTTTTTGAGGACGACAGAGGTCGCGCATTAACTGTTAAAACGGAGCGGTATGTAGCAATGATAGAAGAGTTTTTGACACCAGCGTTGCAGAATTTTCCAGGCTAACAGGTGGGCTGAAAATTCCGTATCGTTTCAATGAAAAAATATTTTTTTCGTCAAAATTCGCTTTTATTATTCAACATAGTTGCCTTCAAGGGCTATACAGCGATTATAACGTTCTTCAAGTTTTTCGATACCCTTCCGGTAGTAATCCTTCGGCTTGTCCTCAAAATAGGCTTCAGTTTCGGCGATGATTTCTTCGTTGCTGTGAAATTTTTTTCCGGTGAGCATTCTCTTAAGGTCTGAGAAGAGGAAATAGTCGCTTGGAGCAAGGTCCGGAGAATACGGTGGATGGGGGAGCAAATCGAAGCCCAATTCATGCAATTTCGACATCGTTTTCATGGACTTGTGGCACGGCGCATTGTCCTGGTGAAACAAGATTTTTTTTTTCTTCATTTGTGGCCGTTTCTTGGCGATTTCGGCCTTCAAACGCTCCAGTAACACTATATAATAGTCGCTGTTGATAGTTTGGCCCTTTTGAAGATAGTCGATGAAAATAATTCCTTGCACGTCCCAGAAAACAGAGGCCATAACCTTGCCTGCTGACTGTTGCGTCTTTCCACGTTTCGGAGGTGGTTCGGATGCAGCCGTCCACTCGGCCGACTGGCGATTTGACTCCGGTGTGTAGTGGTGGAGCCATGTTTCATCCATGGTGACGTATCGGCGAAAAAAATCGGTTTTATTGCGCAAAATCACCTCCAAACAGGCCTCAGAGTCGTCGATGCGTTGTTGCTTTTGGTCAAATGTGAGATTGCGCGGCACCCATTTCGCACAGAGCTTTCGCATATCCAAATATTCATGAATGATGTGACTGACACGTTCTTTTGATATGTTTAAGGCCTCAGCTATGTCAATCAACCGTATTTTGCGGTCTCCCAAAATTATTTTGTGGATTTTTTTCACGTTTTCGTCCGTAACGACCTCTTTTGGGCGTCCACTGCGTGCGTCGTCTTCAGTTGACATGTGACCGGTACGAAATTTAGCAAACCACTTGCGAATGGTTGCTTCGCCCGGGGCAGAGTCCGGATAACACTCATCAAGCCATTTCTTGCATTCGACGGCACTTTTTTTCATCAAAAAATAATGTTTCATTAACACACGAAACTCTTGACTTTCCATGGTTTTCAAAAATAACAAAAGTAGCGTCACTCTCGATACGATAACTCAAAAACTAATGATCCGACAGCTGTCAAATTTTGACAGGCATCTTTTGAAGGTTGGTACTAGCTAAGAAGCGTATGGATTTTATTCTGGTGGCGCCATCTCATAGAAACGATACGGACTTTTCAGCCCACCTGTTATAACACGCAGACCTGGTTTCAACAGGACGGAGCAACTGCCCACACCTCCAACACTTCTATGCCCGTCGTCTGTCAACTTTTTCCCAGCAAAGTAATTTCTCGAAGAGGAGACATTTCCTGGCCACCACGTAGTCCAGATTTGACCCCAATGGACTTCTTTTTATGGGGCTACCGCAAGAGTAAAGTGTACGACACCACTCCGCGATCAGTTGATGTCCTGAAGGAAAATATCCGAAGAGAAATGGCAAGCATTACAGTGTTGATTTGCCGCGCAGTCATCGACAATTTTAGACGTCGTTTATATGAGTGCCGTGATCGTAATGGATTGCATTTAGACGATGTGATTTTTAAAACATAATTCCCATTCAATAAAGATGATAACAAAATATAATAACTCTTCATAATGTAACTAGTTTGGTTTTATTCCTTTTTTCCAGCTCAAAGGACTTATGGGCCACCCTGTACCTTAGAAACCAGATCCTAAAAATATTCGTTCGAAGCGAAAAAACAATATTTCATGATTTGTTAAAAAAAAAATGCAAAAATTCTGCAAATTTCAGGTCCAACGGTTCTGGCGAAAAGCTCACCTTTGACGTAGAAAGGACATACAGATAATCTCCAGAAGGCGACAAAGTGGTATCTGGCAATATGGCGTTGCCTTCATCAACCACAATCTCCTCATACTCTGGCGGTTCCGGTCCAGAAAGCAGTACTTTCTTGATCTTACCATCGTGGGTACCGAGGAATGCCAGCACGTGCCTCCCAGTGGACGCAGTGGTGACAGCTGTCAAAGACGTATTTGGAAACGTTAACACCGCCGAGGCGACCAGTGGCGTGCTACCGCTGATCTTCAAGCCGACTTCACAGAAGTTAGGAATGTTGCCGGCAGAGCCGCTGTTCGGGCACTTGCCGTCGAGAATCGGCCCTGACACGTACCCCATGTTACGATATTTCACACTGCCATTGAAACACATGTGGATGTTCTCTATGAACTTTGACTCTACGTCTCTTAGAGGGTAGAGGCAGAGGGCGGAATGATTCTGGGGTTCGTTGGTTATCCCTCTTGCTGGCCTGAAGATACCTGTAACAAGTACATCGACCAAGTTAAAAAAAATCGCGTCATGTAGGTTGACTCTGTAATTCCTTCGCAAATGGCATGAATTCGATTATATTCGGTTACACAGGCCAAAGTGGAAGTTAAATTACAAAAGTGTAAATTCACAAAACAACAAAAATTTGTCGGAAAGAACATTAATAGAAAATTGTAAAAAACAACATTATCAGAAAGATTATAGAATGATATGAATTTAAATTAAATATAAACACCGTAGGACAAGCAGATCCGGAAAGATTGACAAGCAGGGCAGAAGTAAACAAGCACACTACAACACCATTATAAGAGATACGAAAAGTTATTATTTAAAAATTCTTCGATGTATGAAAAGCTTTATTGATAAGGTAAGCTTTAATTCTACTTAAATGAACCGGTGCCGAATATTATAAAAGTGTTAGAACCATTGCTAGTTCTTTGTAGATGCTGTTTAGGAATCTCTAACTTATGCATGTGTTGAGTATTGTAACTAAGTACATCATCGAGGTTGGTGAATGCCTCCCTACATGGCTGCACATATCTCAGACCTGATTCAGCGCAAATATACCAAGTGACATATAAAATGCAACACCAAGATAAAAACTTGTAAACATATTTGCTATCATGGAATTATACGCTGATAATATGTTGAAGGCATTCTGAGCTGTGTTCATTCGAGGTAGCATGACTGTCCAGCGCTATATCCACGAAGTTTTGCAACCACATCTGCTTCCCTTTTTGGAAACATTGCAAGATCCACTTTTTCAGCAGAACAATGCACGACCTCATGTCGCACGTGTTAGTTTAGATTTTATAGAAGCATCCGGCTTAAATCTGCTCCAGTGGCCTCCTCAAGACATTTCCCCCATTGAAGATGTATGAGACATGGGAAGGTTGAACAACTCACTGCACCCTCCACAAACATTGCAGGCTCTACGAAACCAAATTCAGATGACCTGGGATACAATCAATGCCTCGACGACTTAGTGAATGCGTAGAGAACAGACAAACTCAGCTATTTTGATTTCGAGTTGAAATTTTAATTACTTTCTATTCATCAGTAGACCTAAAACTTGTGAAAGTATGCTTAAAATCACATCACTCCTAGCCGGTGTTGTATTTTCTATGTCATTTAGTAGACAGAGTGCATATATTCTTGAGTAGAAGTATCCATAATATATGGTTAGCAACATTTCACCAGACACAGCTCTTCAGATTCCTAATTAAATAGAACTTACCAACTAATACGTAGTCGCCAGGCGAAACACCATATGCTGATGCTAGTTCTTTCCCAGCCATTGTAATCTTAGCATCCTGAACTAAGTTGTACTTAGTATCACTATCTACACATTGCAAAGTCACTTCCGTATAACTATCGTAGTTAGCATCGTTGATACAAGTCCGAGAGAGTCTCGAAACGTATCCCTGTTCTTCTTGGCCCGGTAAGTGGGACTGTTTTTGCACAATCACAAAATACGCGTAATCACTCGCGTTGAAGCCGTATACATATTGCACTATGAAATGGTCGCGGTATTTCACGTCTATGCTCACTAGAGACTGCTTGCTGAAGGAATACTCTGCTATCTCCAGCGTGTCTAGGTCTCGACTGGCTATAGCAGGAACATCATGCCTATCGAATGGAAGTTTATTAATGCCAAAGTCCCAAATTCCCATCTTGTCAATTTTTGATACATTAAGTTCTAAAGAGTATAAAGCTAAAAGAACTGTTCGCCAAAATCCCATACATCGTATCCAAAGACAAGGCATACCAAGAGAAGACAGAATGAAATCAGTGATAGACTGCAAACCAGCTTAAAGTGGTAAAATGACGTTTAATCACGTGCTTGTTTTTTTTTTGGCGAAAAATGAATGGGGGTTGCCAGATAACTCTTTTCGGATGAATTTGTTGCTGTTCACATGTATGCATTTTTTACTCAATATACTTTTGTTTAAAGTTGCATTTATTCATGGTAGGGATCATCCATTTGCAGTCTACCAAATATATTTTTCATACGTTGCACGTTGGAAAATATTTATGTAAGTGTATCAATCAGAGCTATCCGATATTCTCGTGATTCTTTCACGTCCACCATTGGTAAATAATATCCTTTGAAGTCTCAAAACGCGTGCTAATTCAAATATTTTCTAGCTCTGTGCAATATACGAAGGTTGATCAAGGAATAAAGTTCCCATGGAGCTCTAGACACACGGAACAATGCGAGGTGACGCTCATAATGAGGAGTCAACTCATACGGGAGAAAGAAAAAAAGCGGTGTTGCCGGGCCACAACCTGACAACACTGTCGCATCGAAAAGGTATGTCGGAGTTTTACGCATTTTTTAAATTCCCGCCGAAAATCGAAGTAACCTAACCACTATTATTTGGGTTGTTATTATTTTTATATTATAGCAGTTTCTAAATAATTTCTGGCAAGTTGGCAACAGAGGATGTACGCTGCCTTGGCCTTCTGCGCAGTGTTCTCACTTGGTATATCTTCTCTTTGTCATTTCCATGATTCCTGTAAAATCTGAACCAACGCAAGTACTATCTAAAATTACCTATATTCCCCGTTGTTCGTAAACGTAGTTCCAACATAAAGTATATTCGACCTGCTGAGATGGTTATACTTCTTAGGTCCGATATACGCGTAAGTGGAAGCATTGGGGTTATTTGCAGCTATCCCTTTAGGGATAAATTCTGGTGTAGCACTGATGTTGCCTAACTTGTACTTGTGGCATGCCCCCTGGTATAGCGAGCCACACGAGATTATAGTACGAGATTCAGGATCAATCAGTAGGATCTTGTTCACATTATCCGTTAGAGATAACTGGATACCTACAAGAAAACACTCGTGTTTTTTAAAACCGTCACCCATGGATCTTTGCTCCATGTTCTATCAACTTCTCACTTACCAGAATCCCCGCATCCAGCTGCATGACATTGAGTGCTGTCGTTTTTGGGCCCTGTAATAACGATATGCTCCGGCCTGACATTGGGGTCCAGCTGGAATAGCCTGTTGGTAGCTGCCGCATAGGCTCTGCCAGAAGTAGGGTCGAGCTGCATGTGCCAGAACCTGGCTGGGGGCTCCTGGGGGCCGGGGAACTGAGCGAGTATCTGTGCATTGGCCCCTCCCCCTGCCCCCACCCAGAGGCCGCTGGCCACCGCGACCAGCAGCGGCAGCCAATAGGAATACGCCATTATGCGGCTCGAGCAGCGTCAAGCGCCGCCCTTTTCGCCAGGCCACGCCAACGCTCACAAACCATACACGGATGCATCACTGAAAAAAAAATAATTACTTTCAACATATTCAGATATTTATTCATGTATTTTTCTATAATATGATATACGTTTCGGTCGCAACGGTGACATTCAGTATATGGCTTCTGACAATATTTGATTTAACTATCTTCCAGGTGACACTTCGTCTGTTTTTTTCTTTTCATTCTCAGACTCCTATACAGTGTGTAATACAATAGTCTGGAATGTCCTAAACATGCCGGGATTGCGCTAAATCATTATTCTAAATTTTAAGATGGCACCACGAAAAAACAGCCTGGGATAGGCTTTTTCGCTCCCAAAAGGACGTCTAGCTCCGCAAAACAACGAGTCAACATGAGGTTATCTGTCGATTTTTTAATGTACCAGACATCCATCGTTCCGAAAACGCCAAAAGCTCTAAAAAAAAACGCAAAACCCTACCCAGAACTGTTGTCGTAACACACCAGTTGTTATGCAATTTCCGACTAAAATGTTCCAAGTGCACTGTTTACGATCTGTTGTGTCTACTTTAAGATCTAAAGGGAACCATGTTGTTTGTTCTGTGAGAAAATAATATAAGACTCAACATATTCGTAAACAATGCAAAAACGCGAAAACCGACCGGCTTTTGGCGTTTCCAGAGCGATGGAATGCTGGTTTTGCGAGGTGCCAGTTTAAAATATAGAATGATGACTTTCCGCATCTCGGCATGTCCAGGACCTTCCAGACTATTGTATTAACACACTGTATAGGAATCTAACAATGAACAGAAAAAACAAACGAAACGTCACCTGGAAGACTGATAAATGGTGGTTTCGTTGGCCAGACAAACAAGGGGGATTTTTCTTTATTCATCATTATATAGAATATATATATATATAACAAAAAATAATAAAATAATGGGCGAAATCCGCAAAAAGAAGTAAAGTGTATTCGAGCAGAAAATAGGATAGGTAACCCGAGCGATACGTATTTCTGCTGGTTGGCTTCATCAGGTCCGAAATGAATGCACATATGCAACTAAAAAAGTAGATGCACATGCCCATACATCCGGAAACAGGTGTAACCTGAGGAAACGAAGATGTAGAGGGAAAAAGACACACGCTAAGTCCACAACAACAGCCAACCTAAACATTGTAGTATAAAATTGCTAGAAGGCCTCGAATTTTCAAGGAGACATCTAACCACAACCACGCGGCCGGTTATAGCCACTTCTACAAAGAGAAAATGATCATGCGGAGAAAGGTATATAACAAAAAATTGGAAAATAACCCGAGGGTTACCTATTATATTTTCTGCTCGAACCCACTTTCGTTCTTTTTGCGGATTTTGACGATTATTTTCCTATTTTTTGTTATATACCTTTCTCCACATGATCATTTTCTCTCTCTCTCTCTATATATATATATATTTATCCCTCCAACACACTATCCACTACAACCTCAATTTAAATCATATCCAAGTAGCACCGAACGGGTTTATCAATTACTTTCAGGATTTATTGAAACTGTGAAATAAAACTGCAATTAAAACCAAATGGTTTTCAAATAAACCTTAAGGTTGTAATAAACTCGTCTCCAGCATAAAAACGGGTACACGCTGAAAGCGGTCAAGAAATCCAACAATAATAACCATCATGAAACTGTATTATCTTGACTAACTGGTTTTAAATAGATTTTAAATACGCGCAGTTTTAAAGTGAACTCAAAAGTGCTTACTGAATGTATACTTTCTAGTTTAATTTACCTTGTTAACATAAACGCGAAGTGAAAATGGTTCTTTAATAACCATATTCTCATTTGTTATTAGCGTAAAGGTAGTAGTAGACCAACAAATCTTTATTATATGTATTATTCACGTACCTGTAATTATAAAATAATGAAAAGTTGTTATTTTTGACTGTCAAGGTAGAAAAATACCTATGCGTCCGACTTTATCGATAAATTTAAACAAACAATTAAAAATTCCTGAAGTTTTATAATTAACAAAATAAATCGAAAACAGAGAACACCGATTTGAGAGGAAAATATTTTTATCTATAATTTTAAATGTTTTAATGATAAAGTAAATTGGAATTAGGCCTTTAAGTTCATGATTTATCATTTTTATGTAAGCCTCAATTGTGTTATCCATCGCGGCTTCCAGCGTCTCGAGAAAGCAAACAATTGCATTTAAGAAGCAGTTTTAAAGAAAGCTAAAGAATCAGTAAGGCATATTATTTACTGACACAATAGTCGTAGGATCAAGCATAATGGGTTTTTACTTATATTAGGAGAATCTTTGAAACTGCTTTAAAACTACAACAAACTAGAACGTATCAGCCCTGAAGTTCTCCATAAAACTGAATAGTTTTAAAGTTAATTGAGACTAAACCATTTTAAAACTACAATAATAAAGGTAAACTTTCAAGATCAATTGATCTTATTTGAAAATCTTGTTAGATTCTATAAAACCAGTATTCAATGTTAAACAGCTTTTATGTTCTGGCAGAATATCTACAAGGTAACTAACTAAAATTATATTTTTATTTACCACAATCAAACCGTTTTAAACCTCAAAGAAGCCTAAACTGTTTTTTGTGGTGCTACTTGAGTATCATTCAATTTGTGCCACCCTGTATTTTCAGTCCAATTCCACCAGACTTAATCACATAATGGGACCAGACTGAGTTTACCAGAGACTCATATCGGACTAACAGTGGAAATGGCAAAACAAAAACTCTCGTACCCCATACCCAGTCAAGTATCCAGGGTGCATTATAATCCTTATTCCCTAATGATCTATTCTATCTCCTTGATAGGGGGTGGTGTACAATTATACACAGGAGATACATGGCAAATTGGGTGTTGCGACACATACATAAAATAACTAACTATAACCTACCCTACATAACTATATACACTCTATACAGGGTATGGCACTAGACTGCTATAATGAACTTAATGATGTTGATCCGATTTTTGAATTGCCTAAAGTTAGCATAACTGGGAAAAGCCTGTTCAGGCAGATTAACCCACAACCTCCACACCCTAGGAACAAAGGAGCAGTCGTACCAGGCAGTTTTCGATGCACGGAGTTCGACAGAATTGGGATGGCGGGTCTGCATGGCACGTCTGTTAGAGAAGTGTCACTGATCAATCGAACAACCCTCCTCTGAGACAATGTAGTCGGAGCGGCAGCACCCTGAACATGTGAGGAGTACTCAAGGCTTCAACACTGGATGCCTGCGTGTAGAGTGCTGTCATCGGCAAAGCTGGGGATGGGATTAATCGTACAGGAGAGGCGGTCGTTGATATGCAATAGAAACAATGTTGGATCCAATACTGATTCCTGGGGGGCATCCGCGTTGATATGTGTGACGAAGTTTAATTCAGCCACCCATCTGCCAAGCTTCTCTTTGATTACCTTTAGGAGTCGATTCTCAATGTACAGGGTTTGTCCGGAAAGTAATAGGACTGAGTCGATTCAAAAAAATTTATTGAGCCAATCGTTACAATTCTTTAAAAACTTTCAAAATAGGCTCCTTCTGCGTCGATGCAGCGCTGCCAGCGCGATTTCCAAGCATTGAAGGCGTCACGGAAGGCATTCTCCGGAATAGCCTTGAGAGCCGCGGTGCATGTTGCTTGGATCCCCTCTGTCGTCTCAAAATGCTTGCCTTTTCAGGCGAGAAAACAAAAAAAGTTCGGGGGGCGTGATGCAACTTCCAGTCGGCTGCGAAATCTTGTCGGACCCGACTGACCCTTCGTTTGAGTCTCCTGAGCACTTCCACGTAAAACTTGGCGTTGACGGTTTGTCCAGGAGGAACAAATTCATGGTGGACGATGCCTTTGATGTCAAAACAGACAATGATCATCGTTTTCACTTTGGATTTGCTCATTCTTCCCTTTTTTGGACGAGGAGACGCCGTCCTGTGCCACTCGGAAGATTGCCTCTTTGTCTCGGGATCATACTCAAAGATACACGACTCGTCACCTATGATTACGTTATTCAAAAATTGGGGGTCACTTTCACACATGTTCAAATTTTATTTAGTCACATTATCGGTGTTTGAAGTACAGTCATGGAGGAAGAAAATGAGTCCTATTACTTTCCGGACAAACCCTGTACACAGATCAAATGAGATAATGAGAAGCAAAGCCTGAAGACTTTATCTGGCAGGACTAGAGCGCGATGACTCATGGTCAGGTCCGCAGCGACAAGTCGGAATAGATAGATTCTTGGCAAATATCGCAAAAATACGTTAGTCAATGTTATTCCCGATTAGTTAAGTACACGTTGCCAGCCCTGTACACCACTCAATCGAATCAGAGTGAAAATTGTCCTTTCTGGAACTTTACTGTTATGTGCCAAGTTAGAGAATTTAATGGCGAGTTATAAACGAGGCTGGGACGAGAGAGATCTATTTTATAATTTTTTAAAGTACCTCCGACAGAAAATGTCTTTATAGCCACACCAATCTAACATAATAGTTGTTTGCTGAATAGTAAGATGAATCGACTACTCTAAGGAAATTGGCAGAAATATACATGGGTTTTTCTGCAAAAGTATCAGGATTTGCACCATTTGGGAGACGTACAATGAGACAAATAGGACCTGTGTAATGTGATGATGGCTGATTAGACTTCCTCCAATCCACAATAAGCAAGTGTTAAACATGTGATATTCTTTTACCTGTTTTTTTTTTGTAAGTTTTATAAAAATGCCATTTTTATTCTCCAATCAAGAGTTAGCGGATATTCATTTTGTGTATGGCTTTGTAAATGGAAACGCAGCAGAAGCAGCCAGAGAATACGCACGAAGATTTCCAAACAGACGACATCCAACTCGCTCAGTATTTGTAAGAGTGCATCGCCAAATAATTGAAAATGGCTTTGGAAATCTCCAAAGGGATCAAAACTTAAATGTTCGTCAGCGCAGATTTACCCGTATGATTCTGCGTGAGTTTGATAGAGATCCAACCATAAGTGTTAGGAGACTTTCTGGTGCCTTGGGAATTTCAGCAAGCCATATTCACCGTGTTTTTCGAAATGACCATAGACGTCCTTACCATTTGCAACCTGTGCAAGGACTACAGCCAGGGGAGGGAGAACGAAGAATCACATTTTGTCAGTGGAGTCTTGATAGAACTGATAATAATAGGGTTTTTAAGTAACGTTTTATGGACCGATGAGTCATGCTTCACTAGACGTGGAGTGGTAAATTTTCATAATCAACATATTTGGTCGCATGAAAATCCGCATGCAGTTCGGGAAAGAAATTTTCAGCATGAATTTAGTGTGAACGTGTGGATTGGTACCGTAATCGACTATTTGGACCCTACCTTTTGCCTGCAAGGTTAAATGCTGCGACCTTCTTGGAATTTTTAAAGGCTGAACATGCAAATATGTGGGATGATGTTATGTTAGATTTAAGAAGATTGGCCTGGTTCCAGCTTGATAGTTGTCCAGCTCATTATTCGAGAATAGTTAGAAACTGGCTGGACGAAAATTATCCAGAAAGATGGATCGGCCGTGGAGGACCAGTCGCCTGGCCTCCACGATCCAATGACCTAAATCCATTAGATTTCTTTGTGTGGGGATTTCTAAAAGAAAAAGTGTACTAGACTCCCGTAACCACAAGAGATATGCTAATAGACAGAATCAGGAATGCATGTGATGAAGTAAGGCCTTATTTGAATAATGCTATACCACGTTCGATCATTCGTAGATGTGAATTGTGTATTGAACAATTGGGTTTACATTTCGAGCAACTACTTTAGATTTTGTATGTTCGTCCTAACTATCCAATAGCATCCAATATTCATTTAATTTGTTAAAAATAATATTGGAAAATTAAACAAATTAATATTGTTTTTTGTGTTTATTTGGAGTTAGGAATTATTGCTGTGTTTAAAAACACAATCTGAACGATCATCTTAATTACTTGTAATGCCCAAATCGAAAATGTAAAAAAAATATTATTTAGCCAAAAATAATTAAAAATGCATCGAACCCTAAAAATCGAAATATCTCAAAAACGGCTAACTATAACGAAAACTCACAGGAGAGCTTTTTATGTTGAAAAGTGCAAAGAATCTGTTTTATTCAAAAAGGAAAAAATTGCACCAAAAAAATTTTTTCGGTCATTTTAATACACTACAGGTACAGTAGAGAGCGCCCTCTAGCGGCTACAGTAAAACTATGCCCATGGTTCAAAATATTTTAAAAAAACTATTTTAGAAAGTAAATTTAAACACCTTGTATTTCGGAAGCCACGCATTTTTCGACCCATGTTTATATAGACTTTATGCTTTAATTTTAAAAGTTCTATCGAGTCTTAAAGTTATGCAACAATAAACTGAAACACCCTGTATATTATTATCAAATTGGGTTTGTCAGTTTGACAGCAGGCAAATAAATGTTTAGAACTATTTGTAAAATGAGTAGGAAACGTCGTGACCACTGATCTGCGTATTTGTATTTGCATTAGAGAGAATGACGCCAATCAATGAAAATGTCTAAATCTAATAAGCTCATATGACACCAGATCAGGATATGAATTTTGCTTTTGGTAAATTCGTAACCTAATTTATTCGAGCCACATTTATGATTACCTGCACGTCATGTAAATATAATATTAATTATATCAATGACAGTATTGATGAATTTCACACGAGGTAAATATAAAAATGCACAAATTAATTATATTCCCTAATGCAGCTATCCCACGCAACAATTTACAAAAACATGTGAAAATGAAATTAAAACATGTCCATATATAAACATATACATGATGAACGTTTTAATTTATTTTGGTGAGTTTAACGTCTTTTGGTATCATAGACTAGGTAGTTATTTTTCCTACAATAAATGTTTTTGGTGGTATCGTTAATTTATTCCTAATGATAAGTTCAAATTCGCGACTCGTTCGAGCATTTCACGCAATTTTGATTTAAGGAAACCATGCGAGTATGTACAATGTATCAAACGACAATCAGGATAATTCCCTCCCAGTCTTTAACTGAATAGACATTTCCAGGTCAGTCGCTCACATTCTGCATCTTAGCAGATTAACTACGCCGCGCTCGGAGAAAATTCTCGTAACCCGAAATTAGATTTGTTGTTTCAAGAAAATTAATTTCCTACAGGTAAAAATGTCAACGCGTCCTGATGTGCGCGACATTATGATAAATATAGAGCTGGAATTGGAAAATTTCCCGAGCGGAACGACATCAGGCCATGCTTTGCAAATAAATTGTAACACTTTATTTTGAAGAAACTGTCGATTCGTCCTTATGTTGAATATTTTGATATTGCCTTTTTTTATCTGCGATCTGTATAAGGACTCGTGTTCTACCCTTTCTCAAAAAGAATTTTTCTAGGAACGAACATAGTAGTTTTATTATTATTTTCACAAGTTCACTTTCAGAATTTCGGTGGACCAAATAAATATTAAAAGGAATGCCTTTTTGCTCCTTAAAAATCGTCAACAAGCTTTTTCGTGCTTTTTTGAAGGGATTCATATGAATGTATGGCCTTGAGAGGTTGGTAGGGTCTTCAAAAATTAGTGATTTATTAATATACGTAATAAGCACTTTAGGTATTTTAATGAAATTTGGCATGCATGTACTAGATATCAAGAAGAAGCTTTTTGATATACCACATTTTTTTTTATTTCCACCAGTGACATCGTACGGAATTTCACCTGCCTATTTTGACAGACATTGATGGTACGCCACTGATTTCTTTTAAAATAAAAATTATTCTCTGATATCTGCATCATCATAACAATATCATTAATATGACAATATCACCATGCAGAGAATTAGATTTTATTTTTAAATTCAAATCTCCTCATAAATGATTAAATATTTTTTTTTTTTTATTTTAAGAAAAGTCAGAAGCGTGTGACTGAAAATTTTGGAAATATCTGCCACTCATTTTCCACCCCAAATTCAAACCCACGATACAATGGTTATTTTCATTCTCGTTTTCGGATTCAGTGTCTCCAGTTACCGAGAATACCGGTTTTCGGCCTAATACAATTTTAATCAAAACTAGAAAATCAAAGTTTTTTTCATGTATACATATGAAATAACTAAACGATTCAATCACAAACGGCACCCATATGAACCTCGTCCATGGTGAAGGTCACTTCAAGATCAGTTTCAGATGAAATTTTGAAGTTTATGGAGTGAGTAACCAGGTATCTGGGGCTTAACTGTCGTGCTTATAGATTTTTGGGGTCACTGGGGCCAATTCCGAGGTCAGTTTGGCCAAATTAGGTCATTTGAAATGAGCTTCTGAGTCATCTCAAAGTCAAATTGAAATGTCGGAAATCAAATCTACTAGGCATGTGCATAGGTTTCTGAAGACGCTGAGTCGTTCCATTCCGAGGTCAGCTTGTCCGCTTGAGTTTATTTTAAGAGCGTTCCGAGTTCATTTAAAGATTATTCAAGGTTAAATTGAAAGAATGCCAGGAAATCAAATCAACTAAACCTGTACATAGGTTTTTCGGCTCTATAAGTGTGAATCTGTTTCGAGGTCATCTCAAGATCAAAACACTGAGAAATCAAGTATGCCAGATCGTTTCAGAATGACCTCTAAACGCCCCTCAAATGGCCTGACATGGACAATTAGACCTCAGATTCGGCTCAGCATTCCAAAAAACCTATAAACATGACAGTTATATGTCAGATACCTGATTACTTCGTAAACTTCACCTAAAACTGACCTTGAACTAATCTTCACCCTAGCCAGGAGGAGGTCCGAATAAGTAGCGTTTATGGTCAAATCGTCTAGTTAATGTATATAACTAATTAACAAAACTTTTTGAACAAAATTGTGTAAGGCCCAATATCGGCCTAATGGGCCTTGCTTCTTTTCTCTAACAAGTTGAAATACGCGTCTCAACATAATTTGCACCAGCGCGTACATAGGTGATCAAAGAAATCGATCGCCAATATAGTAGAGTGCTCGCGTGATGCAAAGTCGTGAAATTAGCTGTTTGGCTAACACTTTACAGTTAAACTTCACAAATGTATGAGGAATTTTACCATGTTGCTCTACATAAATCAAGTGCATCAGACTAACAGATCGTAGGGGGAAATTGGATAGTAAAGTTCTTTGTTTAAAACAAGCTTTGTCACTTACCTCTCTCCCTGGAGGCTTGGTGTGGGAGAAATTTCTAATCATATCTTCAGACAAGTTCCCCATTCCAATGTAGTAATACCTGGAGTAGATAAACTTAATAAATGCGATAGAAATTCCTGTCAAGCAGACTAACTACATGAGTGAAAAAAAAAACACCGGCTCTAGCGTTGTTTTTCACGTTTTTCCAGTGTATTATAATGACTGTAAGTAGTTATACGTCTCTGAATATGGCCTTGTGATCATTTCAGGATTTAGAACATGTATGGTTCTGTACATATAAAATTTTCGAAAATCCAGTATATTCAACATTTCTCTTAGTATCATTCTCTCATTCATTTTGTTACAATATTAAGTTTCTCATAGCTTAGCGTTATATACAGGAGGACCACATTTGTCTGACGGCTCGAGTTCAATGTGCATGAGAGAGAAGTGTATATCAGCACATGTTAGAAAGAGATAGAAGCTGGCTGAAGAGCAAGGGTCATCACCACATTGTCTAGCAACGGTGACGCAGAAGGTTCGCACAGGTTTCTACAATAAGTTAGAAAGAGGTCTGTTGGAACAGTAGAATTATTTATTTTAATTTTAATGTGTCTTTTAATTTATCTTAGAATTATCTTTGATTTCCACAGAAGGTGATAAAATCAACACATCCAGAGTAATGTTTGCTGTCGCAAAATGTAACAAAATCGCTCATCTATTATCATGGAGGTGGAAACCTTGCCTTGGAATGTACGAGATGCGGTGTTGTTGCGTCAGCGTTGCTAGGCAACGCAGCGATGAGCTGCGCTATCCAGCCAGCTTCTATCTCTTTTTAACATATCTATTTATACCCACTTTATCAAAATATTAACTAAAGCTTTAGACCTACAATGACGCGAATTTGGATTTTTCATTATAAAGCATTATTTGACAGATATAGAAAATTCTGTTGCACTTATTTCAAAATGTTGTACTTGAAATATATAATATAACATATTCCTTGGGCTTGTGTGATGTTGGCTTGACAATTTTGGGCAAGTTTTTTCCTGCCCCAGCCAGATGATGATGTTGATTTTCTGTCTTGTAAATGTTTTCTAATCATTGTTGGAAAGCTCTCACAATCACAAGTTGTTACAACTGAATTTCAATAAATTTAATGAGTGTAAGTTTGAGTGAGACTTTTGACAGTGTGAAAAATGTGAACTGATAACCTGCATGTTTGGACCAGAGATGATTTTGTCTGCTCGTTTGCCAGATTCGCCTTCATTACAAAATAATTATTTGCGGAAGGATGATCCTTCTTAGAAATTAGCAAAGCAGTCGGGTTACTTATATCGCTAAATCTTCATTTGCCTGTTCATAAGATTGTAACCACACCTGCTAAACCAGTAATGGTAAAATTGGATGAAAGATATGTGTAGGATTGGACTTACAACACTGATTTATTTTTGGGAAATGATTTAAAAAATCTAGAAATCTTTGTATGTTCCTATCAGGTTTTTGTTAATTATTTTGTAATAACAATTTTGTGTGATCAATTTTTCCTAAGAACAGCAGGCTTAAACATTTTGAATGATGCAAAAACATATTTTTTATATACTGTTACAAGTTCCCAAGTCCAACATACAATGAAATACATATTAATCAGTATATTTTTAAATAATTTTGATGATTGATAAACTTAGGAAATTTAGGAACTTGCATACAAATATGCTTTAAAATGGATCAAAAATTATGAAAAAATAAAATATGTTTTGGAGGTACTTAAGTAGGTAATTACACTTAAATAAATAAAAGTTCTGTTTTTACCACAAATTCACTGGTTTTATTATGATTACAGTTGAATGGAACTCCAAAAAAAGCATATCAATAATTTTCATGATTAAACAATAATCTCTAATTGCAATGCTAAAATTAAATTCAACTTAATGATATTACATATCTCACAAACTTTTGAAAAGTCCTGCTTAAGCTTAATACTTCTATATTATTTTTTTATAAGTATAAACATTCTTTAGACTCTTTACACTAATGATGGGTCAAAAAAAGGCAGTAATCAAATTTGGGACTAGGCATTTGTGTATAAAACTGATATTTGTTTTAAATTCCGCAATTAATTATATTTTCCACTTTTTAAATAAGCACAATCAACAACTTGGAAAGCAACAACTAGAGTACAATAATGTATCAAAATATGGATGTCATCAATCAAAGGACAAATAACCATCTGCGAACGATAAATAATTAGGTACAATGATAAGTTCTTCAAAGAAACTTACCTTACATTGATGTGATGCAAAGGTCATACTTCCAGCATCCACAATGAAGTGGCCAAGAATATCGGAAAATCACCTTGCGAGAGATGTTAATAATAAATGGGCATATATTCTTATATATTATCACACCGAGTTCATTCTTTAAATTGTAGTATAAACAAAAACACACGTTCTTAGAACAACAAATGTATATACTCCATTTTGAAACCTTCTATGAGGAATGTTACTAACGTGATTTCTTTGTACATCTTCATCATACTCCACCTCTTATCTGCATTATTTGCTAGTTTCCTGGTACGGTTTCTGTCATACAATATCTCAGATTTTATTATTTGTCTGGGAGTGTCGAGTAAACGGCAACAATTTTGCTATTTCTACATCGTATCGATGTAGTTTGCTCATTTATTACACTCTAGCACACACTCATCTGTCGATCTGTCAGTCGCTTTATTGCGATTTGCCGTCATATCAAGTTTAGTACATTTAGTATCAAACAGAGGGCGCTCCGTCTGCTGTCATACTTGTCATACTAACTTGTCATCTTGTCAACGTATCTCAGGACCATGAAGACTAGAGACAAGAGGTTAAGCTGCGTCAGGGATAAACGTATTCGTATGAAGCCAATCCCGCGGCTAAGGATGATGTGGCTCTCAGAAATCTAATGGCAGGCCGATGTCGCTCTCGGAAATCTAGTGGATGCAGAGCGTCTGTGCATTGAAAAATGCTGCCACGCTTTGTAGGTTAATTCCTTCCTGGTGTATTATTATCCAACATTTCTGCTTGAAGCTTGTCCGAACTGTCAAAACTGGAGTTGTTCACAGTCATGACAGCAACAGAGATGCCACAAGCGCAGAACCTGAAATTCATCTTCTGCGCAGTGTACACACCAGATACTCTATGCGCGACACATGAAATTCATTTCCTGCGCAGTGTATTAACTTAATTCATTGTCGACTCTATGAGTTTAACCTCTTATCTCTAGACTTCATGCTAAAGATCAACCTACGATGTTGTCAACCTGACACAATATTCTGGATCATGAAGACTGGAAACAGGAAGGTAAACTGCCAGAGGCGGCCGAAGTTTGAACCTCCGGTTCATTTGTGCAGATGCGTCACACGAAAACACTGTTAAGCCAGAAACTCTAGCGAAAATCAAATGAACTTTAGGGGGAAATTATAAGTGGACAAACTGTTTAGTGTGCTGTTCGTAAGCAAATATTGTTTACATTAATTTAATTATCAGTCGTAAAATCTGAGAAATTATCAATGAATTATTCAATAAGAATAAGAGAAAAGTTGGCACGGGTGGCAATTTTTGTTTTATGAAGGCCCACGAGGACTTTTTACCACAGTTCGGATTCTACATGTAAAAAATAATTGTAACTGACAGTCATATTAAGTAAGAATAAGAACTACTGACAACAGCGGGAATTGCAGTTTTCATTACATTGAATTCAAAAAAATTCATAATCTATTTTATAGGCTTTTATTAAATGAGTATGATATATATATATATAAATAAATAAAACGTTAAAATCTTCCAAGTGTGATGCAAAAACTAAAACATCACAGGTTACTAAAATAGGTCACAGGTGACTCTAGAAACGATTTACATATAAACAAAAACATTCTAAAACACAAATTTACAAAATTCGTTACAAACCTACAATACTGTTTAAAAAATTGAAAAACATATGTTATATACTACTAGTATAGACAAGAAATTATTAGTGCGGACATCTTTGTACAGATGGCTCTGTCAGTATCTTTAAAAATGAACAAAAATAGTACAGAATAGAAACATACAAAACTTAAAATACTGTTTACGAGATAAAAAATATCACTGTCTACAAAGAATGGATGATAGTCATCTCATTATGAGTGTCGACATCTTCGCAGACTATAGCCAGGCTCTGATTCTGCAGATTATGTACAGCCAGAATGCGTACACGAATGTTATCAAGAGGCAGCCAATCACCTGTAAACAAGAAAAAAAATGTAAAGTTCTGACTCTATAGGAGTTTTTAGTGCAACAAAAATAACGAATCGTTAGGCCTTCCGTTGCATTATTCTTGACAGCGATAACAAAATATGGATGATTGGAAAAACGAGAGTTTTTATTACCACTAAAGTAAATCATGGTTATTTGACAATACTGACAACTGAAGTGACATCATGACAGGTTGCTAAGCTTTTTTTTATTTTGACTCGAAGCCAACCTCAAAAATTTAAATCTTGTTGAATCTTTTCGGGAACACAATACGGTTACTCTAAACTGGCGAAGAAATGGTTTAGCATGCGATTCTTCACATAACTACAAGTGACCGCAAAACCGCTAACCACCTGAACTAGAGTAAAAAGCATATATTGCCACATTGCATACATCTAACAAAAACCAGGACAATTCAAATCATTTAGAAGGCTGACTATTTCTTGCCTTTAGTTTCATCTGTGATCTGAAACTCATAATTTTATTTTAATTTTAGCAAAGTATCATTTGAAATCATTTTAATTAAACTTTCCAGCTTTGGGATTCCGGGAACAGAGCTGAACAAGAAAAAAAGTACCTTACGAAATAAAATCTCCCTTATTCTCCATAATTAACGGAGCTTTATATTTTTTTATATTCCAACTACCACGAAGGCCTACGGCCTAAACACCCATTGGGCACCGTGGGGCTATAGGGGATACAGGGGAAAGGGGGAACGCCAGAGAGGGAACACGTGTGCATGCAACAGGCACACATTCTGGCTCCGCCTACGAGATCCGCCGGATGGTACCTCCACGTTCGACAGTCAGAGACTTTTTTTTTTTGGTGAGGGGGGAATGCATTTACGCACCATACCATAGCCCGAGCTACGGCGTGTGTGGGACTTCAGGGTCTTGAGGAGATCGCCTAATACCCACTAAACCCTAAACCTCCGCGTGGCCCGACTCATCAGCGTCTCGGTAGGCCATGTGTTGTGCGTGACCTGCGGTCTGCTACAACGTCTCCTCATGTGTTTCAGTCTCTGGGAACGCCGGATTGGTTCCCTTTACCTCGCACATTCTATCGATGTCGTTAGGGGGGGGAGAGCAACCGCGGGTTCTCCTAGTCTCCTAGTCAAGGTTCCAGTTAGCGGGTGCCAACTGGGACCTTGGTCTAGGGTACCTGGTTCTGCGGTTGCGAGGCCTCTCGTCCGGATCGTAGTCCATGAGGAATCGTAGCTGCTCGTTCGGGTGGTCCTGAGCTTTCTCGAAGGTCTTCTCCGCTTTTTTCCTCATGTACTCGTGGATGGTGTCCCAATGCAGGTCTCTACGCAAGGTCGAGTTTCTTACGTAGGATGGTGCACTGGTGGCGATCCGGAGTAGCTTCATCTCTAGAGCAGCAAGTCGCTTGCGGTAGCTGGGGGCAGCGTACCCCCAGACCGCGGAGGCGTAAGCGAGCTGAGGTCTGGCGATGGCCTTGATCAGCCGTAGCTTGGTCGCTAGCGGCATCCGGCTGTGTCTACCCAGTAATGGGTAGAGTTGAGCCATGGCTGCTCTGGTCTTTGCGATGACAGCTTCTTTGTCGCTCCACTGGATATCTTCGTCGAAGATGGATGCTTCGAGAGGTCTTGCAATCCTTCTTCGTTGAATGAAGATTGCCTGCGTCTTCTGGACGTTGATGCGGATTTTCCATTTCACGCACCAGTCCTGGATGTGGTCCAGTTCATCCTGTAGTCTCCTACGGATGATCTCGGGTCGTCTATGCTTGGCGGCTATAGCAGTGTCGTCTGCATATAGGGCCAGCATTGTGTCAGCTGTCTTCGGCACATCGTGAGTATAGATGTTGTAGAGCAGGGGGGCTAAGGCTGACCCCTGGGGCACGCCTGCTTCCAGCTGTCGTCTTGTTGAATGACATGTACCAATCTTCACCGTGAACCATCTTTGTGTTAGATAGCTCTGGATCAGTTGGCACATGTTCGCATCGATTCCGGCGGCTTCCATTTTGGCGATGAGTCCATCGTGCCAAACTCGGTCGAAGGCTCGTTCCACGTCCAGCAGGACGAGACCGGTTGCCTCCTGGAGATTGAAGCCGCTGGTGTTCCGTGTTGTGGGAGGATCTGAAGCCGAATTGCTCTGGGGGAGAAGTTGCAGTTCTTCTGCCTGCTTCTCTAGTCGAACGGCGATAGCCTTTTCGACTACTTTGCCCATCGAGGAAACCAGGCTGATGGGCCGGTAGTTCTGGGGCAACTTCCGGTCCTTGCCTGGCTTGGTGAGCATTATAACCTGGGCTTCCCGCCACCGCCGCGGGAAGTGGTTAAGTCTCAGAGTGGCATTGGCGATGTTGGTGAGCGCAGCAATGCCTTTGGTGGGAAGGTTCTTCAGCATCCTATTGTTGATGCCGTCCCTTCCCGGCGCCTTTCTGACCTTCAACCTGCGGATGATCAGACGGATTTCCTCTGGACTGGAGGGGTGATCCGTCTCCTGGCCAGGTGGTCGACTCCTCATGATTTCGGCTGCGACTTCCACGGCCTCCTCGTGGTTGTCGTCCTAGTCAGAGACCGTCTACCACCTACCCTTATATATCACAGCTTGAATAAGGATCAGCTAATGAAACTCTCCTGACAGTGTCAAAAACAGCCGCCATTTCGGCGGGAAAAGCCGAATGTAAATTCCCCCAGTACAAATATGAAAGTTTTTAGTTCCCAGCGGCAGCCGGTACACTAGATCATATCGAAATATAATCATATCAAGATTGCAAAGAATATCTGCAGCCGCTGGCATGACACGAGGCAACACCGCACCGGCTGCTGTTGAGCACTAAAATCTATTTCATCGTTGTACTGGGTGAATTTACATTCGACTGTCTCCGAAGAAATGGCGACCGTTTTTGACACTGACAGGAGAGTTTCATAAAGGATTTTTCCGCGACTCCACGGTGTAGCACAGTGCACTACCGGGAACCGATACTCAAATTTTCGCGAAGAACGGGAATAGGGGAAGACAGATGTGACGTTGTCCGAATGTCAAAAAATCACGTGGTACGGGTACCCGCCTAACGTCTGTGAGGTACTAGCGGATGACAGGTCTTATGTCAATGTCATTTAAAAAACGGGCATCTCAACTGAACATTTTTTGTCTTCGCAGTGCTGAAAATTAAGTTAAGTTATTAAATCATAAATCTAGGAACACGTCCACCTGATTTTAAATGCCGAAGGAGAAGGCATTCAAAGATATATGATATATATTGTCATATCAAATGATTGATTTTATTGATATATATGTACATTGCACAAAAAACGATCGGTCTTTTCATTTCAGATTCAAACAAGGCAGCTAAGTTTATCAAGGAGCTTAAAGCAAACATTTTGCGCAACATGCGCCATCTAACTACTCCCGGTGTAATTTGAAACTGTCAAAACTTCGAGAGGAAGGGGAAATTCCATCTGTTCCCGCTCCGGTTCACTACGGGATCTCGCGAAAAAATCTCTATAGCTGATTGTTATCAAAGCTGTGTTTACATTTCGATAGCGGAGAACGAATGATTGCTTCGCTACTGTGTAAGCTCAGAATAACAGAGATCATAACGAAGCAGCATGTAGTAAGAGTACTAAAAACTCTCCATCAGTGTACACTAGGTTATCACTGGTAGTAGGCAACCCAAGTATCATACTGTAAGTAGGATACTGACATTAAGGATTTTTTCGCGACTCCACGTGTAGCAGTGCACTACCGGGAACTTATACTCAAATTTTCGCGAAGAACGGGAATAGCAAGTAGTCACTTGCACCTTCTTGAAACGTTCATCTCTTGTGATGCGGACCTTTGTATCAAGTACAACTAAGGTTGCTTTGCTTAAATCCCTCAAATGATTAGACTTTTTAGCTTCCCAGTCATTTTAAAGCTATCAATGCTATCACAATTCACTTTTAGCTCGGTGTTCTACAGGTTGTGTTATGAAAGATTACGCATAGTAACTAAGTGATCATTGGATACACAACCTGTATAGTACTAGTAGTGGTGGGGAGGCAAAGCCTGACAACCAGGCCACCTTTGAACATTTTTGCCGACCCCCGTAGTACAACACTGTATTTGAAAAATCAACACGTTTTTTACGAGGTGAAATCGATTTTTTTTATTGATAAGTGAAGGTTGGTTTATGCCATTTATGTATGAAAAATAACATCAGTCATGTAACCAAAAAATTTTCAATGACTTTTCCCAGAATAATCGGGTCAATGGCCGCAATTTCAATCCGAATATTGCGCTTCAGGTCTTGAATTGTCCGGGGACCATTCGCATACATTTTTCCTATAAAAAAATCCCCAAAGAAAATAGTCAGGAGGTGTTAAATCGCACGATCTCCGGGGCCAACTGACATCTGAATTTCGTGAAATTATGCGGTCTTGAAATTTCATGTGCAATAAGGCGATTGTTTAGCGAGATGTGAGAGCCGTTGCGCCGTCTTGATGAAACTAAAGATGGTCGGCACCAATACGATCAAATTGTGGTCACAAAAAGTCTGTTAACATGCCGCGATAACGTTCCCCGTTGACGGTAATGCCCTTTTCTTCGGCATCTTCAAAGAAGAATGGTCCAACGATGCCACCAGCCCATAATCCGCACCAGTCACTTTTTCAGGATGGAGAAAATGAGCCGCATCAGAAAAGAGCACATTGGTCGTAAATCCGTCTTCTCTTTCCAGTTGTAAATCAATGTGTAAAATCCGGCGTAAAGTGGTCTCTCACTAATTCCCAATTACATATTGCGAACGGTGCCTAGTCGAGGTGGTTGGATCTTCTCACATGCTTTCACTCACTGCGGCTATGTTTTAGTACGAGCTGGACGAGCATGTTTGGTATGGTCTACGACCTTCAGTTGAACCAGCGATTAACAATCCAACGAATTCCAGGCTCTGTAGGGGGTCCATGTCGGCCAAAACTAGTGCGAAGTTTGCGAAAAGTATTTTTTATATTTCGACCATTTTCGTAATGAGTTTGGATAACCAAAATGCGTTGTTGTGTTGTAAACGTATCCATGACTATAAATGGCATACCTTTGACCACATGACTTTTGACTCGCATGGTAACACATAAACTTCTAGGTAAAACAAAGTAATAGATGACGCACCCTATATAATAAACCAGCTCCAGTGATGAGATGTAGACTGTAGACTTCATATCAATGTTCAATACCTTGAAAGTTTTTATGGAAATATATAAAAATATACAGTTTAAAATATATTTACGTTTGTTTATATAAGTTCGTTTCCAAATTGGTTGTAACACATCTCACATGAAATGTGACAAACTGTAAAGGAAAAGGTAGGCGATAGGAAACTTCTTAGTCAAAGCAACTGCGTTTTTACAGAGATTTATTTCCAGCTCATGTTTTACAATAATCACTATCCAAATTTCAATAAGAATTACTTAGGTAAACACTTATATGTTTTGTAGAACTATCAACGTGTCGTTTGAAATCTGTTACTTGAAAGCAGGTCCATTTGGATGATGACCAGCTTTTGTGGTTTTCAAAATCAGGTATTTCAAACAAAATCGCTAAAAGCCTTAGGTACTTAGTTTCTGCTTCTAAAGGTTCGCTGACTTTGAAGTTGAGTCATTAATTTTCAGATAATGATTGTAGAAGGAAGATAAACCAAAATATGTGTGTAAAAATAAAAAAAAAAAAATTACCTTGTTTTATAAAGTATCCTCCCGACAAGTATTTCAGTGCGGACCTGTATTTGATCGTGAGGTCCCCTGTGAGGTCTTAAGTCACCTGATTCACGAGCCCGTTGTACTACATTAACAAAGGCACGAGGGGTTGGTTGCACTCGATTGGGAAACCGATCCGCATAAACATGTGCCATTTTTTATTTCGTTTGAGCCACGCAACAGACACTATTCACACGCGACTGACACTGACTGTATGTATAACTGAACTGAATAACATAATTGTAAAAACATCGTTCCAAATTCCTTCGCTTTTTTGTTTCCGATGCGATGAACCGATAAGGCGGATTATATCCGTTGTTGCCAAACACGAGCACATGATATTATTGAGACAGGGCGGTACTCAAACTTCCAAAGGGCTATAACTTTGTTACTTTAATTTTTCCAGAAAAATGGTAAAGGAAAAAAACATTTCTTTTGATCAGATCTACTCGCTGTTAAAATAAATGACTCAACTTCGAAGTCATATAGCACTTTATGGTTCTAGTTGCGATCAATATTTATGAATATTAAAAATAGTTCTACAAAACAATCTTTTAAAACAACTTTCCGTAAATACGTGGAAACAATACGAATACCAGTAGCACCTCTTATATAATACCACATCATCTAGGGTAACATCTAGATTAGCAGAATGATGCATCTTAGATGCCTTATCTTTTGGTAAGTTCAAATACAAAATGATTATGCGAAACGAAATTAAGTAAATGATTTTGGAAGAAACGCCTACTGATGCAAACAGTCAAAGTAATATCAACTGTAACTGGGTTAAGACTGTAAGCTACTTGGGAATTTAAGATATTTATGAATGAAAAAATGTTCTGGATTTATCACTTTTTCCAACGACAAGGCTGTTTGGGAAAGACATCCATTAACAAAACGGTTTGACAAGACATGTAAGCAAATGGTTTAAAAGATTCTGTACCAGGCACAAAACATGGAATTTGATGGCCGGGCAATTTTAACGAAAATTCGTATAGTGTGAGTTCAAGCTGTGCTGATCAGATGTTCCAAAAATATTTCAGGTATACACCGCAATCTCAATAAACCAGTTTTTGGCTAGTAAAACATGCCTGTGGGTCCTCAGCCTCCTTATTCGCCTGAATTGAGTCCTTGTGACTTTTTTCTCTTGTCGAAGCTGTTACCGAACAGCTCATATTCCAGTATCGAATTTTCGTAAAGATTGATCGGTGGTCAAATTCCATACGTTTTGTGCTTAAGCTGCAACGTTTGAAAATATCTCTCAATTTAATCATTAGACGATTCCTCCGCAACAGAAAGTGTTAGTCTGCTATTTTGTCGCTCACTTCGATCCTTCCTTAACAGAAACGCTCGATTATATACTATATAGGGACACTGATAAAAGCTCTTAAAAATTAACGGAACTATCGATTTCAAATCAACCAAATAAATCCTAAAAGTGAATACAAAACGCCTACGTGCATAACACATAATCCAATCACATTAGATCACATTTTCAACAACACTACCCACAAAATTTTGCATATATTTAGTTTTTTTCCAATAGAATTTTAATTACAGTTACAAAAATCTAGAGGTATAATAGAAATACATTCTCACTTGAATTAAAGCTAGTACTACAATTTAATGAAGAAACATATCACAGACGATTTCTGTGGATACGAGGGTACATGACTATTATGGTATTTAAAAAAGGCAACGTTGAATAATCGGGAACATTTACCAATTAATATTTCGAACACTCCAGACCTTCAAAGTATCCTAATTTTCCAATAATTCCTTGCTGAGATTTTAGCTTCGATCTTCGATATCTCAGAAACCCATCATCGTACCGAAATCAAAAGTTGGAATGGATTCTCTAAAAGGATCAATAATCATTCATATAACTGAAAATAGAACAGGTAAAGAGGTAATTTCTGAGTTTCTTTAAAACAAGGGCTTAATTCCAAATACTGACAAGATGGCTAATGTTGAGCGTGATTTTTACAGCTCCATATACACACATAATAATACCAGTACGGTTTTTTTGCTTTGGACAATTAAATTTAAAAAAAAATGGATCACGTTTGTATCTGCAAAAAATATTTTTTATCAGCAATAGACGTGATCCTTCAATTATATCGCAAATATGATTGTAAAAAAAAGTCTAGGTAGAGAAAAGCGAAATTTTACAAGATTATTGTATTCTATCGATATTTGCTTGGCTCTCCGAAAAAAACATAAATTACCACTTTTGACCTGTTTTTTTTTTCAGGTCATATGAAAGGTGAAGAAAAATTGTTATTCCATAAATGATCATTATCTTCATGAAATTGCATTCCAGCTTTTAAAATCACCTTTAGATTTCACGTACGGTGATTAGTTTCTGAGATTCCGATGATCAAAGGCAAGATCCTTTTTCGACAAAAATTGGCTATCGAGTTTATGCAATTATTCAGCGGAAAACATTTTTCCAATTAAAAGTATAAAAGACCTCCAATTTTTTCACACTATTTCCTTGGATTGCCTGGTAGCTGTAGCTTGACTCGACTATTCTAACGCTAGACATTTGCAGCTTTTCAATGCTCCTCTTAGAAAAACAATACCATCATTTTTTACCGAGTTACTACAAATTTACAATTGTTATTTGATTTAAATGAATATTCAGGGTTTCCCGATCAATTCAATGTATAATCTTGCATAACCCTATGATCGTGTTATATAACATTATAAAACTGGCAATGGTAGTTCTAGATAACTATGAAATGCTAATGTTTACACTCTTCAATTGTCTAAAATACGATATTCCGGTGAATAAGCGCAAAATGCACCCTCCTTATATTTGTCTCAAGAGCGATTTTGTTCGATGTGAGGCCTTTTTATTGCCGTTAACTTCAAGGCGTTCTTATTGATCTATTCCCCGAAAGGGGCTTACTCATCTTGCTCCTTATTCTTATCAAATGTAGTGAAGGAAACCTCAGATCGAAAAAGGTGGACTTTGATATTTGACATTAACCTTTGATTTAATACCTTTTTGTATGACTGATCGAATTCAAACGCATGTCTTCTTGCTCAGTATCAAAGTGTTCAGGATAGTATGAACGTAACTCGTAAATCTGTAAAACACTACCTATATGCAGATTTTGAATTGCATCATCTTGGGACTGCTGGACTCAGGAACTATAGTTTTCTGTAATTCCTCTTCGATACTTACACTGGATTTCATGTTCGAAATTAACTCTACTTGTCAGCTACAAATGTGCAATAGATAAGGTGGTCATTAATGGTGTCTTCGAGATATCAGTACTATTTACCCAGCTGGCCCCTGACGATTATCGCACCTCTTCAAATGCAGAGACGTACGAAGTCGCCAGGGCGAAATCATTATCCTTGGATCCATGAGAGTTAAAACACACGCAAAACACAATCCATGCGCCATGCGGTCAATTGATTACATCACACTTTTTGGAAACCGCGGGTGTTATTTTGTTAGGTTACAGTTTTAGCTTACTCCATAGGTATTGGAAGAATTTACGAGAAGAACGTGTTTTTAAAATCGGCGATATTACTTACTTATGGAACAATATTTTATATGAGCGTTATCGGAGCCATCTCTTAACAACAACAAAATGTAAATATTTAGGATAAAGCTATTTTGCCTAAGTTAAGACTACTAAAGCCATGCATGCTATTCTACATAATTATATAAAAACAGAAGGGTATAACTACCATATTGCCTGTACAATATATCTACTATACGGCAGTATAAAATCATGTTTCTGGGGAGGTCGCCGGTATCTACAGAGTGTCCGCAAAGTTGGGGTTTTCCTTTTCAGAACAACTACCCTTGAAATAACAAGGTAATGTGTAGTGAAACGAGGGCGACCTAGTAAAAAAAATAAAGGAAAAAGTACTCACTCTCCAGTTGACGAGAAGTGCTAAGTACGTCTCTGCCCGAAATCATATCGCTCCAACAGAAAATGAAATCAGCTGATGCATTACCGAGCAGACGCACCATGCCAGCCCAAACATTCATCGAAAATGTTTGTTGAAAATGTGCCCGACGGACAGCGTGGATTTTCTACTGACCAAACATGAGTGTTGCGAAAGTTATTCACCCCATTACGCGTGAATGTAGATTCGTCTGTCACCAATATGCACTTCAAAAAGTCCCGATTTTTGTCATGTTGATGCAACAACCACTCAAAAAACCGCACTCTTGCTGGAAAATCGTCAGGTTGAAGGGCTTGTACACGTTGGACGTGAAACGGATATAGCCCGTCTTCACGCAGCGTTTGCCACACTTTAGTTTTTGATACTTGCACTTCTCTAGCCACGTCTCTAGTGCTTGTTGAGGGATTATCGTCTACGCGATTACCTCTACACGCGTGACCGTAACCGTCGGTTGAAGGTTGCATACTGACCTGACACACTGACCCCGACCCAGTTCTGTCGTCGGGTTGAGACAGTGACCTTGTACCAGTCGATGATGTCGCGGCTACAGGACGGTATTCAGATATTTTGGATGTTGCAGAGCCCTTTATCTCGGTTCCCTTAAGACATTGGTGTATAGGTACTAAGAAAAACTGCTTATGTTTTCAAGATCTACACGTCGTCTAAAGGAAAACCTCAACTTTGCGGACACCCTGTATAAGAAACTCGGAAGGGATCCAACTATTTGTAGCCAGCAAACTTTGATATCAATCAAAATGTAGTTAGACGGACCATTGGCGTATAGAAAAAGGGACAAGTTGGGCAAGTGCGAGACAGTTGAATGTATCAAAAATAACATGTTTCGGTGGTTTCTCGGTGGAAAACGAACGAAAATGGAACTACTCTATTCTATTCAGACTACGAAGTTTAGCGAAATAAGACAGCGCAAAGTTCTGGTAATAGATGGCGATTTGTGCTCTATTATTTCAATAGAACATGTTTTGTTATGAAGATAAATTAGGACAAATTAATGCACAGGATCCTGCGCGAACCGAGTCGATATCTATTATACAGGGCGTTCATTTGAAAAGTTCCCACCATGAATTTATCGAAAATCACTGATTAAAAGAAAAAAAAACGACGGGATACGTCAAAAGATTTGAACTTTTCAACCAAAAACTACTTGACCCCCTTTCAACGTCGGCCCCCCAGGGTTATTCCCTTAATAATTTTAAATGACAGGGGGTATCGGGTAACAGCTTGTTTGAAGGGTCTTTCGAAGTCTTTTGTTTTGACGACTGCTTTTTTAAAATCAGTCTATTCGTTTTCGAGAAAATTAGAAAAATCTTTACTGATCTAGTTTGTTCAGATAGAAAATAAATGCAGACGAAAATATCACTTTTTATTTCAATAAGTATTCAAAATGTTGCCCGTTAGGCTTTGCCAAATCTACAATTTGTTTATAATTTAAAATGGAAACTACCAACATAAACAGCAATTCGGAAGATTAAACGTGGCAACAACCAGATTTTTTCCGCATTGTTTTCATCAAGACTGGGCGAACTGTATTTGATGTTATACCTGTTATTTGTTGCTAACGGAAAGAAAGAATTTGATTTGCTGTCAATTATCTTTGTGACAATCTTGGGATGGTGAAAATTAATTTATTGATTCATATTTTCCTTCCAAAATGGTTTACATACTAGCCGAAAGAAGGGAAATGATCTAATTTGTGCTCGGAAAAAAAACGTGGTCATCGGAGAGTTTTGGATGAAGTACTTCGAAAAACCTTCCAAACAAGCTATTACTAGATACCCCTTGTCATTTAAAATTTTTAAGGGAATGACCCTGGGGGGCTGAGGGTGAAAGGGGCTGAAGTAGTTTTTGGTTAAAAGTTGTCCCCTTTGATAAATCTTTTCACGTATCTCCGAGATTTTTCTTTTAATCAGTGGTTATCGATAAATCCCTTATGGGAAGTCCTCAAATGTAGTATAAGAAATTATTCGAAAATTCGAAATGTTTATAGCAAAAATTTTTTGAGTTCTATATATAACAGAAATAAATACTGAACACCTGCCTCAGAAAATGTAATCCATCCTGCAAATATGGCAAATTTATTATTACAAAACTACCTGTGTGGTTATTTGAATATGAAGCGTTGAAATAAATTGCTGGAAAATCGAATAAATCGAAAAAAAAAACAACGGTGAAATATCGGCAAACAGAAATTGATTAAAAAGCATGCATCAAGTCTTGACAAGTCTAAACGTATGGCTCTCCTCATTCCAATTTGTAAAACGACTCTAGTTGCGATCTTTGTATATTGATTGATTTAACACCTCCCAGCTTTGCATATTAATATAAGCCTGCTTTAAAAATGACACACTCTGAAATTTTGAGTGCTTCTGCGGAGTTACATTAAAATGGGTTCTGCTAGATTTCAAAATTAAAGGACATCAGAAAATAAAATGTAATGTTTCCAAAAACTATTTCACCTCAATTTTTTTTAGTGTTTTCATACCGATCAGAACTCACAATACCTTCACCATTAGACCGGTTTTTGAGATGCAATTTTTTGTCAGTTAACGTGATCTTAGGAACTAATGATTACTTTTTTGACTATTACTCTGCCCTACCTGGACCCACCCTCAAAAACACTTGCTGAGACGCTAAGGAGCACCGCAGAGATGCCAGTGGCGTAACTTGTATATATCATAAGGTCTAAAAAATGAAGTCAAGTAGATCGACTCGGTACTTCCCACCCACTGATATGAATCTAGTGATTAGTTAAATACGAAATATTCCTAATCACAACATTTTTGAGCTAAAGTTGTTACCCAAGTCGTATCGATGTTCGGGAATGTTTTCTACATTTTGAAAAAATCACAACTCAGAAATGACGTATTTTCGACCTTGCTATATAAACTCTGCTCCATTTTGAATGGATAAGGGAAACGACAACTTAAGAATATCAGATCTGTTTTTCGTGAAAAAAAATTTGAATCTGCCCCTTTCATTTTGAGCTTGAAAGTGTTGCTCTACAGGTCGCACAAAACAAATCTAAATGCAAAACTGACAGGTTTGGACTTTATTACAATAAAAAGAAAAATGCCGATGAAACTAAATCTACTATCAGCGATAAGCAAGAACAAGCTGATTTAAGAGTAGGCTACAGTGTGAACATATCACGATAGATCTTACCACGCAAAGATTTGATTAGGATTAGGAGTATAGCGCGAGCTAGGGAACAAAAAATGCAGGTATTTAAAAGAAAAGGGCAAACATGAACAGATGATATTTTCCCAGATATAAGCAAGGAAAGTGTTCTTTTTCGAGGTAAGATATTTGTAACCAACTCTTAAATCGTACAGAACGTTATCTTCAGTATCATACAACACAAGCATCATAAGGAGTGCGAATCCTGAATGCCAAGGTTGTATAGTATCACTGATAACATACTGTAAATCTACAAAAATCTAGCTCAAATCTCAAACTACAATTGGCAGGAATAAAAGTGACCATACCTGGTGGGGTGAGTGGAGGTGCGTTCACTACTCTGGTTACATATTCCTATAAAATACGAATCAAATATATTATAACGTACATGGTTCGGTACAAGGGACGGATGTGTTTTAAACGACTAGCTCTGAAAATGCGGGACTTGTTCGACGTGAAAGACCGCTGCACATCCCAAAAGTGGCGGTTTGGTGCGCTGTATCGCAAACTTGCATCATCGGCCCTTACTTCTTCGTAGTCGGTAATGGCAATGCTGTTACGGTGAACTCGGGGCTTCTTTTTACCTGAAATACGACAAGTTCCAACAGGATGGGGCGACCGCCCACACAGCCAAAGCAACGATGATCATGATCGCCTTATTTCCAAGTTTGATGTTCATCGGTCTCCTCGATCCCCAGATTTATCCAAACGTGATTTTTTCCTATGGGGATACCTCATACGAGCACAAGCCCCGAACTCTGGACGAGTTGAAGGAGGCAATTCGCGTGGAAGTCGCCCACGTTGGGAGAACGATGTTGGAGAGAGTCTACGCGAACTTTCAAGAACGCCTCCAGCATCGTCAAAAACGGCGACCACACGACAAACGCTATTTCATTGTTAACCCGAATCTGCCAATAAATTTGTTCTTGGGTAAAAATTTTGTGATCTTTTAAAAACCGTCCGACCTCTGTATAACCTCATCAGTCCAGTTTTTTATTCCTCGACTATGTGTCCCCTTCACTGTTGTTTTTAAAAACAATTTCAGCAACAATCTCGCCGACTTAGTAAGTAAATATTTCTCTCCTAATTGCTATTTGTTGCTATTGTTAATAATTGTTTCCAGCTCCAGACGATGAAGACATAGATCTTCGAAAGCTTGAGAGATTAAGTTATAATACTGCCTGCCTTCTACCCAAAGGATATATATATATATATATATATATATATATATATATATACGAAGGTGTAGAGTTGGTTCACTCACTCTACACTTATTCTAAAAAACTATCAAAAAAGTCAATGTGTCATGTATCCTGGCACCAGTATGTATCAACATTAAATGAACATAAAGAACATCGAATAAATAATGTTTTGTTTTAAAATTAATACATGTTTTGAGGTTGAACGTTGATACAATACACCAATAGCTACATACTTTCACAAGCCATTCCAGAAACAGTAGTGATATTTTTAGGACAGAAAGTACATTAAAAAGTAACACGAACATATTATCAAATGCCCATTGCTAAGATACAGGATTCATTGGATAGAAAGTAAAATAGTAGACGTCAAGTATCCAAGTCATCCCTGGTTACATGAGTCAGAGATTTTTTTGGGTAATTGTTATGCAGTGCTGAACAAGTAACAAAATTGTCTCGATATCTTTATAGAGGTGGATAAAATTTCATCATTGATTTCATAAATCTAGCTGTATCTCGGCAGGGCTATAGCTGCTGCCCATAATGTGTATACAGGGTGTTCCAATTAAATTCTTGTTGATACATGATGTTGAAAGAAATTAGATTTCTTTCTGTATTTTGTATGAAGATTAATCAGAAATCTATCCGTTCCATATTTTGGCCCAGGCTCGTACTACACAAAAATAAGGGAAGACAGGTTGACATTCCGGGAAACAATTTTAGGAAAACCCTGTATTTACATTCACCAAACATGAATGACAAATCAAAAACTCTAAATTTTTTAATCAGTTTAATATTCCTAGTTTGATAGATCTGTATTACACGTGTATATATCAACATAAGGTTACATAAAGTCACGTAAAAATCCATCATTCTTCATTTAAAACAAAACCTTTATGAGTCCTAAAATCGCAAGGTACTCTTCATAATTATCCATATCCACTTTTAGAATAAAAAAGTGATGATAATAATTTTGATAGCAGTTAAATCCAGGGTACCAGACAGCGAACTGTTGCGACAGTTCTTAAAGCTTCGGCGACAAAAAATACGTAGAATTTCGAAAATTTAATGCCACAGTTCATCGCAGAAAACAATGTATCGAATTTTACGGAAGCTAATGCCACGATGACACTGGATATTTTCCACGAAGCAGTATTTTTTAGAATCCCCCAAAGGCAAGCAATCTATTTGAAATGGTGTAGGGACATGTATCATTAGATCATTACATACATCTTGCCTCCGAGTCAGTGGGTGCAAACCATATTTGGTACATTTGAGTGCGACTTTATTGAATCTTACTGGTATACAGGGTTTGTCCGGAAAGTAATAGGACTCATTTTCTTCCGCCATGACTACTTAGGAGCGTGCGCGGTCCTATTACTTTCCGGACAAACCCTGTATGTAACAATTTGACTATTTGATCTCGAATTATGTAACATCCACAGGAGAGGTTTTAAAACTCAAAAATAAGATTTGCTCAATGTTGCCAAAGATAAGTTTGTTTCGAAAATGACAAAACTTGGCTGGAATTATGCATGCGCCCTGCTGTTCAGGTCACCTGCGAGAAGTCTACCACGTTTTGCTATGTAAAATAGGTGGTGAAAAAGTCACCTAAGCTGGTTTGGTTTTGCAAAAACCTGGCGAAAAATTACAGATTCAACCATCAATGAAATATCTACTTAAGACTTTTTACATCCTTTATAACCTTGTTGCTAAGACGCATACAATAGTTTAGCTTTCAACTGATTTCTGCTCTTCTAAGTATGTTAAAAAAATATTTACGATGAATACACAATATTTCAACACGACGCAAAAAGAATAGGTGTAAAATTATACCTTGAAAATTAAAATCGCTCTAGTTAACCTCAGCCTCAGTGTAACGAAATACTTGAAAGTAGAACCGAACAAAATAATCAAAATATTGCGGATAGACATGGATAATTATCTGTAAAGACTAATCAAAGAATATCTCATAATCAGACCAATCCGACTCGTCAGAATCGGTAAAAAACGACACCAGATCCTCAAGATCATCGGCCAAAGACTGCCATGGAAAATCGCGCTCGTCTAGGTAGTCCCACAGCATGACCTGTCATAAATAATAAAAGACAATTAGGGCCGAAAACACAGCCGTTCCTTAAGGCTTCCTTATTGAAAAGACCACTTATTTGCCCTGTCACATAGGAGTGACATAAGAGTTGTCAAAATCAAATAAATTGAGACCCTTAATGCGACAGTAATGGACAAAAGTATATAGACAAATTAATATTGTGCTATATTTCTTTTTTAACTTGTTTTATTAATACACCAACCTGTATACATAATTATGAAGGACAAAAATATATAGAAATTGCAAAACAATTATAGAAAAAAGAAGCAAAGTTCATTGAATTATAGAAAACCAACCATGTTTGTGTTAATATTTTGCAGTTAACCATTATTATCAATCACCGCCTGGCATAGATTGTAGAAGTTTCTTGATATAAGATTCATCAATCTGCCTCCACTTTTGCTCTAAAGCGGCAAAAAGTTCATCCTTGTTTGAATAATTGTTATCTCGTATTTGCTTATCTAAGTATTCCTATAGATTTTCAATGGGGTTTATATCGGGAGACTGTGAAGGCCATTTGAGAACTGGTATTTTTTCAACCAGAAAGAATTTCATTACGAGATATGAATTGTGCTTCGGGTCATTATCTTGCTGGAAGATTGATCTTAAGGGCATATTGTCTTCCATATAGGGTAACATGACATGCTTTATTTAGTATGTCTATGTATACAAACTTATCCATAATGCCATCTATTCTATGTAAAGGTGCCATCTCAAACCCCGAAAAGCACCCCCAAACCATAACACACCCGCCTCCATGTTTGACAGTGGGCAAAGTGTACTTGGGGTTTAATCTTTGTCCACTAGGACGACTAACGTAATCTGATCCAAACATATTGAACTTGGATTCGTCACTGAAACATATCCTCTTCCAGTCACAGATGCTCCAATCAAGATGCAAATTGTAATCGGTCCTTTTGTCTCGATTTCGGCTTTTATTTGTCTTGGGGTTTTAAACGGATCTTTGGACGAAATTACTTTTATTAATCTAACTGATCTAGCATTTAGTTTTCTAGGCCGACCACTTCTCTTAGATACTTTTTTGTTTATATTTGTTCAATATTGCCCAAACTGCTTTACGCTTCAGCTTCAAATTTTTGGCAATGTCGACTTGACGTTGACCACCTTTGTATAACTCTGATCTTAGTTTTCACATCGAAAGAAATTTCTGGACCACGCGGCATGGTCTTAAAATCACTCAACTTATTTCACAATACTTGATGAACACATACTAAGCCTCTTCTGACACGAAACTGTACTACACTAATGTTGAAAAGAATTTGTCTACATATTTTTGTCCCTCATAAAAAAGTGCTTATATTCAGACTTGTATTGTTTCGTTGCAAATAATGTAAAAACAAGGAATTTAGTTTTTCTACTAATAACGCATTTGTTTATGGAGTAATGAAGTATGATATACTTTTGTCCATTAGTGTAGGTGCGGAATATGCTTTCTATTCTATAAAATAGTCGGTCACTTCAAAAACCACTCAAGTTCATTTTCAACATCCTTTTACTTCATACGCCACTAGGCGATAAAATATTGTAATCCCTAAGAATTTCGAATGAGATATTGTGTTTTTTTGGATGATATTCACATCACGACCAGGTTGATATTATGCAAAGAACGAAAAAGCGTTGTAGTTTGTAAAAATCGGCCCAGTGGCGGCAAAAAAGCCACAGACAAAAAATTAAAATCGCTCAAACTTTGTTTTTTGACGTTTCAGATCACTGCCAGAAACATTTTTGTAGGGGTTGAAAATCGGGGGTTGGGAGATGCAAATGTTTTTGATTTTAGTATACACGTTCTAGGCACCTTTTAGCCATATTTCAGGTTCATTCATTTCACTTAGTGAGATAAGGGCAGGTTTAGAAATAGCAGAGTGCTTAGGAGAAATGACGCTTGCACTAAAAAATGATTGTCCTCATCGTACGACTATATTCAGGTGGTACAGCGAATTCCAAATGGACAATTTCACTCTGGAGGACGCTGAGAGTTAAGGAAGGCCGCGAACGTCACTACTAGAGGAAAACATTACTGCTGTGAGGAAAATGCTCGACGAAAACAGGATAGTGACATACCAACATATAGAGGAGACCTTACACCTTCATGCACCAGCAATTCATTCAATTCTGCATGACCATTTACACGTAAGGAAACGTTGTTCTCTCTGGGTACCGCATAGTCTAACGGAAGAGCAGAAGACTCGTCGTATGACTGTGTATGTGAACAGCATCGAAGTCAATAAATAAAGCTGTATTGCAAAACTTTTATAGTACATGTTCTTGACTGACTTTTTTCTCAGAGAATTAAACTACTCTCAGCTTAATCCTTTGAGCTGATGGCGTTGCGTAGGAATTGCAGAGTCAACCTACTTGACGCCATCTTTTATGAAAACGCTTCATTAAAGATAGATGCGTCAATACATTACTTCCCCTCCAAGTAATACCGCGTAACACGTTCAGTGCAAAAACATGGCAATTCCGGGACTTGGTGGTTTTTGAATGCACTACTCGACGGCGGGTACTTGAATGGGTCATTTCAGAAACAAGATCCTGGAGTTGTTTTATTTTCGTATTATGTGATATATTCACCAAAATAATTTTGAATTCATGAACTAAAAAATGTTACAGGCGAATACAGTATTAACTTTGCCCGCAATCACTTGTTTAAGAGTTTCGTAGCAAAGTCATTGACTCAAACCTCTTCAGTTTTATGGCTGATAAAGTCCTGTAAATATACACTAAGTATTTTAAAAAGCTGTCCGTTAAGATGCTATATGAATGGAATTACACGCATACCTATCTTGCAGTCAGTTTTTTTGTTGAAATTTGATTCGTTTTTCCCGAGGATATAGCTTTGCCTGGGTTTCTCCCATGTATCCTAAATAAATGCCCGAACACTCTCAGCTTAACTACCACGCGTTTTTTTGCAAAGAAATATTTCGGGACCTCAAATATGACCTAGATAATGAATGGCGTTAGAGGTAATTTGGAAAATGCAAATATCAACCACCATTTTTGGCGTACGTCTGAAAAATACACGAATTTCCCAAAAACTTAGCACCCACGTATTTTTTGGAAAAAAATTGTCGATAACTTCAAATGTGACAATGCCCTCAGGGGTCATATGGAAGTCAAGTGTATGAATTAAAAATAGCAAACACCATTTTTGACAGCCTTGAAGTTAGCGACCACTCAAGGCGATAAGGAGGCCTCCGATCGGACAAGGTAGCCTTGTTCTTTGTGAAAGACATTTGACAACTCTTCTGTCAGTCTCATGTGTCAAAATCGTCAGCGCAAATAAGTCATCCTTACAATAAAAAAGTCTCAAGCGAAACAACGGCTGTGCATTTGGCCACAATTTGCAACTACTGCTATTTGTTTATATGTGCAAGTGGAGTGATGTTTGTGATAGCGCGTAAGCAGCTGTGATGGGGGTGACAGGGAATTAATTCTTTGGGAAAAGCGTGTGGTTATGTCGCTGAACGGTAAGAATGATATTAGCCTAACACTGAATCCCTGCAAAACTGAACGCCTGACACTGCTAAGCGGAGCCTGCAATACTGAGCCAAAAAAGCATGCCTGTGTAGGAGTAAGGATGTATGTGATTAGCCTAATATTTAGAGGACACCACACAAAACATAAGTGGAAAGGGGTCAAATCGATTTAGTCTGTGGTTATGTCGCTGAACGGTAAGAATGATATTAGCCTAACACTGAATCCCTGCAAAACTGAACGCCTGACACTGCTAAGCGGAGCCTGCAATACTAAGCCAAAAAAGCATGCCTGTGTAGGAGTAAGGATGTATGTGATTAGCATAATATTTAGAGGACACCACACAAAACATAAGTGGAAAGGGGTCAAATCGATTTAGCCTAATTTATCCCCGCGACACTGGCGAGGAATTACCTTGACCGCGAAACATTTCAAAAATAAGGTATTAGGTTTTTTGGATGTTATATGACATGTACATCACGAAAAACCATGTCACTCACTTTGGTCGGTCTGTTTGACTGCTAATCATTGACCTGTTATAACTTGGAAAGTACCACTCGCATTTGGACGAAAAGATACTATTATGCTAAGGCTATGGTTTTAAATTTAAAATTAAAAAAATGCATGTAAAGGTTAAACATTGGGAGTTGGGGTTGTAGGTGGTGGATAAGGGAATATCTTATCATAGTTCATACATCAGGGATTCATACATTTTCCCCTAAAACAGAAATGTTGATGGCAGATGGCCTATACTTTCGGTAGGTAGTCCTGTTTGGCTGACTTGATCTTATTGTGCATGTTCACAGCTAATTAGTGCATCATTTACGAATTAATAGCATTGCGTGGGAAGTGCAATCAACCTACTTGACGCCATTTTTTAGTATGTTTGTGTGGTATCTATTGCGAGATTTGATGATAATGTTTACCTGCAAAACATCAATATTGTTCTCCTGGTTCCTGGGCCTTCTCTGTCTTGGCGGAGGTCCAACATCCAACTTGCGACCATCAGGAAGAGCATGTAGATAGAAGCACTTGTTACCGAAGGGGCATTTTCCTTGGCCCTTCTTAAAATACTTGCAGTCTTTGCGGGCAAGTGCAGACTTGTAGTCATCGATTAGCTTATCCTTATCTTCCTTAGTATCTACCCAATACATGCTTGGGCAGACGAAGTCTGAGGTAACTCTGCATTCCGGACAAGCTCTGGAAGACACAAGAAACACATACATCAACGGTCATGGCGTAATTTGATAGATCTAATAGCCTGCTGTCAAAATGACAAAATGAATACAAAGCAAATTTGGCCTACACGTTTTTTATAAATATACTCCCCTGAAAAATAAGATCTTACCTTGTAATTTTATTTTCAAACTGCCGGGCTTGTCTCCACCTCCTGATGCAAGTCAAGCAGAAGCAGTGATTACAATTCGGCAGTATTCCAAACCTTTGTTCTCCACTAGCTTTTTCCATGATCACTTCGAAACAGACGCCGCATGACTTCTCCTTAGAGCGAGCAATAGCGAACGATAATTCCATGTTTTTTTCGTGCTCCATCAGACACTCCTGGTAGTTTTCAAGAACAAAATATTTGTTAAAAAAAAATCACGCACCCCATATCACACAAAATCAGAGAGTGTGAATGTCAACATGAAAAATAGGAGACTCCTTCACTTGTGTAATTTTACGCATAAACTGGTCCAGGTCTGATCAAACATTTCATGCCTCGCAAAGATGCTCATCATCAAAATATAAGATGAAAATTGAACTACACCGTTCTGCAGCATAAGACCACCATGTTTCAAAGATCGTTCATATATAATGCTATCAGGATGTATAATCAGCTGCCACAAGAATTCAAGCTTCTTAATAAGAACAAGTTCAAACTAAAATGTTATTTGTTTGGTATGCAGTAGAATCAATGATGCAATATTGTATATTGAACTTTTTATTTATTTATTATTGTGTAACTCATATATATATATATATATATGTATACGTATATATATATATATGTATATATAAAAGCAATATTGATATCAGAAGTGTGGCTAGATCTGTTTAACATAGAATGTGTTGTTCCTTTCTTTGTACGTCCTGTATAGTTTTTAAAAGTTAAAAGCGTAATCTGTACATGTGTTTTACTGCGAATGCCTGTGCTGCTCTATGTTCATCATACGTATACTTTTTCTGTCTATCTCATTAGTTTTGACATATAGTACATATTATTTAATAACAAATTCAATTATTCGCTTATTTGGGTGCTCCCCTCCAGTCGTTGAGTACAGTAGCTGCAGCTAGACTTCGCTACTGGTATTATATATATTTTTTTATTATACTGAATTTTCGTTGAAAATAAAAGACAGTTTATTATTATTATTATATTGGATGCTGTCATTTCTGTCATTACTGATTAAAACTCCGAAGCTCTATGTGTGCACTGACAGGCTACTTGACTGCTTCAACCTCTGAGATTGCATTTATTTTTTATTATGAAATATATACCCAGAAGTCGACGTCAAGCCGAAACTGGGTGATAGGCAAAGTCATAACAGCTATCAGAAAAATATTTAAAAAATTTTTATGTATGTGTTTTGAAAATTATAGGTCTTTGAAAAAAATATAGAAATTTCACACCCTACGGCAGTCTGTCAACTCCTGTTACTACAAATATTAACTTTTTTTGGATTTTATTTTTACAATGTAATGATGAATAATGCATCTTCAAACTGGTGTCTCAACCTTACTGCCAACTTTTCTCGTTCAGGAAAAATTGCCACTTATTTCCCAACCAAGTATTCCAAAGTAAAACTTTGCTCATCTTTAACTGGCTGTACTGGAAAAAAATGTACTACGAGAGTTTGGCAAGTAACCTTAAAAATTGCCGCATGTAATAAGGATTCCAAAATGGTATAACACTTAGAAGATTTCTCGTTAACTTATGCACAATTTTTATCTGAAGAAAAACATAAAAATTTTTCAAAATTTCCTAATTAAACAGCGATTATGAAAACGCACAAGGACCCTTAAGGATAACTGTTTCCACAACAGTGGGCGTCAAAATGCTGCTGCTGATGATTTACCTTTACAGCAAATGCTCAAACTGTTTTCCTTCAGCCGCAATACACGCTCGACATCTTCTTAAAAAAGATTGGGTTATTAAACGAGCGAATCCACGGTTATTCACAAACTCAGCTGCTTCCAATAGTCTTTGCCGTAGCTCAGCTACATTTTGAATCGGCTTGAAATACACTTTTTCTTTTACAGTTCCCCAGTAAAAAAATCTAAAGGATTCAAATCAGGTGATCGGGCTGGCCACGGTATTGTACCAGACCGCCTTATCCATCTGCCTGGAAAGTTTGATCGAGATACTCTCTCACTGAGAGTGCATAGTGCGCTGGGCAGCCATCATGCTGAAACCACATGTCCCAGTAAATACTCAGTGGCACGTCCACCAATAAATTTTGTACATGATTTTTCAAAAAATCCACATAAACTTCAGCAGTCAAAGTCTCTGGGAACTCCATACCACATACAGCGTGTTCAACCTCTCCTGCCCCGGGATTATGAGCCCCGAGTTGCTTTTTGTCGCACAATATTAGAAAGACACAGAAAAGATCCACAGTTCTTTGAAAACATTTTATGGTCGGATGAGACCACATTTAAAAAAGATGGGTACATGAAGCTGCATAACTTACACGAGTGGCACGTAGCAAACCCACATTTGATGAAAGAAGATATATCTCAATATCGCTTCAAGATAAACCATTGGACAGGAATTTTAAATGGTAAAATAATCGGTCCGTTTTTGTTCCCAGAGACTTTGACTGCTGAAATTTATTTGGATTTTTTGAAAAATCATGTACATAATTTATTGGTGGACGTGCCACTGAGTATTTACAGGGACATGTGGTTTCAGCATGATGGCTGCCCAGCGCACTATGCACTCTCAGTGAGAGAGTATCTCGATCAAAACTTTCCAGGCAGATGGATAAGGCGGTCTGGTACAATACCGTGGCCAGCCCGATCACCTGATTTGAATCCTTTAGATTTTTTTACTGGGGAACTGTAAAAGAAAAAGTGTATTTCAAGCCGATTCAAAATGTAGCTGGGCTACGGCAAAGACTATTGGAAGCAGCTGAGTTTGTTAATAACCGTGGATTCGCTCGTTTAATAACCCGATCTTTTTTAAGAAGATGTCGAGCGTGTATTGCGGCTGAAGGAAAACAGTTTGAGCATTTGCTGTAAAGGTAAATCATCATCACCAGCATTTTGACGCCCTCTGTTGTGCAAACAGTTATCCTTAAGAGTCCTTGTGCGTTTTCATAATCGCTGTTTAATTAGGAAATTTTGAAAAATTTTCATCAGTTTTTTTTCAAATAAAAATTGTGCATAAGTTAACGAGTAATCTTCGAAGTGCTATACCATTTTGGAATCGTTATTAAATGCGCCAACTTTTAAGGTTACTTGCCAAACTCTCATAGTACATTTTTTTCCAGTACAGCCAGTTAAAGTTGAGCAAAGTTTTACTTTGGAATACTTGGTTGGGAAATAACTGGCAATTTTTCCTGAACGAGAAAAGTTGGCAGTAAGGTTGAGACACCAGTTTGAAGATGCATTATTCATCATTACAGTGTAAAAATAAAATCCAAAAAAAGTTAATATTTGTAGTAACAGGAGTTGACAGACTGCCGTAGGGTGTGAAATTTCTATGTCTTTTTCAAAGACCTATAATTTTCAAAACACATACATAAAATTTTTTTAAATATTTTTCTGATAGCTGTTATGACTTTGCCTATCACCCGGTTTCGGCTTGACGTCGACTTCTGGGACACCCTGTAGATACACTGAATTGGTACTAGTGTCTATGAAATGACTATCAAACTTGTTCTGCTTTACTTCATGTTCAAGTCCAACCGCTTTTTAGATTTCAACAAAGTTGTAAATTTTTTGCTGGATCATACGTTAGATACAGCAATTCATATTTCACCACAACGCCTGAGGGCTTTCCTTGTTTAATGATTATTCTTTTACTTGAGCTGATTCCTAGGACTTTTTATCAAACAGATGACCTATGACCAATCAGTTACAAGTTTCCTGATTTCAGCTTATTCGTATAGTTCCCAATATTTTACAGGTGTTTTTATTACCGCGTGTCATCTTAAAATCTTTCCCACCCTCCCAAAGATACTATCTACCGGAAGATAAGAGTGTCCTCGCATTGGGAAAAGCTTCTATTTTTTTCTGGAGCAAAGCTGTATGACCATAACGTTAGCATGTGGGTGGTAACGCTATTTTTATTTTGCCCCCCGCATCCAAAAAATCAAGCAGGGATGAAGATATTTCTTTGGCTCCCCTGCCAGCTTGATGTTCCATCCACGAACAAAAAACTGAGTGGACTTAAGTCAGTTTGTTTGTCTTGGTATTATTTCCCCCCTAAATGCATTTCGACTATTCAAATGTTCATAAAGAGTTAGTATTTCATCATATGCATTTTGCAAGTCTGCTCCTCATCTAGTTCCTATGCTTAACAAAGTATCCTGTGTGAAGCCATATACCACAAGAATATTAAAATATGGCCATATAAACTTCCACCTGTGTACGGTTTTGCTAATATCTTTTTTCATCGCTTTTTCCTATAATTTCTGCTAAATGAATAAATGTTTTCTTTGCCATGCGGAAAAGCTTAGAGAATCCAAAATTATCATAGCTACAAACCCATGGTTCCATCATTAAACATTTTTTTATGAAAAAAAAACATTTCTCCCATTAATATTATGAAAGGTTTCTTTTTAAAACTTTCCATACACCGTTGTAGACGAAAAAACACCGATTATCGAGTTATAATAAAAATAATCAGAAATCATATGCGCGCTTTTCTAAAATAAACAACTTGCAACAAAACCACGGTTAAAACCAACGCGTTCAAGCGTTTCGACTAACTGACGTCATCAACCCCTGTGTCATCTTGAACCATATTATAACCGCGGTACATAACATAGAAATTTTGAGTTCGCTTGGATTTGATTATAGACCAAAGCAGCCGTCCATTTTATGAACAGTTTATCAAAAATCTAACTATATAAATATCTACTACTCTCCAAAGTAATGTATTTTTTAGTTTTTCAGTTGAAAAAGCGCCAACGTAATTTTTATCAAGTTAGATTTGAAAAACTTCACGGAACGGCAATTGCTATCAAAATGGAGGCGTGTCTACAGCGCGAATTATTTTATGGGAACCTTCCAACATAATTATCTCAAACCCATTGTTTTTGACATTGGCCCTTTTAGAACCAAGCCAATGAAGTAATTTTCACTTAGCTATCACAATTTTACTCACCCCAAATCTGCAAAACAGAAAATTCTGCGATTTTCAATTCACTCGCGACCTCGGCGTTACAATAGAAAGACCGCCAAACTTGGCGATAGGATTTTTTGTGTCAAACCGCGATGCCAACTTCACACTGGCAATCCTACATATAATGTGACTACACGTGATAATTTTTCAATAAAGTCACAATAACCACTGTTAATGCATCCGAAGACTATTTTCACTATTTAAAACTCAAGGGAATGCAATAATCAAAAAATAAAATTCAATTTAATAATGGTCAGAACGCTGAGGTTGGCGCATGTGCTCTTAAGATGTGCTCCAAAAGCCGACTTCGCGATCGTAGGGTTCCGCTGGAATACACGAATACAGCCGAGTCAGTGACGTGCATACGAGGTGAGCGCGATAATTATATGTATGCCTATGAGTTATCGTCAGCTCAATATGCAAATCACGTAAGTCCACTTTTTGAAGAAAATACGATATTGGAATTGTTAGTTGATACTATGTGACGCGCATGTCCCAAGAATTCCTCATAACTCGCAAAAAACACGTGACATATTCGGCGTCAGGAATTCCACATAACACTCGCCCTTGCTTTGACCGACAGTAACATCACACAAGTCCATACAAGTTTAACAGTTCAGTGTTTTGGTATGCCTTAATGCATGTCTGTTGTTGGCGGTAGTATTTGATACTTGTGCATGTTCAGCATGGAGTAAAGCACTAAATGGTTAGGAGGTTCGTATCTAAAGCTATTCGTACACATCAACTCATAACAAACAAGCCTGTCGTGTACGGTGCGCGCTACTGAAATATACGAAACATTTTTTTTCGTAAAAAGTTGAAGAGCTTTTGAAGGCTCACAGTACACAATAAGAGCTATTATAATCAGTTATCAAAAAGTAGGTACAAACGGTCTTACACCTCAGCTCCAAAGAAAGAAGTCTGTCGTGTATCATGATACACATTCACTGAAGATAGGATATTGCGCATGTGGACGGAGCTTCGTGACGTCACCCGGAGAGTTATCGGTTAGAGGATCTGAAACGACGCTTCAGCGTCCAATACCTGTTAACAAGACGTCTTAATCAAGATGTGATAGAAAACTTTTGCGGAGTAATTATGGCAAAAGATGGTCTTCATAACCATACAAGTCCTCTAGAGTTTAAGTATAGAATAAGGTCATATATGTTAGGGCGAAACGGAATAGTGACAAAAAAGCGAGCACGTTATCCATATCAACCCAAATGATAATCACTCTCCGCGTGACGTCATGCGCGCCGGCGGAGCATACGGCCCTTATCGTGTACGGTACGCGCTACCCCCTGAAATTTAGAAAAAAAAATTTGTTTCCTGAACGCACCTCTTCAATTTTTCAGGGAAAAAAAAATGTTTCCTAGATTTCAGAGAGTAGCGCACACCGTACATGACAGACTTGTTTGTTATGATTTGAGATATACGAATAGCTTTATTTGCGAACCTACGAACTCTGCAGAACCATTTAATGCAGTACCGCAATAGTATAAGACTCGTAGGCATACATATAATTATTCCGCTCACCTCGTATACAACTGACGGGCTCCTGTGAGTAACGCCTACGGCCATGGTGTATTGCAGGTTGCAGGCCGTCAACATTAAATTTATATTTTATATTTGGAACGCTGTATTCTAGCCGCGGGTAATATTGTGGAGACTGCTTGCTAAATTATTAATGCGAATTATAATTCAACAAAAGCACCAGTCCAAGTTAACTAAATTTTGAAACTACAAATAGATTTTCTTCGTGGGCCTAGCAGAGCCTAGCACAGTGGCGTATCTTACGCGGTTCCCGAAATATTTCAACTTCCAAAGATAAATATCTGTAACTAAGCGTGCAGCATCTACGCATGCAGTTACGAGTTATGGGGGGAATTTTAACTCGATTTATGCAGTTTTACTCACCGAAAACAAAAATACCAGCAACTTTTTAAATCGCATTACGCATTGACTAGTGCAGCCTAGGCGAGGTGAACATTAAACAATAAAAATAAAAACACTAAATGTTAATTTTTTTAACAGTGTTGTCATATCAATCAATAATCGTGTAGTGTCGTGTTTGGCGATATCACATCTTTTAAGACAATGACATGCGTAGACGATTTAAAACATGAAGATTCAGAAAATGTAATGCAAACTGCAAAACAAAATAGTTATCTATTGCTGCGATCCTAGAGCCCAGTCCTTTATCTCAAGATTCTAATCTCTTGTTCATCTTGTATATCCTTACTTTTAAAATACGTTAATCAGTAATTGAATGCTTTGCTTATATATTTTAAATTATTATAGAATTTGGTTTCAGCGCCAAATCGGAAATATTCGGACGATTCCGGTATCTGGTTGGCTTCAGAGTTCTACCTTTATGCCAACGTTGCCAGATCTTCAGGAATTCCTCAGATCTATTGATTTCACTTTCTAGCGGTAGGTCGAAGGATTGTTTAGCAAGTATTTTGACATGAAGATTGTAATTACTTACCTGGTGAAAATTTTTCAGAATTGTATGAAAAACAAGAAATTATATACACATACTATGGTTTTATTTTATTTGAGTTATGTACATAAATCCTCACCTGTCTATGTTTTTTCCTCTGTTCCTCATTGAAAGGATGCAGTATCAGCCGTTCGCACATGTCGCATTTTTCCCCATGTAAGTATGTGCAGTGCAAGATGTTTCGACATACACCATCCTTGTTCGCGTATGGGCACAGTTTTCGGTTGGCGACTAAGTCTGTGTAACAAGCTGTCAAGATATACTAGTCAGAGATGTCGCTACAATTTTCGACAACACTTTTTGAAGTGTTCGATTTTTTTGATACAACAGTGGTTATCGTTATAATAACAAGGAAAACAATGAAATACTTAAGAGCTTGTAGGGCAAACATTTCCATTTTTGTTCCGTCATAACAATATGTTGTACAAGTTTCTTCATATGGTCCTCAGATAATTTTCGCAACCTTACTAAATATAGAGTTAGAGGATCTATATTCAAACTGTATCAATCTATTGAAAAATTCCGACCATAGAATCATATATGAAGGGTACCGGGGAATAACGACAATAGTCCATCCGGACTGATTTTGAGAAAATCGGTACCTAATTAAGGTTTACTTACTTGGAAAGTAAAATTGATGAAAAAATAAGTCGTAAAGAATATCTTTGCTAAACAGTGTATTTATTGGTAAAATAGATTATACAAATTGAATTTTTACTCAAAACTAGTAACGTAACAAACAAAAGATGATGTTCAACTCTGGACTCGTGCCACTTTTCCCCTGCTTTAAGCGTCTATTGGCGGGTCATCGACATATTCATCACTGCTGGCTACTGGATGATCAAGAGGTATTAACTGTTGATAAAATGCCCTAGAATCTGCTCTCTCTAGAAATTTGGTCACATCCTGCAGATCCTTACATTTCTTACTTTCAATTCGGATTGGGCACTGGTAAAGTTTTCTCAATGTTTCCTCTTCTCGTTTTTGTTGATCTTTTTTAGATTCTTCCGAATTACCTTATCAAATTTAGAACTAGCATATAGGCCCATGTATGTCAATTTGTGAAAAACTACGCCAGGATTCTGTTTAAAAAACTTGAGCATCCTGACTGGTCGGGTTGGAAAGGGGCACTACGTTGGATAAAACGGCGATAAAGATGTACTCCAATCTTGAAAATCAAAATTTTTGCCACAATCAATGACTTCAAATGGTGTAGGTTTCACACGGCAATTTTTCAATTCATCTCTCCAGTCATCCGGTACCTTAGTGTATGCTCTTTGGTTCACGAGACTCATATCTCTATCACACTCGAGGTATGAATGCCCCCTGATCGGGAATATTTCTTTCATAGTAGTAAAACGGTTTTTCTTGGTAGCCAAGTAATGCAAAAACCGAATAACTGTAAAGTTTTTCTTCAGGAGTCACAGAAAATGACAAGTTCTTTTACTTCCATAGGCAAGATATTATAAAAAAGCGATACAGCATAGAGCAGACATCGTCACAGCTCCTTTCTTAGTAATAGATTCACCGTAGGTATAAAAGATAGAATCTGAGTTTGACAGAATGTGGATGTTAAAACTGATGAAATTTAGTTGCCGCTTATATTAAACGTCATTTGTCGTGATATTTGGACAGGACAAGTTTTTTTGGCAATCCATTGTGATACTTTCGATAGCGGGGAACTTCGAGGCACATTTGCGGTAAGTTCTCTTTAGACTGTAAAATCGCTCACTCGTTTTTTGATGTAGCGTCTTCTCAAGTATCTTTTTCTCCAAATTATTACTTGTTGACTGCATATTTTGTTCCGTGTGGGAATTTAAGGTAGCGGTAAGTGAAGATATATCAGCTTTTAAGGAATCACACGTACTACAAGTATCTTTTCGTGGATAACCGAACGATATATTGAAGTTGTTTTCAAAAATTTCTCGGAAGGGTTCATAGGAAATCTTGTTTTCAACATTGCCAATTTGCCATTTTGTGTAATTTTGCGATATTTAGATTTTCAGGTAGGTACGGCAGATCCAACGCCGCCTTTCCATATGGACTGATGCCGTTTTTCCATACACGCGTACGGACTCATGCCATTTTTCCCCGGTACAGGAAATCTTATGCTGTTGTTTTGTGAACCTAAGCCCTTTTTACAATTTAAGAAGCTGATTACAAGATAGCATCAGGAAAATGCCACCAAAATAAACTGAAAGCTCAATTTAGCCAAATAATGGAGTAATGCCGTTTTTCCCCGGTGCCCTTCATATGTATATCATCTCATTACTATATAAATTTGAGCTAGAAAATGACTACTTGTTAATTTTTATCATTTTGTTTATTATTATTGGATAAACGTAAATCTGAATATTTTCACACAAGAACAAAATACCCACCTGCACCGTCATTAGCAGATTCAGAGCCGAGTACCGCCGCGTAACTTCGAGGCTGAAGACTGGACTTTGGGATGAATTCGGGTGCGTTTACCCACGAATCTCGAAAACTACTAACAGGGGATGCACAAGCACCTTCTTCTTTCGCGTCTTCCGACTTGCTTGTTTCTTCTATTTTTTTGCTATAGACGTAATCTTTTTATACAGTGTGCAACAGCAAAATGGAACACAGTTTGATCAACTCAATGTCAATGCTACTCATTTTTGTCTGTCTGTCTGTTTGTCATCTGATCAGCAATTCTTGACCGACTTGGCTCTTTGAAATTACTTGATTTGATGCCATTTTTTCAATATATATTTTTAACTGCATGATATTCAAGTTTATAACTCTAGAGAATGCGCCCATCATAAATATATGAGTTGTTCATTTATCAATATTGACGAAATGGCAGATCAAAACTTACCAAGTAAGTATTTCTTCACTAGAGATCTTGAGCTGTTTGTTTGGTAATTCTTTCCTGTTATTCACAGTGTTTTTGTTGACCATATCAGCAGTTTGAGAAGTAGATGGAGGATTTGCACTAGAAGATTAATAATATCTTAAGTGTGGCACATTTACCATAGATATTTTAGACTGACACATATGAATGATGGGCCTAACATTTCGGACAGAACGAAAACGTCAGTGAATTCAAGTGTCGAGTTTATCCACAGATTACAACATCACCACTGTTACTTCTTTTTAGATTTCCCTTTGATTGTTGCGTCAATATTATTGATGAGTCAAAGGCAATACTTCAAGTTTATAGCAAAGTTGCAACATGTTCGCGATCTATCGGAAGTAAAGCGAAGTAGCCAGCAACAATGCCAGCTAGCATTGCCAATGTGAGGAATATCTATAATGTCAGGAATTAATGAATGTTTCGTAGGTTTTGCAGACTTTTGAGGAACGCAAACATTTAAATTTATTGTTTATCAGATAAAAATTGGGGAATTTAGATTCTCTTCATCGCTATGAACAGTAATTTTGATTTGTAGTTCTCTCATTTCTGCATAAGAACTCGGCAACGTGCAGTTGTACCATCTCACAGAGATTCAAACCTTTCCCACATACTACACTTTTTCCACTTCTGTTTTTAATCGGTTTGATTTTACCCATTGCATGGCTTGGTAAAGCCTAGTGTAGTCTATTCATAAGTTAAAGTATATTATGTAAAGCATAATGTGTAATCCGCGCCAAAATTGACTTGCCAGGAATCCGATCGCAATAGATTTGGCAACGCTGTACCAGCACCCATGTTCGCATTAAGCTGTGTTTACACTTATACACTTTTCCGTACCCTGTTTACCCTTGTGTTTTTCCTGTTTGCTTTGGCTGCGTCCATTATGTGGTGTAGAGTTTGTTAATCTAATGTAAGTACATCTTTTGGTAAAATAAAGCCCTGAGTAAAGATAACATGGCTACGTAAGACAACTATTGAAATATACTCTAAAAGGCTATCCTTAGCTAAATTTTTCTCGAAACCGTTGCACAACACTTAAAAATATGCAAATGAAGATTGGAAAACTGCCGCTTTGACGTAATGACATTTTGCTAGCTTTTCACAAACAGTATCAGGTAGGTTGCCTCTGTATCTCACTTGCAATTGCAAAGGTTTGTTATCCATGTGATGCTAGATTAGAAAATAACGCATCGTATCATCACAATATTCAAATGAAACATTAAATGATAATTTTTGCATGGGAAGTACAGTGTCTATCTACTTGGTACCACTTTTTTCAAGTTCAGCTCGTTTTATTTCCCTTTTTTGGAACCTACTGGCAGCGAAGTATTGTAATCGGGAAAGAGTTCTAAAAGGATGTTACATGACATCGCGAAAAACCATGTCACCCATTTCCGTTGATCTATCCGCTAATCTCATACACGCCTATATGATTTACTAATAGTAAAAATGTTATGGCCGAAAACCGAGGCAAAATGCAGGTTTTAGCACAGATTCTAGAGCAGAACTACTATTGTCATTGAACCTGATTTAAGAAAGACCATTTTACAGATAGGCACGTTTCATTTCTGACCAACTACCAAGATCCTAGTAGATTAGTTTTCTTATCTGACAGTATCACGAAGCGACGCGATGTTTACGTTGACCGGGTGGGAGCAGACGCGCGGAGTGGGAGCTGGAAAAGGGCGTGGCTATACTACTCGGCCGTACCGTATCGCCGCGGTACAGCACGCACACGCTTCACGCTTCAGTCTCTCGGCAACCGTCGGCGAAGCGGGATGTCTACGCGCTCACAGTTCCGTGCAGAGCTCTATTCGGTTTAGCTATTTTTTTTTTCAGTAGTGGTGTTCACTATAGGGTTCTCGATTGTCTCTCAGTGGTGCTTTGGTGTTTTAGTGTTGTGACAAGAGTCTCCAAAGTGGGAATTAAGTCTACTTCCAACTCTTCTGAGGAAAACAGGATACCTGTGCAGGAGACTAGGTGAGTCTTGCATACTCATCTACTTGTGTGTTAGGGTTGACATCCTATGTTTTTTTTAAATAAATTGCATACACTGAGAGATTAGTCATATACTGAGGGATTTCTCAATCACTAAATTAGCACTGTTTAAAAACAATTTTACAAAATTTAGCTTAGCGTCGTTTTCTGGTGTCCTAGGAGACCATAATTACTTGTTATCAAAGGTATTGCATTTTTTTTAAATGCTGACAGGTACTGTAATACAATTTTTCCATCTAGAAACCATTTGTATTTCAAAATTACGCGTTTGTTATTGGTAGAAACTAAGATGAGGCAAATAGTCGTCATGAAAACCACATGATAAGTATCAGATGCTACAATAACACAAACTGGTGCCACAACTTGACTTGTGTTTGAATGTTTGTGATATAATTTATATTCATAAATAAAATTTTTCTGACTGATTTACAAAACGAATAGATTTTTCTTCACACAATTAATCTTAGCAGCGACGGGTGAGATTTTCTAGGGGTTGCCTAAGTGCGAATAATGCAGTTGCTAAAAATCCATATTCCCCTAATAAATAGTAGAAAATCGTACTTCTCGTATTAATGATCATGTAATTTTAGATCAAATTTTTTTTTTTTGAAATAATTTATTTAAACACAATAATACAAAAAGTATAACCAGTTTTAACAACAATTCCCTAATCAGTGTTTGCAAACACTGGCCCCGAGAATAACAAGACAATAATCAATAGCTATGAACTACAGGTACACTGCAACGTTGCTCATAATTTCAACAAATAAATTCATTAACATTTTTACAATCTTTCAATTCTCTAACAAAACTTCTATAGTTATTTGAATCTTTGTTAGTTCTTGTGGAAATTTGATAAACATTATTTAGTGATCTTGTTTGGTGATCATGCACGTTATGGTAGAACCTAATATTTATGTTACATTTTAGTAGATTATTTATAATTTTATAAACAAGTTTACATTGTTCCACCTCCAATAACACTCTTAATTTGTTTAAATTTAAATTTGAATAAAGTGTATTAGAACTTGTAAGCCAATCAAAATTAAACAATATTTTCAGAACTTTATTTTGTAAAACTTGAGCTTTATTAAGAGGTACCTAAAATGTGTAAGAAAGAAGGCATTATAAATTTGAAATTTGCTTTTGTTGGACAATAATCTCGACTCTTATATAAGGCAGATAGCATTGAAACTATTTTATCACAAATTCCATTTACGTGAAGTGACCAATTTAAACTTTCATCTATTAGTAATCCCAAATATTTAATACTTGACACTTTTTCTAGCGCTATATTATTTATGTTAATATTTAGATTATTGCTAACTATCTTATTTTTTTGTTTAAATATAATGTATTTTGTTTTTTCAATGTTATTTTTTAATCTATTCGAAAACAGCCATTTAAGATAACTATTCAGGTCATCATTAATAAGATTCGTTAAAGCAATTTCGTCTGTTCCAGTATATACCAGTACAGTGTCATCTGCAAAGGTAAAATATCTTCCCCTCAGATTGGCCAACTTGAGATTCAGTACATAAAGACTGTATAACAGAGGTCCAAGAACTGACCCCTGTGGTACTCCATAGGTGCTAGATAACCATTCACTATCAATGTCTCCAAGCTTTATGTACTGTTTTGTGTCATATAAATAAGACTTAATCAAGCTGTACGAAACGCCTCTAAATCCCATTTTAAACAATTTATCTAAAAGAATGTCTACGCTTACTACATCAAAAGCTTTTTTTAGGTCAATGAAAACAGCTACAACTATTTGTTGTTTATCTAGAGCCATTGAAATGTAGTCCACAAAATCAACAAAATTAATATATTTATACAATAAAACATTGTTGTTTTTTTCCAATTGTAGTATTTTATCCTATAAGACTGGGCATTTATAAAAGTGTTCAGAGACATTAACGTTTAGTTTTTGGCAAACATTGCTACGTCTCCCTCAATATTTTATTCAAAGCTTCTTTTTTTATAACATTCTAGCAAAATAGCAGAGGTAGCAAAATTGTCCAATGAGCTGGCAACTCCGCAATCTAGATGACAAGAATAAGCAACTGCCAAAACGTATGTCTATGCATTTTCTAAGCGGAGTGCAACGATTTCGAGAAAAATTTCGCTACGGATAGTCTTCTAGAATCTAGTAGAGTATATTTCAATACTTGTCTTGCATGGCCATCTTTACTCGGGTCAAAATGAATTTTCCAATGCGTGTTCTGTGCTGATATTTCATGGGTTTGGCAAAATAAATATTTTTTTAAGTATTCTCTTCCGAAAGGAGCTTACGTCTCGAAAACCCTATCTACAACTGTCTAAGAAAGACAGATGAAGACAATCAAACCTGTATATATAATTACCCTTATGAACCTAGTAAACAGAATCACATTAGTTGGATAAATTATTTTTCTGACATTTCGGCTGCCTCAGTAGCCGTTTACATGAGGAGAATTATCGTAAAATAAGTGATATTTGGTCTAAATTAACATTTATTCATCTGGATTAAAAGCAAGCATTCATATTACATCAAACTTGTTGCAAGTCTGTAACAAGTTTATACTGCTATATAGCATCCTACATGATGAAGAGGAATATGCAACAACCTGTCAAGTAATGTGCATTTCTATCAGGTTTATCTGTCAACTTATCATTATAAATGTGCATGACTCAGGAATATTTTTAAACACCTGAAAGCAACAATCAGGAAGTGAATCAGCATTCTGTGATAAAACAAATGAGAAAGTGCGTTTGATCTCACTCACAATCAATAATGTCTTGATATGGCTAATGGATCTTTTAATAAGGAAAATAATAATAATAGCCTTTATAAAGCCATACATAAATATGGAAGTAAAGTATACAAAACGAGTCAATTTTATTGGACTGGCCGGCTGTCAAAACTATGGGTGCAGTGAGTAGACATTATTCTAGAAACAACAGAAAGTAGGCTTCCTTTGGAGAAACTGCTTAATGGAGACTATCTATTGCCAAGGAAAAAAAAACATCCAATTCCCTAACTAATTGTTGTCTGTAAACATTGGTCATACTAACTTTGTTCCGGCCCTAGTATTACGGCTGACCCTGTCGATGCTACCTCTGCCAGCAGCAGGTTCTGAATTGTCATGCAGGTAGTGACAATTCTGTTGATGAATGCAATGGCCCCTACGGAAGTAACGACACACCCTTTGGTTACGTAGTTTGCCCAAGAAAAATTCGTTTCCAACAACATAGTGGAATTGTTCTACTTCATGATTTGTTTTGTGTGTATAGCTGCATTTAGTACCATTTGGACATTCTCTGGTATTGAAGAAGCTACAACAATTAATTTAAGTGAAATATTTGCATAAGCATGCTAATTGAGGTAAGCAAATTCATCTTTCCTGGGCAAGCAACTTTAAGCACTAATATAAAAAAAAACAGTTATAGTCTCACAGCCATTTTATTATTCTGACAAAGCTTCTGTTATTAGACAGAGCGTTCTCAAGTTATGTAAACTTGAAGAGCAAAGCATATGATATTTGAATTACATTGTGTGATGTGTATTTGCATGTGTAGATGATAAATGGTTTTGTTGATTAGAGAGATACCATGACATGGATCATGAATTTATGGAGCAGATTCAGAATGTGTGTGATTTATATCAACACATATGTCTGAGTCAATCTACTTGACGCGTTTTTTTCTAAATGACATTGAGTATTTTGCAAATCATTTTTGTTATTTTGTTTCTATATGGATACAGCACTGCCAAGAACATGATCCCTCATTAGGTAAGCTGGTCATATGTATTTCTTCATAACAAGGTTATATTACTACACAAATACTGAGGTAAAAACAATATTCATACTGGAAAAATAAAATAAACATTACAAATATGAACAGTTTCTTCAAGATGTCCTGCAAAATACAAATCAGGATTTGAGTCACTGATTAACAGTTAGATACTCATAATGTTTATATTTTGAAACAAATGACCTAAAAAAATCAAGCCCACTTGATACTGGCTAAATTCTCTAATGAAATGTAATATGATGTTATGGTTTGGATGATTGACTGTATTGTTTTTTTTACAGTGGTGTTCATAAGAATTGGCATTATTTATTTTCATGAACAAATTCCCATCAACGGATTCATATCTGGAAGTCAGTAGAAGTAACACGTATTATCTGGGCAAAAATACTCGTAGAACCAGCTCGAATGCTACAAATCTATTTTGAAGTTGATAAATCTTGACCCAAAAAAATCTACACCATAAAAAACGTTGAGAAGCAGATTTGACAGCAATTTAATGCCAATATCGCAAGTAATCGCAATAGACATTAGTCGTAGCTTAGGCACAAGGATCTTAAAAAACAAAACAAGGCTGGCAAGGTGAACACCAAAAACTAAATTCAGGACTTATCTACTTACTGAATACAATATCTTCCGAATTGAACATCCGCCATATTGATGGATGATATCCTATCTGCAGCTTTTTATAAAATAGTCTTTTTAAACATGTCACTGGAGCACTTTACTGGAACAGAAACAGACTGGCACTGCTCTGACAGCACACGTCAAAGGCTAGACACTGTGGGGCTAGACCATGGAATTAAAGGGGATTGGTCTAAACTCTAAACCTAAACATTCCAACAGTATGACGAGATTTTTCAAGCTAGAATGGGGAATCGACAAAGAAAACAGGTCGTGGCGCCTGTGGCAGGACCAAATGACGTATCTGACATGAACCAAATTATTTATTTTTTAATTTCTGGAACCAAAGCCTAGTAGGATACTCTAATTAATGAATCCGATAAATTGAACATATAAATGGTTAGTTTTAGTTATTTATTTGTTATAATTAATTTGAACATAGGTATTTCTATGCGATGCGCAGGATATGAAACTCGCCGAGTCACCTGATAATTGCTCGCTCTGGCCTGCCTTTTTCGTTGGCCTCTGCTAGACAGTAACCTATTAGTGTTATCTACCGAGTCGAACATTTATTTGGTTTGGTTACAGGACTGCTCAGTAGATGGCGCTAAAGGTATATTCTGCTTTTCTTCGGTAGATGGCGCAGTTAGTTTCTCCGATCGGAAATAACACCTCCTCGCGTTTCTATACTCCTGGTAGCAGAGCTTTGCCCTCGGCGACAATTTGCCGCAAAATGCGAACGCAGTTTTTTCTACCCCGTCTTGGCTGGTTCCAATTTTATTTCAAATCGAAGATGACAAACTCAAAATATGATTAATTTTGTCTGCTATACCAATTCTGCTTATTTTTTACCCATTCTCTTTAGGGAGATAGATAGTTAGTTTACTTACGTTTTGACAACTTTATGATAGAGGAAATTCACGTAAAAATCAACCGAGGTAAATAAATGTCCTAAACTTCGGTATGTTGAGGGACATTTCAATTCTAATTAAAAAAATGCTGATATAATGTGACATGAAACTTTTTTTTTGGAAAGACATTTTGAGAGTAATGCAAAAACTGTTTTTGCAGTACATTTTTAGAGAGACCATCATTTATATGAACCTTATTTTGTGAATTTATTTTTTGCCTTGTCTCTAGCTTTGTGAATGTGTGCCTCCCGATACGCTTGGCTTATAATGTAGCATAACATTAGTTTATTAGATTTGATAATCAACGAAAAAATGAATCATACGATATACCTACAAATATTTTTGTTGGTTTCACTAGGATCACATGTTTAAAATTTCTCTTTTAGCATTGTTGAGACTTAAGGCTCGATTTTACTAAGCAACAGTGAGAAACAGTCATTTTCAATAAAATGCCCAGTAATGGCGTCATGTCAATCTGTTGTATCCATGTTTCGAGAAGGCCACAACTCCTTTTTGATTTTTGGAGTTTGCTTTGGGGCACAAATGAAAAATTATAGCTGAATCGTGATATATGGAGTATTTCTTGATTTAACTGAATTAGGGGCCCATCTTAGACAAATCGTATAATTTTCGAGAGACATTTGACACGAATCGACTAGTAGAATTTGTGTCTAAAAGTTAATGCGTGTGAGGACTGCGTCAATCTACTTGACTCCTATCGTTTCCATTTTGTCGCGCTATCTACAGGGGTCTTTTCTTCTAAATTTTGACAGCATTGCTTGGAAAGTATTTAAATTCCCTCAAGACATTACATTTATTGAACGTACCTTCATTATCGAATTTGTGAAGAGTATTAGTCCTTCTAGTTGACTCAATTTTTCCAAAGAAACAAATGTTTGATACACATTGAACAAATATTTATTTGTGATCTTAAAGACCCCATACAAATATTGACGATCAACCAAATAAAAATTATCACATATATTGCACTAACAATGTTGAAAAGGATGAATAAGTAAAGGAAATAAAAAATAAAATACTACATTATTTATTCTAATCAAACAGTGTTATCCGCTTGCTTTTTGAAAACAATCTCGGCAACATTTAAGTGAGCAACTTTCTCCTTTTGGGGCGGTGGTATGGACTGCTGGCAGAATCGTTTGAACGCTTCCAATTCTAGCTCTTCGGCATCCATGTCATCTTCGAGAACATCCCTTGGACTGAACACGCTCTCTGGAATTAAAAAACTCTGATCTAAATATTGTCGAACACGTAATGCGTAATGTGGTGGGGCACCATCCTGTTCGAACATCAACCTATTCGCAATGTACCGCCGATCATTCTGATTTTCAATTATGGCTGTTAATGCAGGATCTATGGCGTCTTCCAGTAATTCCAAATACATTTCACCGGTCAAGTTTCCAGGTAAGAAAAAAGGACCAACTAAATGATCGCTAAAAATACCAGCCCAGACATTTAATTTTTGTGGCTGCTGTGTATGAACCTCAGGATAAATTCTGGGATTAGAATCGGACCAATATCGACAGTTATGACGATTTACTACGCCATTTAAGAAAAAGGAACATTCGTCGGAAAAGCAAGTGTTGAATAGACAATGTTCATCGTTTATAATTCGTTCACTCATATCTTCACAAAATTGTAATTGCCGATCAAAATCGTCTTCATTATGTTCTTGTATCAGGTGAATTTTATACGGATGAAAACTATGGGCCTTTAGAATCCGTTGGACAGTACGTCGACTAGCACCACACACAGTCTCCAATTTGGAGGATCTGCATAAACTTGCCCTAAAACCCCCACTTCTATTGTTTCGCTCCTTATGGGATTTTCAATGTTGCGTTTTTTATTGGCGACTGACCCAGTTTCCCGAAATTTAGCTGCAAGTTCTAGAACATATTTTCGATGCACGTTACTGTGCTCATGTCGCTCATTAAATATTTAGGCTGTTCTATTAGCGCACTGATTATTTGCGAAAAATATTTCGATAATTTCAACTCTTTCTGCTGTGGAATATACCATGGTTAATTTATGTAATAAAGCGTTACAAGTTATTTTAGCAACAAAGTTTGGTCAAATCAATCGCAAACTATGTACTAAATTCCTATTTAAAATGAGTACGAGATATTTCCTTATCTTTCTTAAGAAATAACTTTTTTGCCACTAGTAGCTATTTTCAACAACAAAATGATAAACAAACCATGGGACTAACGGGTCAGTACATTCTTCATTTTTAAATTACTTTGCTGCCAAATGTATTGATCTCCACTAATGACGATGTATTAGTTTTATTTAAGATTTAAATAAATCTTCAAAACTACTGAACTGGAGCTCATGTATTTTACATCATTATAAAGGGAATTGAAGGACCTTTAAAATAAGGTACCACTCGACCCACCTTTCCACTTAAGATTTTAGGGTTGGTGTCACCACCGCCCAGGGGGCTGCACGTACTAACGTGATTTTTTGACAAACTTGTGTCCCGCTCGAAAACAAAATCGACGGGTCTGAGCGTTTTTCCAAAAAAAACTGAGCTGCCAGAAAATCCCACTAATATATTGATATGTTTTTCTTTAATTGATCATTAAATACGCAAATTCGACAGAAACACTGGCTGGTTCCGCATTAAAGCAACATACGTGCCTTAAGCCGGTCCTGGTTCGCCACTTGATGTGTCCCGAACCAAGGAACTGTGTATTTGTCTTATTGGGGGCCCACCACTAACTACTCCCACTATTCTACAACTACTCTACAACTACTAAACTACTCATGCTAAACCTGAAAGAGAATATTATGTTTGGATTAGAATGGTTTCCTTTTTGATTGGAGAGAAAACTGGTCAACAACTAAGTTGACCATCAAAACAACTCCTTTGTCATCCGAGATTTGGCTAGGCGCCACTACCAAATAACGAATGACAATCCTAATTGGTGACGATCGTCTCCTGAGAAGTCCATCGCAATCGACCACATTGAATTTTATGGGTTATGCAAGAGTATCATACAATGCGGCGCTATCTATTGATCAATTACCGTTATCACTTGCTTAAATTTTTGACAGTGATATGTTCACAAAAACTAACCATAACCTCGGATGATAAACATAAACATTAAAAAAAAAACGTAAATATGCATGTGGTAGATGATGGATGGAAAAACAAAATAGTTAGTGCGAAATTGTGCAAATGCGTCTTTCAAACTTGAATTCATCTCAGGTTCTTGTTTATTTATCTAGCAATCCGTGAAGTGAATCACTTGATGTGTGATAGTGCATTTGAGGTTACGCATTATGATGCAAGTTTTATCGGATTTCCTGTGGATATTTAAAAAATCGGCATAATTTCACCGAAACCGTTTTATTGAGTATTTCAAGGTGCAATGAGATTTTTTCATGATATTTTTGTATCGTGAGATAAAAATTTCATAAAAAGACTTGAGGTACGTGAGACGATGTCGTGAAACAATGCCTCATGAGACTTTATTCTCTTGTACAAGTTTCAACGTGTAAACATAATATGTCGCGGATCTTACATGAGACATTAATTTGTTCACTCCATTTACCATTTTCTTCTCTTAATATGCAGTAAAACGCTCCATAGTTTATTACATATTGCGATATACCTTTCCAAGAGAATAAGATTGATAGATAGATAATTTTTTATTTATTCATAAGCCGAGACATAGAACATTGTTATTCAAGAGCTAACTAGCTATCTAAAATTAATTATAAAAAAAAATATACAATTACAAAGATTTTTAGAAACTACTATGAATTCATGTGCCGTCACAATCGTAAACAAGAACGATATATTTGTATTCAATTACAGCAATTTTCCATATAGTCAACATTTATCAATAAAATTATGTATACGAGTAGTAGCAACAATGATATAATACCCTGCTGTACAAAATATTCTAAAGTAACTCTAGAGTATACAGTAAGTCTATCCTTATCCTCAAAAAAAATCATTCAACGAATAAACTGCCTTAGAGATCAAATAATTAGTGATAATCTTTTTAACTTTGATTTCTGGTAAAGTTCGGACATTTAAATTGAACAAAATTTTAACAGTATATGGAGCATTTTTCTGAATAAAACTGAAGTTACACTTATCTGGGATAAGATCTTGCTTATGCCTAGTCATGTGATTATGTTTATTTGTAGCATCGTCAAACAGATCTCTGTTTTTAAAAACAAACATAAAAGCGTCCAATATACAGGGTGGCGCATCGAAAACGAAACGCATTTACTGGCAGCTCAGTTTTTTTTTTTTTGGAAAAACGCTCAGACCCGTCGATTTTACAGCCCCCTGGGTGGGAGTGACACCAACCTCTAAAATGGAAAGAGGGGTCGAGTGATACCTTATTTTAAAGGTCTTTCAATTCCCTTTATAATGATGTAAAATACATGAGCTTCAGTTCAGTAGTTTTGAAGATTTATTGATTTAAAGCTTAAATAAAACTAATACATCATCATTAGTGGAGATTCATACATTTGGCAGCAAAGTAATTTAAAAATGAAGAATGAACTGACCCGTTAGGCCCATGGTTTGTTTATCATTTTGTTGCTGAAAATAGCTATTGGAGCGTTTTTTGTGGCAAAAAAGTTATTTGTTGTTATTGCAAGCAATCAAGTGGCTTCACGATGTTTTAAATATTTTTAATCTGTTTTTAACTTGTTCTTGTCATACAGCTGTGTGTAGTTTGTATAATTTTGACCATTGTACCATGTATCCAGCTTTCACCATGTTACTGGGTGTTTCCCTCATCCTTAACGTAAACAACAATTAGCAACATCCTCACATACTACTCTCCTGATGATGAAAGCTAGAGAGAATAAAAAAAGTATAAAAAGTCCTCCTTGCTTAAATTTTGTCGAAGTACCCAACAAAAGGCGGAAGCTTTAATTTTTCACCTATATATATACATACGTAGGTGTTTATCTTTTTTTTCACTCGGTATAATATTTACGAATAATAACTTCTCGTTCATGATTATATATAGTATTGGATTAGCTATCATTAGGTAGAATACATTAACAAAAGGAGGAAAATAATCTTTTATGAACTGATGACAGAATGCCGTGCAGAGTCAGCCTACTTGACGCCATTTTCATTTGAATTCACATTTGGCGTAATTCACGTTTTGAACTTACCATAAAACCAGTCATCTTTTTCAAAATCGAATTTTTCGCTGCCATTTGAAGTGGGTATAATTGATACTTCCGCTGTTTGGCAAGCTTTGTTCCCATCTGCTTCGGTTTTATTCTGCTTTTTGTCCACTTTGGTTATCTCGATGCCCGGTAAACCAGACAAAATCTCTCTGGCGTTAAAGGACGATATCTCTTTCTCTTCTGGGGTCGATGTGTAGCCTTGATGAGACTGGTATGGTTCAATTTCTGGCATTATATTCTGCACGGGCATCGGATTCAACGCAGACCCTGGACCATTCATTAGACGAGAACTTCTTATGGTAACCATGCCTGAAAGCGCGAAATAATGAAACCACGATTCGAAAAATATGAAGAACATTGTCGAAATGGAAAATAAGAATCCGTGCAAATATTACGATTTCAAAAATATGGTAAGCGGTTACCTGCGACTTGGTACGCGTTAAACTGTTACTAGCATGTAACATTATTTTTGAGAATTGCTATAATTGCATTCCATTAGTAAATTGACAGTCAACGGCATGCTTGGAAAATCTGCGGGGGTAAAAACGCGGAGCGGAAAGCTAAATATTGAAATTACCCATTTTTTGAAGCTAGCATTTTAAATAAACTACATTTTACATTGTAAATAAATGCCAAATTACCAGATACACAATCCATTCTTAGTTCAAGTCTATTCTAAGCAGAACCTAATCGCTGCCAATTTTTAGATATAAGACTCCAAGCAATGTCAAAGTCACTTGGGAGTGCCCTTTCATCCCTTAATCCGGCCTTGACACAAAATCCGACCTTAGCTGAAATGGGCTACCTCCCTGCCAAAATTCATGTTTGTAGGTCAAATAGCCGATTTTTCGCGATTAATGTGTAACTTTTTGCTTTTACATATATTTATATGTAATAATTGTAAAGTCTGGTTTTATTGCTGTAAGTTGGTATTCAAAACAGGGACGCATAAAATGGGTCCACCAAGTTTTGCGGGAAAACTTTTTATTCCACAACAAAGAATGAGAAAACGTGTTTTTTGGGATTCAATCAAAAGTGTTGGCAGGAACGAAAAAACTCTTCATATAAGATTTTTAGGTATTTATGAGACCTACAAAATGAGACCACACGTGAAAAGATCCGACTAATAGCAAAAAAATTATGACCGAAAACCGAGGCAAACTACAAACTGCAGGTATTGGCACTTGTTGGTAATGCGTCGATGGTTTCTCGCAGATATGTCAAATTCTTCAAATTCGTTCTTCTAAATAACCACAACAAAAATGGAGTATAGATTGGTCAAGTAATTTTTGAGAATTTCTAATTCAAATACGAAATGTTTGTATTTGTTTAGAAGAAAAAAAACGTAACGTTTGTTTTTCGCATAAAAATAAAATTTATTTTTCGGAATGGTTTGTGATTTATATCGGCAAGCTAAACACGTGTATTTTGCTTTAAACGAACCCTGTATATTGCCCAATAAACTAGTAGCGATGATCGCAAAACAGGTGTTGCGTGAAATTATTATCGCATGACCAAGTGCCAAAAATTGCATTTTGCGTCGTTTTTCGGCCATAACATTTTTGCTATTAGTCGGATCTTTTTACGTGTGGTCTCATAAATACCTAAAAATCTTATATGAAAAGATCTTTCGTTCCTGTAAACACTTTCGATTGAATCCCAAAAAACATGTTTTCTCATTCTTTGTTGTCAAAAAGTTTTCCCACAAAAATTGGTGTACCCATTTTATGCGTCCATTTTTTTACAACTTGACCAATAAAACCAGACTTTACAATTATTTCGGGAAAATTTGCTAATATGATTAGATGAGACTACCCGGGTTTCAAAAATCCCTTTTTAGGACATTATTTCACCATGATTTATTTACGTGTCAGACAGGACTGCAATTGGCAAACAACTTGGGAATTAGATTCAGTACCGAATTTTTTCACGAAATTTGGTACCAAATTATGAACAAAATTTGGTATCGTGATAGATGGCCTTAAGACACAAATTAGTTGCAATTGTTATAAATTAGACTTTGGACAGTAAAAACGGTGTTTTCGTTACAATATCAGTAGGGATGCATTCTGTAAATGCCGGTGATTGGATTTACTTACCATTTTCGTTAGTGAAAATCGCTGCTGGAGGAACATTATCCGAATGTTTATCTGCCGCGGAATCTGACGGTTTAGATTGCATTGATTGGAAGATAGGGTTTTTCAAAGTTATCATTTTCTTGCCATCCACCGTTGATTGATTCTCAGACTCCGCTGCTTTTTTGGCGTTCTTCTTTTTCTTTTTCTTGTTTTTGGCTTTAGATTCGCCATTAAGTGGTTTACTTTGGATAAGCTTTTCCGTATCAACAACTATTACTCCTGATTTTCCAACGTTAATGGTAGGACCACCTCTTTCTTCATCTATATTGCCTACTTTATAATTACGGTTCGATACCGGGCCTTCAATCTTTGTTATCGTTATACCTGAAACATAAGTGAACATGAAATTCATCTAATAAAATTGTAGATGGATAATGTTTCGATAGAGGAAAAGTGCCTACAACTAGTTTTATCAAGAGCCTTTCCATATGACTAGAAAGTAAGCTGTATAAGAGCTAGAATTCTGTATAATTTAGAATTCTTACCTGGCGGTAAACGAAGCATTGGTATATTCAGATCGCTTAGAGGTATTTCTTTTTTAGTTGAAGGTGTATTGGCTTTTTTATTGAAATCATTCATTTTTTGTTTGCCGGCATTAGGCAACATTTTAACGTGATTGTTTTTGTTTAGTTTCCTAGTATTTGCATCAGGCTCTGATTTAGTTTTAGTTGGATCTAGAGCCACTGTTACTTTCACGTCTTTTGTCACAACAGATAGGGCGTTCTTCTGCTTCTTTTTCTTCTTGGAATTCTTCTCAGGCTCTTTAGGAGCATCTATCTTATCATCAGGCCCACCTACTAACGTGTAGAGCAACTTATCTTGGTCAGGCGTGGATCCTTTCAAAGTGATGGTGACAGTCGGTTCGCCATTTTCGTTTTCGGCGATTCTTTTGATGGTGACCATTGCGGGTATCGTTTCTTCAACAATTTTCGTGTTTTTAGATGCAGTTGCATTTTTGATGTTCTCCTTTTCTTTTTCAGCGTCTTTTTGTTGCTTTTTCAGCTCTTGCCTTTTTTCAGCCTGTCTCTCCTTTTTGCTCTTGCACTTTTCTGCCTTAGCTGAAAAAGGAGTGGGTAAAGTAAAAAAAAAGATTTTTTTGAAATTCTGGGCTTGAAGGGTTATTTGTCTTATTTTTTAATTACAATTATATACGCACCTTTAGCTATTGCCGCTGCTTCGGCTTTTTCTCGTTCAACCTTTCTTTTAGCAGCTTCTCGTCTCTCAGCTTCTTTTCTCTTTAATTCCTCCTCTAATCTTTTCTGTTCTTCAGCCCGCTGCCGTTCTTCTTCCTGAAAAAATGTTGTAATATTTAATCCAGATACGAGGGATGTCTTTTAAGTTTTCCATATAGAAACATAGTAGGCCGCGCGGATCGAACGTCAGTACTGAATCTTAACCTCACTCTTTAGTAAACTTAAATTCAAAATTTCACAATACACACTACAGTGAATTCTTAAGTGTCACCAAGTCATTAGAAAAATGGAACTCGACCGAGAACATTTTCGCGCCATAATTTTTTATAACTTTCAGAGACAATTATCGCAACAAGAATGCCTTGCTGAGTTACTGTCTGCTTTCGGCAACGAAGCGCCACATCAGTCGACAATTTCCCGTTGGTATGGAGAATTCAAACGAGGAAGGGTGAGTCTTAGCGACGATCCCAGGGTGGGTGCACCAAAAACGGCAATCACCCAAAAAACGTCGATGCTGTGTGTAAACTCAGCATTGAAGATAGACATGTGACATATCACGAGATGGAGGCGTCCTTGAAGATCTCAAAGACCTCAATTCAAAATAAGTTACATGAAGAATTAGGAGTAAGAACATTAGTTTCTCGTTGGATATCCCACCTGTTGACTGAAGAGCAGGAAGCAGCCAGGGTAGTATGTTATATCAATTTTCTTCTTTTGAATTGGTTTATCCATATATGCAATAAAATTTGAGGTATTCCATTTAAAAAATCACAAACTTTGATATGTAGGTCGAAATTGGAGTATAATGGCCAATACTTTAGAAATGATACCCCATAAATAGATTTTCCCAAAATGTATTTGTTTATGAGTAATATTCCGTCCACACATGGATGGGCCACCCTGTATATTTAAAATAGAGAAAAATTCCTCACACACGGTCAAATGCATTCAATTAATACGAGAACTACTGAATACTTCTATATACCACCCTAAAGAACTCACATTATGTGTAAGTCCCCAAATATAACATTGTTAACCTACTGCCTTTGGAAATAAAGAATTTCCATAATCTAAACACTATCTCTTAAAATACTATTTAATTGAAAACATATTTTTTTTTATTTTTTTACCATTTAATTTTTTTTTTGTTAGATACAGGCTTTTTAGATTCAAGTTGAAGATGTATACAATGTCTTTGGCGAGAGGAAATAAATAAAATTCTGAATTATCACGTAATATGACTTACTTTCTTTTGGCGCTGCCTAATCTTCTTGGCTGCCTTTTTTTGAGCAAGTTCAATCTTGTTCAATACCGAATTGCCTTCGATGTAATTGACCAGCCCGTGAATGTCGTCTTCTTCAGATACAGTAAAAGTTAAATCCAAAGGTTTCACAACCGGAGCTGGTGGTATATTTGTAGGAGATGAAGGCAGGGGCACCCTTTCTTCTACCTGGAAAACAAACACAGTCGATAATTTTTGAGTTCAGCTTTCAGGTAATTAATGGTTATACCGTATAATGTGTACTTATTACCTTGCTTATGACAGTCTTTAGTTTCGCAGAATTTATAGCTGCAGCACAATTGTTGGCTGATTTTTCAGCAGCATGTAAACCATGCTTGCTGGTGTCTTTTGTTCTCTTTTCTCGTCTTTGATGCAATCTTATTCTCAGCCTGTCTCGAAGCTCGTTATTTTTGTGGACGTGAGACGTTACATTCTGGAATTAAAAACAAAAGTCAGAATTTCCATTGATGCACTTTTCATTCTCTGAGAAAAATTATAATTCTAATAATTCAGTGTTGATACCTACCGATCCGAATACTTCGCAGTACGTGCAGTCACATTTTTTGGCATCTTTGCCATGCTCACAGGGGCCTCCATGGGAATGGCAGGCATCTGGAAAAGACGACTGTTTAGTCATCACCAATACCTACAGACAGGGTGTTCGTGTGGTACGTTCGCAATATAAATCAGTATTTTTTTCGAGTAACGTGTGTTATACCATATAAACTATATTCCTGTGTGAAAAATCAACCGATATAATAGATTGGATCTTATTGGATACAACGAGCGATAAACTATGTAAATCGCAAAAAAAAAAACGGTCGACAATGAGCAGGTTTTTGTGCGCGTTTTTGCCATGGTAGGTGCCTCGACCTAAATACTAAACAGCTGGACGGTTTTCGGGCAGAAGAAGTAACCTAGATCTGCAGGGATTGTCGGGAAAACCTTCTCGGAGGTGCCAAAGACGACCGTTGCTTTTTGGGTCAGCTGGTGCTGGTCATAATAATGCATGATGGCCACAATGCAAAATATAATCGTTGGATCACGAAATTACGAGAACGCTCGCGAATTCCGCGATTTTTTGCAGCGATAAAGTCTCCGATTTTGGGGCTGGTCATTTTTCAACCTCAGTGGAACTTCTAGAATTTATCCTATTATTGCTCCTCAAACCCATTGTGTTCTATCTGGTCAATGCCAGGTTGAACAAAAAAAACATGGAAAATGCTCAGAAAGGCAATATTTTATTATATGAGAACAAAATAAGTAAGTGGCATTTATAATCAACTAGTTTAATATTATTAAGGATTAAACCATAAAAAACTTCATTACTCTGTTAACCGAAATATATATATATATATACAGGGTGTCCGCAAAGTTGGGGTTTTCCTTTACACGACGTGTAGATCTTGAAAACATAAGTAATTTTTCTTAGTACCATATACACCAAAGTCTTAAGGAAACAGAGATAAAGGGCTCTGCAACATCAAAAATATCTGAATACCGTCCTGTAGCCGCGACATCCCCAAGTGGTAGTAGGACACTAGCTCAACCCGACGACAGAACTGGGTCGGGGTCAGTGTGTCAGGTCAGTATGCAACCGTCAACCGACGGTTACGGTCACGCTGTAAAGGTAATCGCGTAGACGCTGCGTGAAGAGGGGCTGTATCCGTTTCACGTCCGACGTGTACAAGCCCTTCAACCTGACGATTTTCCAGCAAGAGTGCGGTTTTGTGAGTGGTTGTTGCATCAACATGACAATAATCCAGACTTTTTGAAGTGCATATTGGTGACAGACGAATCTACGTTCACGCGTAATGGGGTGAATAACTTTCGCAACACTCATGTTTGGTCAGTAGAAAATCCGCACGCTGTCCGTCGGGCACATTTTCAACAAACATTTTCGGTGAATGTTTGGGCTGGCATGGTGAACGGTATGCTCATTGGACCATTTATTCTTCCAAATCGATTGGACGGGATGCAATACCTAGACTTTTTACGCAACATTTTGCCTTCCTTGTTTGCCTGCGTCTGCTCGGTAGCACATCAGCTGATTTCATTTTCTGTTGGAGCGGTATGATTTCGGGCAGAGTCGTACTTAGCCCTTCTCGTCAATTGGAGAGTGAGTACTTTTTCCTTTATTTTTTTTACTTGGTCGCCCTCGTTTCACTACACATTACCTTCGTTATTTCAAGGGTAGTTGTTTTTGAAAAGGAAAACCCCAACTTTGCGGACACCCTGTATATATATTCTGAAAATTCCGCAACGGGGTCTACTAGTGTGTACTAAGCTTAAAGATTAAGACCCTGAACTGCCCATTAAACAAATTAATTGGTGCAAATACTGACACAATCAAGTACTTATACAGTATTCTTCAGACTTTCGTTGTTGAACTTAGATTTGCGGCATAGTTGTTGTTTTCTCAGTCAAATCTCATATTCAAGTATTTACTGCAAATTACGTAACGTTTTGGTTTTTTCGGATGGACAAAATGGTACTGAATCCGAAATTTCAATGGAAGTCGATCAAAAATCAAAATGTCACGCACCAGGTCTGACAAAAAAAAAATATCTGGGAGTGCACATATTACCAGTTAAATTGGGTAGAAGTTTTTCCAACGTGTTCACGAAGCTCTGAATAATTTCTGGTCTAGTGGCTGGAAATAAAATGTTCTTGTTAAAATACTATACATTGTCTAAAGCCATCGCGAGATGGACTAGGTACACTTGAAACTGCATCTAAAGCACAAAGCAAAAAAAAAGCGTCAAGTAAGTTAACCAGGTAAAGGATTATGTTTGGCACGAGCTAGCCCTTTTGAGATCAAACGTAGCTACGAGGGATGTTTTTAAGTTTTGCATATGGAAATAAAACAACACGGTAGGTAGTTTTAAATGACTTTATTGTTTTTAGAAGTATTCTCCACGAAGATTAATACACATCTGCATGCGCTCGAACCAATTTTGAAGCACTTATTCCACTCGTTTGCTGGCAGATCCAAAACGGCATCTTTGAATGCATCAACTGCTTCTTCTGGTGACTGGAACCTTGTGAAACTTTGGATTTAAGTTTACTAAAGAGTGAGGTTAAGATTCAGTACTGACGTTCGATCCGCGCGGCCTACTATGTTTGTATATGCAAAACTCAAAAGACATCCCTCGTACGAGCATGTACAAGGTGTCCAAAAATAAATTTCCCTTTTTAAACTCGAATAACTTGGCAACAGTGTGACTTCGCGCAACAAGACGCCGCTACCGCACATACAGCCCGAGGTCATCTCTCGCTTTGGAGACCCAAACTGGCCAGCTAGATCTCCAGATCTCATCCCATTGGACTTTTTTTGTGGGGATACCTTAAAAGTAAAGTTTATGTTAATCAGCCTAGGACTTTGCAGGAATTAAAACGGGAAGAAATTAGAGCAATTACTCTTGAACTATGTTTAGCAGTTTTTAACCACATGAAGACGGCACTGCAGGAGTGTTTCCACCGAAATGGAAGGCACCTTGACAATATAATTCATAAAACATGAAATCCGCCTATTTTATGCTTCAATAAATTAATTTTAAGACTTCAAGACAATTTTGTATTTTTAAAAGGGCAATGTATTCCTGGACACCCAGTATAACAAAAAAAGATAAAAGATTTTCCTCCTCCCATGAGCGGAATTGCTGCAGGTGCACATGATCGTTGCGATGACCAATCCCGCGAGAATGACGATATTTTCCTTCACCATGTACAGTGCCAGGGTTGCTAGGGGATTTGACGGTTTCAAATGGCGACTAAAATGGATAGCTTGGCGATTGGTTACTTTAGTGGCGCCCAGTATCCAATAAATTGGCGATATCAGACGATTTTTTACATTTATGACGACATTTGTAATCCATTTCTGCTGGTATATGTATAGATTATATGAAACATGAAACGCGGACCAGCGGAAGTTCTGTGCTCTAAGCACAAGGGCGTTTATGGTCAAATGTCATGTCAAGGTGTCGTGTTCCAAGCATATCAACGCCATCCCATCCTAAAACTTTTTCACTCAGTGTTGCGAGCCCCCCAAAAGATAATCGGGGAAAGGTAAATACGCAGAAAATTATTGTCCTAAAACATATCTCATTTCCGAAAATTTTCGCAATTACAATGGTTCCATGTCAGGTCACTCATTTCAGTCGGCATGCCGGCTAATCCTATAACCGCCTATAACTTGAGGAGTACCGCTAGGATTTTTACACAATGTTAATACTATGCCAAAGACGAAAAAGCTTTGCAGTTTTTGAAAATCGGTCGCTAGGGGGACAAAAACAAAAAATATCGGTCTAACTTTTTTGACGTTTCAGACGATCCTGATCAATTTTGAAAAAAAATACTGATAGGTTAGGGAAACAATGTCTACGAATTAAATTTATAGATCCGTTTGACTGACTTTTTTGTCAGCACGTCTAGTTTGTGCTGATTATAATCCTTTACGAACTGAAGGCGTTACGTTTACACGTTTTCCTTCTTTCATCATCGCGAGCTAGCAGAAAAAAAGATGCAGGGTTTTCTATTTGCTGGCTTGAGGCTTTCAAGCGTGAAACCAAAAACAGAAACTCATTTTTTTCTTGTTTTTGCACTAATTTTTCAGTTGTTATACTCTTTTGTTTAATTGCACCTGAATTGTAGGTGGGGACCTGGGACTATCCACAACTTCCACCGACGCTGCTCACAATGTATAAGAATCGGTTTGCTCGGAAAAAATGACGAGACTTCAATATCGCCAGACCACAGAGTAGTTACATCAAGAGAATACCCTTATAATCCGTTGGTCGGCCCCACTGACCTTGTAAGTCGTCTGCATTATACAGGGTGTAAACATTATGGTAGTCATTATTGAAATGGGTAATAGGGGGGGGGGGTGTCAAAGTAAGTCAAAAGTGGCATTAAGTTTTTCTAAGTTTAGCCAAAATTTCTAGTCAGTAAGTTTCATTAAATTGAATATTTAGAACACACGTGACAACAGCGCGTCGGTCATCATCACTCTTATCGAACCGGCAATCGATCGCAAACGCTAACAGTGGTTAGTATGTTGTTTTGTTTTTGTTCGCGTCCGTCGTCATGTTGATTTGCAATGTTCTCGAATCAAGAGTTCGCCGACATGTTGTTAGTTTACGGTGAAGCTGGTCAGAATTCAAATCTTGCAGCTCAAATTTATCGCAACAGATTTCGCCAACGGGTACACCTAGACAGAAGGACATTTGTGCAAGTGTACCAAAGACTTCGAGATACAGGAAGTGTTCAGCGCACTAATATTCGCACTCGTGAAAGACGGGTTACTGTAGAGCAGGAGGAACAAATTTTAAATATCGTGGAAATCAATGCAGATATCAGCACTCGGGAATTAGGCCACCGCGCCCATAGAATCCTAAGGGAAAATTTCCTCTTTCCTTACCATGTGCAATGAGTCCAGGCCTTGTTACCAGAAGACTATCCTCGCAGACTAACATTCTGTCAGTGGTTTTTGCACAAAAACATTGAAAATCCGGATTTTTTTAAAAACATTCTAGCGACGGACGAATGTACTTTTACGCGAGACGGGATATTAAATTTCCATAATACTCACACGTGGGCCCAAGAAAATCCTCATACCATTCGTGAAGGTCATTTCCAACAAGGTTTTAAAATAAATATTTGGGCGGGTATTCTTGACGATCAGGTAACCCTTTCGAGTTACCCCCAAAGTTGTCAGGGGAAGGATACCTTAGCTTTCTAGCCAACAACCTACCAGAACTTTTGGAACAGACCTTAGACAACATGCCATTACAACGGAGACAGAATTTGTGGTTTCTTCGTGACGGGGCACCACCACACATTTTTAGAGGCGTCATTCAGTCTTTGAATGAACATTATCCAAATCGCTGGATCGGTCGAAATGCTCCTCATCCTCGAAAATGGCCAGCAAGATCTCCTGGCCTCAATCCGATGGATTTCTGGGAGAACTTAAAGGGATGGTTTATGGGGCTGGTCCAATAACAACTGAAGCACAACTTCGCGAAAAAAAAATTAATGCGGCTGAAATAAGAAATAGACAACTTCGAGGACCTAGAGTAAGAAGAAACTGGGTTCATCGTAATGAAGCTTGTGTTGAAAGTGGAGGACGACAGTTTGAACACCTTCTTTAAATACAAAAAACTAAAGTGTGGGTTTTAAAAAGAAAAACAATGTATGTATCAAAATTGTGTTCCCTAGTTATAAGTGGATTTTTTTAATACGTTCAATAGACTTTCACACACCAGGTGCTGAGACAGTTAGTGCTAAGTCCGTTTGTTTTAATTGTTTGCATTTTACGAGTACATTATCAAATAATGAAATTATACCTAAGAGCCAAAAATAACAAACTCCATCTTTATTTACACTGCGTTACGTCGTAATTTGCGTCTGGCATTGCGGCGTTGTCAGATTTTATTTTACATCAAAGTCGCTTTTCTCTAAAAAAATGTTATATGAAACTCTTTGCTTCTTCTACCCCCCCTCTATCACACATTTAAATAATGACTATCATAACGTTTAAACCCTGTAGTAGGAAAGCGGATCGTAATTTTTTGTGACATCGATAGTGTTTAACACTACGACGAAACCATAACTTTGCGGTCGACTCTTGGACATTTCACAAATAAAAGCAGCGATCTATAAGCAGACCATCCTTGGCTACCGAAGCGGTGTTGCCAAGCTGCCATAAAATATTTATAAAATGCCACATTTCCACTTAGCAGAATGGGGTTCAGCTCTTATATATAATAAGCAATTTGATGTTAGAAAGCTTTTGAACCGACATACTTTTTTTATTACCAAACTAAGTCGTATTCCCCGTAGGTTTTGAGAAAAACTTGAATAAAAAATTCGTTTATTCCGACTTAATGAGAACAGCTGTGTTTAGGCGTCATTAACTGTTATGTGAGCGCCATGTTCTTGGAGATATCTCGTATCTCTCTCTAATTTTATTCGCCTTGTCTAACCCTCTTCTCTTTACATTACTATTCTTGGGCTAGAACAATGACAGGTGATTTGTTACTTACTGTTAGGTTTGATTTCAGGAGTTTTGTTGTCCAGCCTACAGTTGTGCTCACAAATAGATGCCGCATCCTTGCCTGGTACAGGTTTACATGCGGTATAAGGCCTGGAATTACATCTAAATAGACAACTTGTTAAAGTTCATTACATTTTTTGATATTCGTATGGACATCTACATACCTCTCACATTTGTGAGCATTTTTTCCCATTTCTTTTATTTTGCTTGCTTCTGGCTCCACTGGTTTCGGTACGGCTGGCCTGTGAAAGTATACTTATTTAAACATACCTCTCAACTTAGGTATGTAATCTATCATTTGAAAATATAGATGTTTGACAAATTTATTCAATTTTTTCTTTTGCGAGTATGCCTGAAGTCCCACTGTACTATTGATATGATACACCAATAACATTAAATGAAGTGTTCCAAATATCTTATCCTGGAAATTACTTACACATTCTGTGAAGTTGGGTTGAACATATCGAACACTTTCTCAGTCACTTGTCCGTTGGAATTAGTAAATATGTCTTTTTTAATTTTGATGAAATTGCGGACGTTCTTGCTCAAAAGTTGGCATTTTCCCTCCTTCCTCTGTCTCAAGTATTCTTCGAAAGCTTCCATTGTTGTCTCTGCCTCGGTATGTTCTTCAAAATGCTTAAAGTGTATCTCGCAAGCGTCTTCATCTTCCTCTTCTTCTTCTTTCTCCTCTTCAGTCATCTTTTCTGCAAAACCATTTGGTAATGCGGGAGGTCCGCTGTTATTTGAGTTGAGGCTCAGTAAACTCATTTCATTGCTTAACATCTCTGCTGGGTCATACTCATCATCTTCACAACAATGCTCTGAAATCATATTCATTCTATAGCACAATATAGAGGCGATGCTATAGTTGTAGAGAATCTCAATACATACTGATTTATATCACATATCGTCAGCTTACTGCAAAAACAAGATAACTCAATTTTTATACTTTATGAGTTGAGCACATTTTCACGCTTATACAGGGTAGCGTGTCCAGCAAGAAAGTTCACGCTTTGATTACTGAAAAACTTTCTTGCAGAGTTCCGGAGTGATGTTTATTGCTCGTCGAATGTTGTCTTTAAGCGCCGCCAGTGTTCGTGGATTATTGGAATACACTAACCCTACAAAAAATAATCGCATGGCGTGAGGTCAGTGACCCCCTCCTGTTGAATCCACGTGTTTCTGTTAAATTGACGTTCTGTTCTTACAATAGGATCTAAAAAAGTGGCAATCGTGTCCTTGTTTCGCTCGGAATTGACTGTCAATGCATGACCGTTTTCATCTTCACAGAAATACGGCCCAATAATACCCCTAGAGGATACGGGGCACCTGTAGACTATACAGGGTGACTTTGCAGTTGAGTCATTAATTTTCAGATAATGATTGTAGAAGGAAGATAAACCAATATATGTGTGTAAAAATAAAAAAAAAATTAAAAAAAAAATGTTACTTTGTTTTATAAAGTATCGTCCCGACAAGTATTTCAGTGCGGACCTGTATTTGATCGTGCGGTCTTGGAGCACCGGCATGCCCTCCCCTGTGAGGTCTTAAGTCACCTGATTCACGAGCCCTTTGTACTACATTAACAAAGGCACGAGGGGTTGGTTGCACTCGATTGGGAAACCGATCCGCATAAATCCGTGATGCCGCGTAAATAAGAATCATGTCCACAAGTTCAGCATTTTCGTAAACATGTGCCATTTTTGATTTCGTTTGAGCCACGCAACAGACACCACTATTCACTCACACGTTACCGACTGACACTGACTGTATACAACTGAATAAAATAATTGTAAAAACATCGTTCCAAATTCTTTCGCTTTTTTGTTTCCGATGCGATGAACCGATAAGGCGGATTATATCCGTTGTTGTCAAACACGAGCACATAATATTATTATTGAGACAGGGCGGTACTCAAACTTCCAAAGGGCTATAACTTTGTTACTTTAATTTTACCAGAAAAATGGTAAAGGAAAAAAACATTTCTTTTGATCAGATCTACTCACTGTTAAAATAAATGACTCAACTTCGAAGTCACCCTGTATAGCTGTTGATGTTTCTGTTTTTTGTTCGTTGGTGCCCAATATCTGCAATTTTGTTTGTTCACATAACCGTCTAAGCGAAAATGGACCTCGTCACTGAAAACAACGTTCTCGAGTCTGCGCTGCGTAGGAAAAATGGGTTTTATAAGGATGAAAACCCATTTTTTTTCTTCATTAAGGCATGCATTGTTGACCTAGGCAATGCTTCCGTACAGAACGCCGAGATTTGCACTGACCGAATGACTTACTCGACGCGCATTTTCTTCGGTTGATACAGTAGGTATGGGGCCAGGAATTAAGTTTTTCAATAGGTTCTTACTTGGAGGCATCTCTTAGTCGGCGAATGTTGTAACGTGTACAAAATTTCCAAAGGGCAGCTACGTATGAATCACCACTCTTAAAGTAAGCCTTGATAGAAAAAACACGTTGTGCTCCGGTCCAACGTTCCATTGTGACTATTTAACCCGTACACCGAACGCGTCGATCAAGACCTCTCCCCACTTCCGCGTAATTCAAATTTGAAATGTGAGCTTTCCCACTGGTCACCCTATTTTTAATTTTTGTATACTCGTATAGCTTTATAACTTAGGTACATGAATAAAAATAAAGATTAAAGTGCGCATTGTTTTTTTTACTTACGAGGGTGGTCCCAGAAGTACCAGACTCAACGAAGAAAACACAAAAATTTTGTTAAAAAATGTCTTTATTTTTCAACATAATCTCCTTTGAGCACTAAAAACGTTGGCTGCCAAACAAATACTAAACAACGCCTTCAAACTTATATGCTTCATAGGTTGCATACTTTCTAATACAATGATATTTTTCAAACAACTATCGCCATCTCTAGGTCAGGCCGGGTACTTCTGGCACCACCCTCGTATATTATTCAAAAAGTATTATAAAACATATATTATAGTCCTTTGTATTCGAACCTTGAGTGTTCAAATAAAATTTAAAATACATGTTTTGAATTCGAATACAGGATTTCAGTGTTCAATCCAAGTTTGTCCGCTATATGTATGACAATATGAAACTTACTATTGACATGAGCATGATATGTATTCAAATCGATCGGTTTCTGGCATTCCCTACAAAAACTCTGCCTAGTCGCATCTTTGAGAATTTTATTGTTGATTTCATCGGCCGGTTTATCTACAAGCAATTTGTATTTTGCAAACAGGCATTCCTCGCAAATACATTGCCCATTTTTGTCTAAAATTGGTCCATCCGGGTGAAAGAATGGATCGAATAGTAAACGAAATATATGGTGGTCGAGTCGCCTTAAATCTAAGTCTTCCAGCCTAAAATGTCATAAAATTATTAAGTAGATACAATAAAATTCTAGATGAAACAAACATACTCTTGTTGAGATCTGAAAATCCAACAGTTGCTTTTTAATACTTTCTTATGACAATTTATCATCGCCTCTTCTATATAATAGAAATCTGTCGTGTCATCCACCTGTGCCTCCTCGCTGAAAAATAATGATCATTTTGGGATATCCACTCTGCAATCTCTTAGGAATCTGGTGAAGAATTTGATAATAGTACTTATGGGAGGCTGCAAACGACCCGTTTTTTTATATCAAATTCAACTCCACGACATTCAAACGATTCATCACGGTCATATTTGAAATTAGAGCTTCAAATAACATAAGTGTCCTATCATTTGTGATGGAAAATTCGTCCCATGACGGCCTATATAATATTTAAAGATGCAACATGAACTCTTGTCTAGAGTAAACTGATGTCAATTTGACATTAGAATCCACCCCAAATTACTAAAGTGTATTAGATTTAATTAAATCATAACAGCAGATGATGAAAATGCTCAATTGGGAATTACATACTTTATCTTCATTATTCGTTTCTGCTCCTTTATCCACAGATTTTTCAAGTCTTCAAGTAAACCAAACATGGCAGGTGTATCACCAGGACTCTCCTTAAACTATTAAAATCATTACTATACATTATTATAGAATAGTATAAGAGCTTACCTCTAAGCACTTATATATAGTAAGCTGTACATAGTCAGTTTCAAAAAAATATCGTATAAATACGCATGTATTGAAGTCTATCCAACACACAGAATAATTTTTGTAAACAATAACTTCAAACTCTTGAAAAGCTGCACTGCAGTTTTTCGCTGCTGAAAGCATTGCTTCATAGTAGTAAAATAACTCTAAAAATATGAAATATTGTTAGTTTGCCTATGGTTTGCCTATTATGGATAAACATTTCTTACTTGTAATAGCATGGTTACCACCTTTGCTATAGTTCCACTGGGCAAAGATACAATACTCTCTAAGCAATGCCACAATTCTCAAATATAATTGAGATTCATCATCTTCAATCAATCTATAATGAAAAAACGTATAATATACAGGACATTCCAGAAAATCGTGATTATATTTCTATGGTAGAAAGTACATTCAGAAATAACTCATAAAGTTCCTATAAGTATAAGGCATACAATGTCACATCACCAAGATACAGAGTATTGTAAATTTCTGCACTGAATAAGGACAAAACATGATCATTGTTCAAATGATGCTATGGCAAGTTATGGTTAGTCTCCTGATACATACAATATTCAATATCAAACTTCATTAACTTTGATTCACCATTTTTTTTTAATAAAACAAACAGGTTTTTTCCTTAAATATGGCAATGAAGAACACTGAAATTACCTATTTCCATTATCTTTCTCTATTTGCCCAAAAATATTTGTTGTCTAGATTGATAGTAAATATAATTTTTTAAGACTTTTTAATCATTTACCAGCAGTTGTGAAAAAGATTGTCAAAGGAGGTGCATTTAAAAAACACCATATAAAATATTACTTAATCTAGAATCATATACAATCAATCAATTTTTCAAGACAGATTTGAATAATATGCCTTAAAGCAAGATTTTAACCTTAATTTTGTTTGGTTGGTGAAGTTGTGAATTGGTGGAAATCCCAAAAGAATGTCAATGCTAAGTATTCAAAAAGTAATGCCCACCAATAAACATCTGTTATCTGCTGCATGTTCTTCAGCATCAGAGTGTTTTCAACATTTGGTATGGTACATTTCAAACTTCGAAATCGCTAAATTAGTTTTCCGGAAGAAGTATTGCAATCAATTCCATAAGCAAATATGTTGTGTTTATGTTTTTTGTAGGTTAGCCTGAGTAACAATTATGTTTATTGTACATGTAATAATACCATTTATGTATTCATGCATAATTTTTATTTGTTATTATTTATTCATATAGGTAATATAAACTATAAACTGTTTTTTGTTGTTGTAAGCTGTGTTTTCTTGAGTTTGATTTATAAATAGTCCGAGTAAGAAGCCGCTAATCTCGAGGAAAAACCGTAAGGACCGATTACAATTTGCACGGTTGCATCTTGATTGGACCATCTGCGACTGGAAGAGGGTATGTTTCAGTGACGAATTCAAGTTCAATATGTTTGGATCAGATGATGTTCATTACTTTAGACGTCCTAGTGGACAAAGATTGAACCCCAAGTACACTTTGCCCACTGTCAAACATGGAGGCGGGTCTGTTATGGTTTAAGTGTGCTTTTCGGGGTTTTTAATGGGACCTTTACATAGAATAGATGGCATTATGGATAAGTTTGTATACGTAGACATACTAAAGCATGTCATGTTACCCTATTTGGAAGACAATATGCCCTTAAGATCAATTTTCTAAAGAAATTCTTTCTGGATGAAAAAATACCAGTTCTCAAATGGCCTTCACAGTCTCCCGATATAAGCCCCATTGAAAATCTAAGGGAATTCTTAGATAAGCAAATATGAGATAAAAATTATTCAAACAAGGATGAACTTTTTGTCGCTTTAGAGCAAAAGTGGAGGCAGATTGATGAATCTTATATAAAGAAACTTCTACAATCTATGCCAGGACGATGCCAGGTGGTGATTGATAATAATGGCTATGCTACAAAATATTAACACAAACATTCATGGTTTTCTATAATTCAATGAACTTTGCTTCTTTTTTCTATAATTGTTTTGCTTTCTCTATATATTTTTGTCCTTCATAGTTTTTTTCAATTAATTTTTTATTGAAGGGAGTCTAATGAATTTATTTATGTATAAGTGAGGATTATGCTATAACGAACTATGTATACAGGTTGGTGTATTAATAAAACAAGTTAAAAAAGAAATACAGCACAATATTAATTTGTCTATATACTTTTGTCCATTACTGTATATAAACTCGTAAATTTTAAACTATCTTCTTTTATTTAAATTTCCTGATAAGTTATTTCAGTTATTTGCTTCAGTGTCTTGCATCTATAGCAATTCATAATTTGATTTCAATCATGATTAAAATTGAACAATCAATTGATTTAAATCGATGCTACCCTGAAACTGGTTTATTTTACCACAAAGAGATATATCAATAGATTTTGCATAAAAACTTGTGCACTCTATTATTAACCTACAGCTTGTTTTCTAATAAAACATTCCGCTTTAAAAGTTTGCAATTAATGTGGCTGTTCTTTCAGTTAATAACAAGGTGTTTTCTTTTATTCATTTAATGGTCCACTGATGGCATCAAAGCTCATCAAATATTTTCTTTTATTTATTGCTGGATTTCATCAGGAAATTCTTTAATTCCTGATAGACCTATTCACATGACACTGATAGATGTAATTTGGCAATAGAAAGGCACAATATATTTTTTTCAACAAAATACTTCTGGTTTTATTAATACAATTTAATCCTAGCTCTTGCCTAAGGTCCAAGGATGAAATATTTAAATATGTGCAAGATATCATCCCTAGTAAGGATGATGGTCAGAACAAAACTGATGGCTTTCTTCTCACAAAACATAACCTAAGTCTTGTCTCTTATTGACCAAAATTCAAGAAATGCAACTTAGGTTGTGGATAATAATTGACATCAAAGCTAACAAGTCAGCAATCGGTTCTTATCTCTCGAAAGTGTGGCATTATTGCCAGTGGGCTCAGTACTGATGGATTTCATCAGCTAAATAAAAGAAATTTTCCATGAGAACCAAACGATGGACCTTATAGAAAGTTAATCTGGCATCCCTGCTTAAAACATGACCGATGGATCTTATAGAAAGTTAATCTGGCATCCCTGCTTAAAACATGACCGAATGCAAAGCTTCTCACGGAAATATCGCAATCTAATGACTCATATCAAAATATAAACAATAAACAATTCGAAAAGTGCTGACAATAAAAGAACAAGATGGACGAATAAATACTCACTCTTTGACCAAGTTCCTCAGCTTTTTGATAAAATATGGTGACAACGTCTCTGATGATGGATCAGGTTTTGGATTAGCAAAGTTCCTGTAGACGTACTGTAAATAATGTTGCAGCTCTATCCACTTCTTAGATTTTGGTGGTGCCACTTCTTTAATAGTACCAAGGAACTCCATTAATTTCTCCCTTTCTGCTTTTCCAAATTCGCAAGGATTGTTGACCCAGTGCAGGGTGCTTGGCGCCTTCAAAATCGGCTTCAACTTTGGATTTTCAGGTACCTTAAAATCACAAATATATCAACTAAACAAAACTCCAGACAAGCACACTTACCTTTAAAAGCTTGTAGATGAATTCTCTTGGTTTATCGTGTAGCTCCTTAAGAAATTCCAACGAATACCTTCCAGTCTTCGAAGCCCAGATGCTGTTTTTCTTTTTTGGTGTCTTTGGGCCGTTTTTGTTGTACACCTCATATTCGTGGGCTGCTCTTCTACACGTTTGGGTCACAAGAAGCTCGATGAATGTTTGGAATTTGATCATTTCGATATAGGATTTAATAATACCCGATACACTTCAGCGTAACAGTTCAAACATTTTGTTTTACAGTTTATATCTATAAAACTTTTCGTGTATAAATACAACGACCTCTCGTCAATAGTTTTCGACACCGTATTATGGTTAATTTAAGTAAATGAAAAGGTAAATGAATGATAAAACTATGACGTGAAGCACGGAACAATGACGGTGAGTGTTGCCAAAATACGAAATAGAATACTAGCGTCAGCGCCATCTAGCAGACAAGCAGGAGCACCAAACTGTGACCCTGTGTCTATGCAACTGGCATCAAGCCATCGTTTTATTGGTTGCATAGGTCACACAAAACAGGGTGCATCAAAAGTCGTAAATCAAACGAAAGAGGGGGGTCCTTATCCGATTTTGCAGGGAGGTATAGCGATCACTGGCGGATTTAGAGCACTATGTTAGATGAATGCCTAAATTTACATGTTTTTTTTTCAAGCTGGCCTTGACCAGATAGAACACAATGAATTTAAGGAGAAGTTCCACTGAGGTTAAAAAATGATCAGCCCCACTTATCGTTGCGCCCCCCACCCCCCCCCTAGACGAAATCCTGAATCCGCCCTTGATGGCCATTTTCAAAAATTAGTAGAAAATCGCTACTTTAAAGACTTTAAGCTTTTGGTAATTGTCCAGCTTGGCTACACCAGCCTGCTATGGCTCGGAAGACAGCATACAATCGTTATATTCAATTTCAACCAAAAATATTAATATTTAAATAAACACAATAACATCGGCAACCCCAACCCTTCATTTAATTTTCATAGTATGATGTTTATTCTCTGACTCAGTGAGTCGTTACTATAGGCAACACAATACTCTCGTCAGCTTCGAGGCCGGTCGGTAATCGTATCGTTCAAATGAACGACTCCGAACGAACGACTCACTAAAGAGAGATGAACGAAATGAGCGAGCTCAGAGAAAAGAGTATCTCAAGCCTATACGAAGCATCTGCGAAGCTCCGCGTGTGTAGAGGGACACAGTTTATGCGCTAACCATGACGCAATTTCACGGCGTGACTTCGCGTGCGAGTTTAGAGCGCTTTTAACATATATCTTACAATTTAAAGAAAATATTCATGCCAATGCGACTTATAGCTTTTGCAGTACCTGCCTAGATGTACATATTGTCTCTCCCTCCTCCCATTAGATCGCTGGAGCATGTGCAATTGTGATATGGTCGTTATCAAGCCTACTTTAAAATATGTGGAGTGGAATCTGCGTTGAAACATCGGGAAACTGGTGTTGCAATATGTTATCTAGAAACGCCACTAAACTTATTTGATTGATAGTACTTTTAGCAAAATTAAGTTTATATCTAACATAGGTTTCGACTAATGCTAGTAATTTTTCATCTATTGATATTGATTTAGCTTGTGGAGAACCCTGCACATGTATAATTTAATTTTTGCTGAGCTAAGGAAAAGGGGGGACAGCAGCCCTCCTTGCCCCCGCCCCGCTACGCCCTTGGTGTGTATTCTCCTATAAACGATTATTTTCTCCAGCACTGACATCCTAGACACAAAAATCTATTCCCATAACTGTAAATACGACAAGCTATGGGTAAACCCCAATAACGAGCATCTTAAAAAATACAGTACACTAATAGTAGGTGATAAATGATTTTTTAAGAATTACTGCAGCATTGAATTCCTTGACCTTTTGTCAGCACGTACTGGTCCAGCAACACTGCAGTAGCTTTCACATGGATAAGAGACCAAACGGTACAATGGAAAGTTAAACAAAGGTTGCTGTTAAGTAGATTGACTCAGTACCGCCCACGCGTTCATACACATCCTCAAAGGTGTTTTCTGACTAGACGTTAATTTGGCACTGTTTTTTTTTGACAAGGGAGAATTTTAACAGCATTGAATGAGGAAAAATAACCTTACGGAATAAGACCTTTCCTCTTCTTCGTAACTAACATCTTATTTTGAGAACGGGTAAAGAGCGATTGTCTCTTTATTCCGAAATTCAAAACAAGGAATATAACAAAGTAGTATAATAAAAGCACTACGAGTAAAACTAATCTGAGACCAGGAAAACCCGTCCAATATTTTTTGCCAATTTCTTATCAAAGGAATAGTATGAAAACTTTGATCGTGACAGATGACCTCAATGTATCATTGAGAAAAGCTGTTACTTAAACAAAAGTTGCTGTGAAGTAGATTGACTCAGAACCGTCCACGCGTTCATACACATTCTTAAAGATGTTTTCTGACCAGACACTCATTTGCTACTCTTTTTTTTACCTTACGGAATAAGCCCTTTCTTATTCTTCGTAACTAACATCTTATTTTGATAACGGATAACGAACGATCGTCTCGTTACTGCGCAAATTCAAAATAAGGAATATTATAACGGAGTAGTATAATACAAAAGCACTAAAACTAATCTGAGAGCAGGAAAACCCGTTCAATATTTTTTGTCCAATTTCTTATCAAAGGAATAGCATGAAAAATTTGAAATAAGCTTTAGGCAGTTCAGAATTCGGATTCGAACTTCATAGCTGATAGCAACCGCGGTGCCCTGGCATTTAAGCTTCTGCTTGCGCGCTGCTTCGGTGTAAAAAATATCTCCTACGCGGACAGAGTAAAAATTTCGAAAGTTCGACATTAGAAAGAAAAAGCATTCTGCCCACACTTTATAAAAATGGACCTACTCATTTTGAAGGGTAAATTGGTGCATGGGAATTTTTGTCTAAAATCCGAGAAGCGCTATTTATTAACAAAACTCCGACCTTCTACATATGCATAATTATTTATTGACCATGAGTGGACAGCTGGATGGTGGGGCTTCACATACGATTAACAATTATGTGTTTCATCAGCTGTAGATATATCGCATAGACAATATTATCTTAGTCGCGGATAATCTCGGACCAAACAGGTTCCACATCGCGATCGCGTAATTTTCGGTCTTGCGATGTTGAACAAAATATTCCCATTCTGGTTGCTCCTGAACTGTTTCATATCACACACGAATATAGTCTCTTCAGATGGTAAGTTGCTTTTGATATTCAAGTTTATTTGCAAATATCTTGATACTTGATATGCCTGACGCACTATTGAAAAACATGGCTTCTATGATTCTTAAATATCAGGTTTTATACCGGTATTTCATAACAAATCACATTGCTGTATATTGTCATATAGGTGCTTCAGAAATCCCAGTAGTTATACAAGTCGTATAATTTAACTATTTTTCAGCATCATTGTAAAGCTGTATAAACGAAACCGAAACCGAAAAACGTTGTATATGGGTACGTAGTGTAAGAATCCAAGTTTTGAAGTTGCTGACTATTTTTGGCAGACATTTTTCGAAATGGTCAACATTTTCAGTAATTTCAATTTGATCGGTAGAATAAAATAAGTAATTTGAACAAACAAAGATACAAAAGAAATATGAACGTCTACGATTTACACGATTTTAAACTATTGATTAAAAGAAAAAACGCCCAGACACGTCAAAGGATTTATCAAGGGGGACCATTTTTAACCAAGAACTACTTCACCGACTTTCATCCTCGGCCCCCAAGGTCATACCCTTGAAAATTCTAAATGACAAGGGGTATCAAGTAATAGCTTGTTTGAAAGGCCTTTCGAAGTCATTTATTTTGACGTTTGAGTTTTTAAAATCTTTCGATTCGTATTCAAAAAAACTAGAAAAATCTTTTTCTTAATTTGTTCAAATAGAAAACAAAAACACACGAAAATATCACTTTTCATTTCAATAAGCATTCAAAATGTTAAATAAATTAAACTATTTCTTTCCCTTAGCAACAAATAACTAAACAGGATATATGTGTTGATGAAAATAATGCGGAAAAAATTCGGGTTGTTGCCACGTTTAATCTTCCGAATTGCTGTTTAGGTTGGCAGTTTCCTTTTTAAATTATAAACGCATTGTAGATTTGGCAACCCCTAACGGGCAACATTTGGAACATTCATTGAAATAAAAAGTGATATTTTCGTGTATTTTTGTTTTCTATCTGAACAACTCAAGATAAATATTTCCCTAATTCTTTTGCAAACGAAACGACCGATTTTCGAAAATCAAACGACAAAATAAAGGGCATTGAAATAGCTTTTAAACAAGATATTACTTTATACCTGTTGTCATTTAAAATTTTAAAGGGGATGACTCTGGGGGGCAGAGGATGAAAGGCGGCGAAGTAGGTTTTGGTTAAAAAGTTGACAAATCTTTTGACGTGTCTTGACGTTTTTTCTTCTAATCAGTGGTTTTCAAATGAACATCCTGTTTAGCTGATTTTCATTTCCACGGCAATGAGCTATTTTTTTAAATCGTTATGTTTTAAGTGGTTATAGTTTTGTTATTCTTCCAGTCCAGTGCGAAATTCAAATATGGATGTTAAAATCAACGCAAGAAAAATGAATCTGTTTTACTAAAGCATCTACCATTAAATAAAATTGCGGGAAGTAAATAATTTGCACCTATTTTCCAAGCAAACAAAGACTAATGACATCTAATAGGATGTTGAATATAATTTCCAGGACTTTGGGAATTTTTGTGTCATCTCTATTAAAAATACCTGTTTTGTATTCCATTCACGTTAGTTGCAACTGCAAATATCCAATGCCCCTTCCATATTGTTAACTATGTTAATTTGTAACTTACACACACGCCGCAATATGTCATTGAGTCATGTCCACAATTCTCTAAGTGCAATATGTTTTTTATTTTCATAATACTGTCGCGTAGTAAATCTGATGGGACAGTTCAATGAGACGTAAAGAATACATTACAAATTGTCTATGGTATATATATATATATATATATATATATATATATATATATATACATATAGCTGAAAAATAAAGCTTCCGCCTTTAGTTGGGTACTTCGACAAAATTCAAGCAATGTCTAGTGTCTAGCTTTCAATGGACTATGCCATCATCATCAGGAGCTGCAATAACATGAAGAAGAAATAGCAACTATTGTGCAAAATGATTTTAAATTACTTACAATAGTATGTGAGATTGTTGCTAAATGTTATTAACGGTTAAGTTGAGGGAAAGACTTATTAGCCTCGTGAAAGCTGGATACATGGTACATTCGTTAAATACGCTCCGCTCTAGACGGCCAAGTCTGCCAGTTTTTTCAAGAAAATGGATATTACTTTATGTTGGTTTGAATATTACCTTGAATTGTATGACTTGCGCCCCTCTATAGACGTATTCCACCCCGCTCTTTAAACGTCCTAAGGGCATTAGTTCCCAGAAGCGCTGCTTAAGTGTTTAAGCATGCAGCCGCCACTCCATGAAGGCACCCCTAAGGAATCTGATCAAAATCTATTTTTTGCAAACTATTAAACAACTAATAATTCGAAAGAGTAGCTGTATTTGAAATTGTAGATTTCGAATAATTTTTTCGTATTATATTGACTTTTTCTGTACTTTTCGTTCAAAAAAACAAATTTCAAATTCAAGAAATCTTAAGGTGCTAAACCGGAAGTAGACATTTCAAACAAACATTTGGGTAACTTGCCATTTTTTATATTAGTTCTCGACAACCGGAATTCGCACGTCCAGCCCGTGATATCAATTAGCGCGAACATCTCTTGCCGTTTCTGCGATCCTAATGCAAAATCTTCGGCAGCGGGAGCAGCATCGAACCACGGCCAAAGTTCAAGAGTAAAAACAATTTGCTATCAGGATCACAAAAGCGCGAGGAGTTATTAAAAAAATCGTCTACTGGCTGCTGTGAAGACGTACGAGGGTGGTCTGAAAAGTTTCCGGCACAAGACATTTTTTCGGATTTTTTTTTATTTTTCAACATAGCCTCCTTGTAACCCCACACACTTCTTCCAGCGATGCTTCCATCTCTGTCAGCCGTCCAAATAGTATGCTAGATCTGGTGAGTAAGGCGGATGGTCAGGCACCGGGTTTTCTTTTTCTGCAAATGTGGCCGTTTCTCCGCAAGCTCTGCCTTCAGCTTGTCAAGTCCAAAACTCAAATTTGGTCTAATGTGAGCGAACGCGGCACCCATCGCGCGGACAGCTTCCACATGCCTAAATCTTGATTTAATATGTGACAAACACGTTCTTTTGACATATTCATAACCTCTGCTATGTCTCTCACTTTAATTCGGCGATCGTCTAGCACGATTTGGTGAACTTTCAGCTGCCCAAAATTTCACTGTGGTAAATGAATCCAAATCATCTTTGATTTGCCTTTCAAAAACAGATATTTAATCACAGCTCGATACTCGATTTTGTCCATGTTCACAAAAACACTCACATCATCTCAGTCAAACGAGTGTTACATAACAACTGCGCATCCAAAATGGCCGAAACTTCAGTGAGTAACTGTCAACAGATGAACAATGAAATTGACTATCTTTTATTTACGAGTTCTGCCATCTTCACGTTGAGGTCGGAAACTATTCAGACTACCCTCGTATTTGAAATTGGGATTTTCCGAACTGAAAAATATTATATTGGGATATGAAACATAGCGTTCTTTGTCACTCCAAACTATAGCCTAAAGTGTGTTTAAAATACATCAGAAGTTTTGTACTAGTATGCGCATTAGTTAAAGGGGATTAAAAATATTTAAAATCCGTTTTAATTTGTTCCTGACATACAGTTGTGTGTAGTTTATATTAATTTTGACGAATGTACCATGTATCCAGGTTTCACCAGGTTACTGGGTGTTTCCCTCAACCTAAACGTTAATAACATTTAGCAACAATCTCACATACTACTCTCCTGATGAAGATGGCAAAGTCCATTGAAAGCTAGAGATTAATAAAGTATAAAGAGTCCTCATTGCTTGAATTTTATCGAAGTACTCAACAAAAGGCGGAAGCTTTATTTTTCACCTAACTGGTCTAGACGACAGTGACCACGTCTCAAGTTATATATACAGGGTATCCGCAAAGTTGGGGTTTTCCTTTTCCCTTGAAATAACAAAGGTAATGTGTAGTGAAACGAGGGCGACCAAGTAAAAAATAAAATAAAGGAAAAAGTACTCACTCTCCAGTTGACGAGAAGGGCTAAATACGTCTCTGCCCGAAATCATACCGCTCCAACAGAAAATGAAATCAGCTGATGCGCTACCAAGCAGACGCAGGCAAACAAGGAAGGCAAAATGTTGCGTAAAAAGTTCTGGGTATTGCATCCCGTCCAATCGATTTGGGAGAATAAATGGTCCAATGAGCATACCGTTCACCATGCCAGCCCAAACATTCACCGAAAATGTTTGTTGAAAATGTGCCCGACGGACAGCGTGCGGATTTTCTACTGACCAAACATGAGTGTTGCGAAAGTTATTCACCCCATTACGCGTGAACGTAGATTCGTCTGTCACCAATATGCACTTCAAAAAGTCCGGATTATTGTCATGTTGATGCAACAACCACTCACAATTTTTGATATTGCAGAGCCATCTCGGTTCCCTTAAGACATTGGTGTATATGGTACTAAGAAAAATTGCTTATGTTTTCAAGATCTACACGTCGTGTAAAGGAAAAGCCCAACTTTGCGGACACCCTGTATATATATATATATAGATATACATATATATATATATATATATATAGATATACATATATATATATATATATATATAGATATACATATATATATATATATAGATATACATATATATATATATATATATATATATTATAGTTTATTTCCATACGATTTTCTTAAATAATGAAATTAAAAAAATAGGGTGCAAAACTAGGAGTCACTTCAAACCATAATTTGGGAAAATGAGGATAAAAATGGTGGAAGTTGCCTACCTTATCGCTTGAAATCTTTACTTCCGGTATGGCATCCTGTTTTTTTAAACTTCAATATTTAATAAATTTTCCGTTAAAATATATTTTAAACGAATCTTAGAGCCAAAAATGCTCACATTGTAATCTATTAGTGTAATATCTAAAACCAGTCGACCTAAACAAGCAAGATACAGTTTGGAGCGCAAAAATCGAAAATAAAAAATGCGAAGTTACCCTAATTTTGGCTTGAAGCTAGTATCTCAAGATTGGTTGAATTTCATACTTGATTTTTCTAACAAAAAATTTCATGTATAGAACGCTATGTTTCATATCCCAATATAATATTTTTCAGTTCGGAAACATTCTTCGAGAAAAACCAAATTTCAAATACGGCAGCCAGTAAAGGATTTTTTATAGCTCCTCGCGCTTCTGAGATCCTGATAGCAAGTTATTACTCAACATGAACTATGGCCGTTTCGGTTGTCGAAGATTCTGTATTAGGGTCGCAGAAACGACAAGAGATGTTCGCGCGAACTGATAGCAGTGGCTCGATGTACGATTTCGGTCGAAAACTGTGTATTAGGATCGCAGAAACGACATGAGGTGTGTACTCGCCAAAAATAATAATAATCAAAACGTTTACTGAGCAACAACTCAAAAGGAGAGGGTATTGTATAACAATGTTTCAACCTTGTCCTAAACATTAACAGAGAAAAACGAATAATTTGCGAAAAAATAGATCAATAATAGACATCAAAATAAAATATTCCTTTCAACGTTAATGTAGGGTGCAAGCTACCCGACAGACATGTATGTACATAAAAATACGTACCTCCTTAAGTAATGCGCATATCATTTCAAAACTTCTGATATACTTTGAACACACCTTGGGCTACTTTTTGGAGTAAACAAATCGAAAATAAAAAATGCCCAGTTACCCAAATTTTGGTATGAAATTCTTATCTCCGGCCAGCACCTTAAGGTTTTTGTATTTTAAATTTGTTTTTTTGACAGAAAGTACAGAAACTTTCATACCCAATATATCAATTTGAAAAAATGCTTCGAGAAAATCCCAATTTCAAATCTTGTGAAGCCCGTAATCTAGCAAATGAACGTGTTACGTGTTTCCTCTTTCACACCTACTACGAGCCCCTTCATACTAGATGTGCAAACCGGCCCATCACGAACGAATTTGAAAACGTCGTTCGGTGTCGCTTCACGTGAAAAAAATTGCTGTATCTTGGTACTAAAGTTATCTTGCTAGACTTCAATCGTGAAGATGAGAACCTGCCCCCCACACTCCCCGCCCATTCATCAATAATATTATAGTGCTGCCTAAGCATCTCCCCTCGCTCTGCAATTTTCAATTGTAGATCCCCATTCGAGACGAGCAATACATCCCTAGAGAGATGCCTAAATCCTCCCTTGGAAGTACTGATTATACAACCCTATACATGTATCCTCTTCAATTGGCATGGTAGTATCAGTAGTCTTCAAAATCTGAGCAGTACTTTCCAGCTTATGGAGGAGTCAAGGATTAGCAGACAGAAAAACCAGCACAAATGCGTGGTTTGGTTTTCGATTTCGCGATTTTGCGATTACAATAATTTCTTGCTAACTGGCGCGGGACGAAAAATAACTGAATAAGTATGCCAAGTTCAAAAGCATTGTAGGTATTTTTATTTATTTATGTTAATTTTAATTGCGCGTTGTTTACTAAAACTGATAGTTCGTCTCAATCAGGCCAAAGATAATGCAATATATTCGGATAAGAATAGATCAAGAAAGCAGAACTGCAAACGCTGATAAACATTACTGGATCTTAGTTACATTATATACAAAATTATAGGAAACTTTATAGACAAGTCTCGTTCGGCCACTATCGGAAATTCCTTTGTATTTTACGATATGCCGAGGCGCCACGCTTAATAACGGGTGATTTTTTAAGAGGTATAGGATTTGATTTTCAAAAAAACACAAAAAACGGTCGATATAATTTAATGTTTAAAGATTATTTCATGTAAATGTTGGCCGCGGCTCCGCTTTAGATGGCACATGCGCAAGGTCCAATTTTGGCACACTCTCTCCAACATATCGGCCGGTATCTCACGAATAAATGCTTCAATATTGGCTTCCAGTGCGTCAATCGTTGCTGGTTTATCCATGTAGACATTAGCCTTAACATGGCCCCACAAGAAATAGTCCAACGGCGTTAAATCACACGATCTAGGCGGCCAGTTGACGGGCTCCAGACGTGAGATAAGCTGTTCACCGAACTCGCCTCTCAATAGGGACATTGTTTCGTGTGCGGTGTGGCATGTGGCACCGTCTTGTTGAAACCACATGTCAGCCAAGTCCAGCTCTTCCATTTTGGGCAAAAAAAAGTTTGTTATCATCGCACGGTAGCGCTCGCCATTCACAGTTACGTTCCGGCCATTGTCGTCTTTGAATAAGTACGGCCCGATGATGCCACCGGCCCATAATCCACACCAAACAGTGATTTTTTCGGGATGCATTGGTAGCTCTTGCAATGCTTCTGACTGGTCTTCACTCCAGATGCGGCAATTTTGCTTGTTAACGTACCCATTCAACCAGAAATGAGCTTCGTCGCTGAACACAATTTTTCGATAAAAATGTGGATCTTCCTCCAACTTTGTCAGCGCCCATTCACCAAATTGGAAATGTTGTGGGAGGTCGTGTGCCTTCAATTCTTGCACCAGCTGTATCTTATAAGGTTTTACACCCAAATCCTGTCGCAAAATTTTCCACGTAGTGGAGTAACAGAGGCACAATTGCTGCGAACGGCGGCGAATCGACATTTCACGTTCATCACTAACACTGGCGGATACAGCCGCAATATTTTCTTCAGTCCTCACTCTACGTGTTAATGTCCAATAATGTAAACTGGGTTCGAAGTTTAGTCACAAGCTTCCGAATAGCTCCCTCAGTAGGCCGACCAAATTGCCCATAAATTGGAAGCAGTGCTCGATGCACTCTCTTAACCGAGCATGAATTTTGATAGTAAAATTCAATAATTTGCAAGCGTTGTTCGTTCGTAAGTCGATTCATGGTTAAATTATAGACCAAACTGAACAAGTTTGACAATGACACAAGACACGATTCACGCGTCATCTGTCAAAAACAGTGTTGCCAAAAAGATACTAGCAAAAAAATCACCCATTATGAGATACTATACTGTCGTGCAAGTGCTATTGTAGCTTGTAATAGCTGCTCACTGTTGAATACAAAAAAAAACTTTTTCTACAGGCTACAGAATTTTTATGTTTATTGTTTTAAGTTCCAGAAGGCACGCCTTGTGCAACGCCCGACCAGCAAATCGGACCCTGTGTGAGCATCTTAACGTGCGAGCCTCTCTTGCAACTGCTCAAGAAAAAGTCTAACGATCCGGAAGCACGGAGTTACTTGCAAAAGTCTGTGTGCGGTTACAACAGAGATAACACCCCCAGAGTTTGTTGTTCAGAAGCGACGTCCAAAAGTTTGGATGACGAAGGTGGAGGGTCATCGAACAAACCTAAAGATAAACAGGCTCCTACAGATGACACTAATTCTAACTCTGCTGAGCCGCTCGCTGGGCTTCTGTCTCCACCAGACTGCGGTTTCAGCAACCACTCAGCTTCGAGAGTTGTGGGAGGTGTACCGGCCAAGTTAGGTAGGTTGACTAGAATAAACGAACAAAAAGACATTTTCAAAAACAAGCTGTTGGAACTAAAAATTTTAAATAGAAATTAAGGAGGAGGCACAAATCTTTCGGAAATCAGTCCACGGTGAATCTTGCTCAAACTTTGGCAAAAAGCTCTCCAGAACATCCTGATCAAAAGTTCACATGGACTCTCAACATTCTTTTGACGCGTTTCTATGATATACAGGGTGACCAAGCATACGTGAGCGGGGTATAGCTCCAAAATAAAAACTTACCAAAGAAAACTATTCATGGGTTATTAAGCAGTACACACAATTGTACAGGGTGTTCCAATATTGCCCCACATCAAAAATATTTGTTTTAAATAGTCATGGCTCGATGTAGATATTTCAATGTGAAATATCCCACTCTTTCTATTTACGTAATCAAACATGGAGTGTCTCATCGAAAAGAACTAACTTGACCTTGAAGGTCATGGTCGTGGTCAAATCTGCAAAATTCTAACTACCTGTGTTTTTCTTTCATCAATATATTACGAGGGATGTCTTTTAAGTTCTGCATATGGAAATAAAACAAGACGGTAGGTAGTTTTAAATGACTTTATCGTTTCTCATTAACGCATTTTTGAATGCGTCAACTGCTTCTTCTGGTGACTGGAACCTTTGACCACGCAGTCTGTTTTTAATTTTCGGGAAAGTAAAGAAATCGTTAGGACTTAGATCGGGACTATATGGAGGATGGTCCAATAAACCAGCTTTTGACACAAATTTCGCGACCATCTTTTTCGAAACACTTCGAGAACGGATGACTTTTGTTGGCTTTTCTTCACCTTTGATTTTCTGGTTCATAACAGTAAATCCACGATTCATCCCCACTAATAATGCTGTACACATTTTTCCCGAATTGAAACGGTCAAGCGTTTTTTGACACCAATTAACCCTGGCTGCTTTGTGCTCTTCAGTCAACAGGTGGGGTATCCAACGAGAAACTAACTTTTTTACTCCTAATTCTTCATGTAAAATTTTTTGAATTGAGGTCTTTGAGATCTTCAAGGACGCCTAATCTCGCCATATGTCCACCCTGGGATCGTCGCTGAGACTCACCGCAAAAATGTTCGCGGTTGAGTTCTATTTTTCTAATGACTTGGTGAGACTTAAACATTCACCGTAGTGAGAACGCTGCACGTATTGATGTGAAATTTTGAATTTAAGTTTACTAAAGAGTGAGGTTAAGATTCAGTAGTGACGTTCGATCCGCGCGGCCTACTATGTTTCTATATACAAAACTTAAAAGACACCCCTCGTAACCTATAAAAAATAAATAAAAACTCCTTCTCTGCATAGCGATATTGTTATATTACACGATATTATGATCATGCAATGCCACTGGTTTTTATTTTTTTGATTGAAAATTGTGCATCGAATAGGATAAAAAAAGCAAATGATCAAATTTGCTTAGAAATGATTGGTGATTTCAAGAATAACTTTTGTTTTAGAAAAAATTAGTGGCGTACCATCGACGTCTGCTAAAATAGGCAGATGAAATTCCATGTGGTGAAAATGTGGTACATTGAAAAATGCCTCTTGATGCCAAATTAACAGATATTAATAATGAATTAATGAAAACTTTACCACCCTGTATCCCAAAAGCTAATACGTTTACGACATGCTTTCATTGAAAGTTTTAGTCTTTAATTGAACCAAAGATCCTTAAATATTGACATTCAATTACGAAACACCCTGTCTGCAATCAAGATTTACAATTACCTGCCCAGTTCAGGAGGCCTGCCAAAATTAACCTTTTCAAAGTCTGTCTGAGCAATATTTTGTTGACAAGTGCCCTTACAAAAGAATGTTTTTCCTGGTACGAAAATGTAAGACACTTTTATTAGGAAACTTATCGCGAAGGAACTTTATACTCGATTGAAGGAAGTATAAAACGGCATATTAGTATTAATATTTTAAGTGTTCTTATTTATTAACAGCATATTTTTAACTTTTTCTTTTAATTATTTTTTCTTTTTTAGTATTCAATATGATAAATAACTAGTTTAGTAAGTTCTATCTACTTTACATATATTTAATTAATTGGAATTCATAAAACTACGTACTAGGAGATTTCGATCGATATACAGTATATATTTCGCAAATACGGGAAACGTTATGTGTACAGTGCTTCTCAAAAAGCCCCCTCTACTTATTTTTTGAACGGGCCAAGTTAATAAACTGAAATTTCGGGTAATGGAATTGATGCATATTTTAGGGTAAAAGTTGCAGTTAAAAATTTCAAGTTGGCGGCTGAATGCTATGTTGTGATGTTTCTTAAATGGAATGGGGGGACGTGTGTTATCTCATTTTGAAGCTGATGTGTACTTTATAGCCTTAAAATATAAATCACTAAACTTCCAAATGTTAATCAGTCGATTTTAGAAGCTCTAGCTCTCTATTAATGCACTCTGTACTATAAGACGATTTTCAAAATGGCCTACCTATATGTGCGTAGATTCCGAATTCGTTGTCAATTTGAAGCTAAGATACAGGGAAGGACCCATTTTCAAGTTCAAGTTCTGAGCCACGACACTTCCAGGTGCGGATCCAGGGGCCTCAGACTTTCAGCAAAAAAGAGGAAAGAGGAAAGAAGGAGAGACGACATTGTTTTTTGTTTAAAAACATAAAAATGTGCATTCTGTGCTTACGCTGCTGTTAATGCTTTTCTTTCTTAATTACTGTATAATATGGTAAGCGTAAAATGGCTTGAAAATCCCCCTGAAAGTAGGCAACTCTCGCTACTTGCGCCCCTATTGATTCACGCTCTCCTATAAGACGATTTCCAATAAGGCCTACGTATATGTGCGTAGATTCTAAATTCGTTGTCAATTTGAAGCCAAGATACTGGAAAGGTCCCATTTTAAAGTTCAAATTCTGACCCACGACACTTCCAGGTGCGGATCCAGGGGCCTCAGACTTGCAGAAAAAAAGAGGAAAGAGGAAAGAAGGAGAGACGACATTGTTTTTTGTTTGAAAACTTAAAAGTTTGCATTCTGAGCTTACGCTGCTGTTTATGATTTCCTTTCTTAATTACTTTATAATATGGTGAGCGCAAACTCGCTTGACAATCCGCCTGAAAGTAGGCAAAGCACGCTACTTGCGCCCCTATTGATTTACTCTCTCCTATAACACGATTTCCAATAATGCCTGCGTATATGTGCGTAGATTCTGAATTCGCTGTCAATTTGAAGCTAAGATACAGGGAAGGACCCATTTTCAAGTCCAAGTTCTGAGCCACGACACTTCCAGGTGCGGATCCAGGGGCTTCAGACTTGCAGGAATAAAAGAGAAAAGAGGAAAGAAGGGGAGACTATATTGTTTTTTGTTTAAAAACTTAAAAATGTGCATTCTGTGCTTACGCTGCTGTTAATGATTTTCTTTCTTAATCACTTTATAATATGGTGAGCGCAAACTAGCTTGACAATCCCCCTGAAAGTAGGCAACTCACGCTACTTGCGACCCTATTGATTCACTCTCTCCTATAAGACGATTTCCAATAAGGCTTGCGTATATGTGCGTAGTAGTTGTCAATTTGAAGCTAAGATACAGGGAAGGACCCATTTTCAAGTTCAAGTTCTGAGCCACGACACTTCCAGGTGCGGATCCAGGAGCCTCAGACTTGCAGGAAAAAATGAGGAAAGAGGAAAGGAGAGACATTTTTGTTTAAAAACTTAAAAATGTGCATTCTGTGCTTACGCTGCTGTTTATGATTTTCTTTCTTAATTACTTTATAATATGGTTAGCGCAAAATGGCTTGACAATCCCCCTGAAAGTAGGCAACTCACGATACTTGATTCACTCTCTCCTATAAGACGATTTCCAATAAGGCCTACGTATGTGCGTAGATTCCGAATTCGTTGTCAATTTGAAGCTAAGATACATTTTCAAGTTCAAGTTCTGACCCAGGACACTTCCAGGCGCGAATCCAGGGGCCTCAGTCTTGCAGGAATAAAAGAGAAAAGAGGAAAGAAGGGGAGACGACATTGTTTTTTGTTTGAAAACTTAAATATTTGCATTATGAGCCGACGCTGCTGTTTATGATTTCCTTTCTTAATTACTTTATAATATGGTGAGCGCAAACTCGCTTGACAATCCCCCTGAAAGTAGGCAACTCACGCCGCTGGCGCCCCTAACACGTGATCCTGGATCCGCACCTGGACACTCCTTGATTCTTATGTGGTCATACTTAAATTTAGACACACATTTTTGCTAGTGTATTTGCATATTTTGAAAATATGATTTTCCAAATTTTAGGCCAGTTCCCTTGGATGGTAGTTTTGGGATACAGAAATCCAAGAAACCCAAACAGACCGAAATGGCTTTGTGGAGGTACAATGATTACCGATGTCCATATTCTGACAGCTGCACATTGTGTTTACAGAAGAAACGATCTGTATGTACAAAATAACATTTTATTCATTATTTGGACATTTTTCATTTGATGATTGTCCATATTTTAGGTACTTAGCTCGCCTTGGAGAGCTGGATCTGTATGATGACAATGATGGAGCGACACCAGAGGATATACCTATTGCTCAAAAGAAAATCCACGAAGATTATAATACCGTCCAATTCACCAATGACATTGCCATTTTAACAATAGAAAGAAAAACACGAAATCGTATGTATTATTTAAAGTTAAATTTTGTTGATTTCTGTAAACAACATTAGATAAGCTAATGGCAGTGGAGATGGCAGTTGTCATAATGATTGATTATTTTTCAAAAAAAATTAACCTAAGGGTTGATAAAGAGAAAGCAATTTGTGTCAATCATACCGGTTGGGCAATTTGTGCTATTTGGCTTGTTAAATTGTATCAGAATATACCTATTGTAGGAGATATGGTTAGGTGAAATCAGAAAACAGAGAAATTAAACGGTTCAAGTCAGTCAAACAGGCCCATACAATAAGTCCATAGACATTTACCTGCCCTACCTGCAACTGCTGTCCATCTGGCAACGTTGCCCCTTTCCACATGTATGCGGCATCGCTGCATCGAATTATCGTTCATTTAGTAGATGATCCGTGTATATTGCTCTGCAGTACGGATAGATTAGTCAACTGAACCGGTTCGCCAGGCGGTGAGCTTAGATAGCAAGTTTTAAAGGAACATGTACGGGGAAATCTACAAGGTGACTTCGAAGTTGAGTCATTTATTTTAACAGTGAGTAGATCTGATCAAAAGAAATGTTTTTTTCCTTTACCATTTTTCTGGTAAAATTAAAGTAACAAAGTTATAGCCCTTTGGAAGTTTGAGTACCGCCCTGTCTCAATAATAATATTATGTGCTCGTGTTTGGCGACAACGGATATAATTCGCCTTATCGGTTCATCGCATCGGAAACAAAAAAGCGAAAGAATTTGGAACGATGTTTTTACAATTATTTCATTCAGTTGTATACAGTCAGTGTCAGTCGGTAGTGAATAGTGGTGTATGTTGCGTGGCTCAAACGAAATAAAAAATGGCACATATTTATGCGGATCGGTTTCCCAATCGAGTGCAACCAACCCCTCGTGCCTTTGTTAATGTAGTACAACGGGCTCGTGAATCAGGTGACTTAAGACCTCACAGGGGACTGCATGCCGGTGCTCCAAGACCTCACGATCAAATACAGGTCCGCACTGAAATACTTGTCGGGAGAATAGAAAATTTTTTTTAATTTTTTTTCATTTTTACACACATATTTTGGTTGATCTTCCTTCTACAATCATTATCTGAAAATTAATGACTCAACTTCAAAGTCACCCTGTATATGTGAGATTTGGCTAATAGGTGCATATAATTACCGGGGTTGAGAGCACTAAGATCAAAATGTTTTCATATACCTACCGTCCACACCTGCCCCAACTGGCGAATTTCAACTTCTACAAAAAACTTTTTATAAATGATGACGTCAAAAACTTTACCCCAGTATTTGGGTTTTAAGAGATTACAATGTCGAATAATAATAACCGGGAAAACCCGAAAAACTGTCGCTTAACTTACGTTATCTTTGCAATGAACGTTATTACGGGATACGAGGGCGGTTCAATAAGTACCCGTGTTTGACGACAGAGGGCGTTCCTGAGGGAAGTTAATGTTATCATCGTGTGCTGCCATCTATCAGACGACGGCACAACAAATTTTAGACTGATTGATATGATAGTTTGGATTTTTCATCCATTCGAGTCACACGTGTTTCGTGATTTTCGCTAATGTGATTTATTTTTTAGCGAAAGTATGGCCAATATGTCTTCCCCACGCAGAACCACTGAGGTCGCAGTCCTTTGAGAAGCTCAGGCCATTTGTAGCTGGGTGGGGTGCCATTAATTTCCGTGAGTAATTTGCTAAAACCTATCAAAACAGAAACTTTCCTGCGATAAGGAGCAAAAAACACATGTTTTTCTTTTACGACAGGTGGTCCACAAAGCAGTATCCTGCAAGTAGCAGAGATCCCGGTGGTGCCAACGGAAAAGTGCAAGAATGCGTTTGCCGTTCAACCTAACATCCTGATAGACGAGCGGACTCTATGCGCGGGGTGGACTACAGGCGAGAAAGACGCTTGTCAGGGCGATTCCGGGGGCCCGCTGATGCATGGGAGAATTGAGGAAGAAGACATCCAAAGATACTACCAGATCGGGGTCGTCTCGTTTGGGTTCAAATGCGCCGAGCCAAACTTCCCCGGAGCTTACACCAGGGTAACTTACTTCATCGACTGGATACAACGGAATATCTCGTAGAGTGATCGCCGAAAAATACTCATCAGTGTTTTTTTTTTTAATATTGGCCATAAACAGATTTGGATATGGACACGAATGAGAAAAGTGCAATTTACATTTTGCCAAACATTCCAACATTGTGATCTTGTATTTGTTTGACTGGATACAAATATACAAGAACGTTAACGAATCACCATTCAAGCGCTTGTATTATTTTTAGGTTAGGTTACATGTATAATGAAGTATTGTAGATAACAGATATTTTAAGAATCATTGAATATTAAAATGCTCAACAATTTGCATTCGTGTTTATTTTGGCTACGATGTGTCTGAGAAGATTCACCCAGAAAACAAGTTTTTCTTCAGATCATAGATACGCAGGTGGATTTCAAAGTTTTTCAATTTATAATCTATGCACCCAATTTACCACTGGCATATGCAGAAACACAAGTTCTGCAGAGGGCTCAACAAGGTGTACTCGGACATGGACTCATTTCACTCTTTTTTACTTTTTATTTTTATTAATGAATTTTTCGACTACCTTCACATTTTTTCCTAGAACGCTTATTTCTCTCTCTTTCTCTCTGTCTCCCTGTCTCTCTGGCTCTTTCTCTCTCTCTCCAATCTTTAGAGAAAAATCTCCCAAGCTACTCATCCCAAATGCCCATTTATTACTAATTTTTCCTTTCATAATACTTGTTTTCTCACTTTTGGCCATTTGGCTGCAACCTCAGCGACGAGTAAGTTGTCTGATAATTTAAATCCTTCCCGTATTGGTTGCTAGCATCATATTTGTGTTTTCAGCTCCTGAAGATGGCTCCATAGAGAGTACCGAAAGCTCGAGGTTACCGTTAAAAGAGTTTACTAAAGCCTAAAAAATTTTTGCCAATTTCCCCATTAACAATTGATTGTATATATCAAAAGAAATGTTTTTTCCTTTAACATTTTTCTGGTAAAATTAAAGCAACAAAGTTATAGCCCTTTAGAAGTTTGAGTACCGCCCTGTCTCAATAACAATATTATGTGCTCGTGTTTGGCAACAACGGATATAATTCGCCTTATCGGTTCATCGCATCGGAAACAAAAAAGCGAAAGAATTTGAAACGCTTATCACGATGTTTTTACTACAATTTTATTCAGTTGCATTCAGTCAATGTGTCAGTCGGTAACGCGTGAGTGAATAGTGGTGTTTGTTGCGTGGCTCAAACGAAATAAAATATGGCGCATGTTTACGAAAATGCTGAACTTGTGGACATTATTCTTATTTACGGGGGGGGAGTCTTTACAAAATGCTGCCGCGGCATCACGGATTTATGCGGATCGGTTTTCCAATCGAGTGCAACCAACCCCTCGTGCCTTTGTTAATGTAGTACAAAGGGCTCGTGAATCAGGTGACTTAAGATCTCCACGGGAGGGCATGCCGGTGCTCCAAGACCGCACGATCAAATACAGGTCCGATACTTTATAAAACAAGGTTTTTTTGGATTTTTTTTTATTTTTACACACATATTTTGGTTTATCTTCCTTCTACAATCATTATCTGAAAATTAATGCCTCAACTTCAAAGTCACCCTGTATATATAAAATACAATTGAATTGTTTATTAGGAATTCGCAAAACTTGAAGCGTACTGAACTCTTTTGGCGGTAATCTCAAGCTTTCGACAAACTATGTTGTCATCTTCAGGAGCTAAAACACAATTATGAAAATAGCAACCAATTTGGAACAGATTTAAATTTTGAAATTACTTACTCGTCGATGAAGTTGCAGCTAAATGGTGTTTTGGTACGAAAGCGTGGATGAAAACACTTGTTACAGTTATAAAAGCGAAAGACCGGACATATTGGGTTTGTCGTTGAAGACGAACACAGCGTTACAACAATTTATCAATAAACATAAACAATTTTTGTTTTCTATTTAACACCGTTCTGTTCTCCAAAATGTAGGGTTATTTTTCATTTAATGGCTTGAGTATGTTTTCCATTGTTCGAGTTTATTGATGAATGCTTGTAACGCGTAGCTATGTGTTCCGTCTTTAGAAACAAACCCAATGTGTCCGGTGTTTTGATTTTGTAGTTGTAACAAGTGTTCACATCCACGCTTCCGTACTAAAACACCATTTATCTGAAACCTCATTGACAAGTAAGTAATCTGAAAATTTAAATCTGCTCAAAATTGGTTGCTATTGTCATAATTGTGTTTTAGCTCCTGAAGATGACAACATAGTTTGTCGAAAGCTCGAGATTACCGTCAAAAGAGTTCACTGTGCTTTAAGTTTTGCCAATTTCCAATAAACAATTTAATTCATGAAGTCATGAAGAAAACCGAAGGGGATTATAGAGGGGTTATTTTGAACTTGAAGCGTATTGAACTCTTTTGACGGTAATCTCGAGCTTTCGACAAACTATGTTGTCATCTTCAGGAGCTAAAACACAATTATGAAAATAGCAACCAATTTAGAACAGATTTACATTGTGAAATTACTTACTCGTCGATGACGTTGCAGCTAAATGGTGTTTTGGTACGAAAGCGCGGATGAAAACACTTGTTACAGTTATAAAAGCGAAAGACCGGACATATTGGGTTTGTCGTTGAAGACGAACACAGCGTTACAACAATTTATCAATAAACATAAACAATTTTTTTTTTCTATTTAACACCGTTCTGTTCTCCAAAATGTAGCGTTATTTTTCATTTAATGGCTTGAGTATGTTTTCCATTTTTTAATTTGTTCGAGTTTATTGATAAATGCTTGTAACGCGTAGCTATGTGTTCCGTCTTTAGAAACAAACCCAATGTGTCCGGTGTTTTGATTTTGTAGTTGTAACAAGTGTTCACATCCACGCTTCCGTATTAAAACACCATTTCGCTGAAACCTCATCGACAAGTAAGTAATCTGAAAATTTAAATCTGCTCAAAATTGGTTGCTATTGTCATAATTGTGTTTTAGCTCCTGAAGATGACAACATAGTTTGTCGAAAGCTCGAGATTACCGTCAAAAGAGTTCACTGTGCTTTAAGTTTTGCCAATTCCCAATAAACAATTTAATTCATGAAGTCATGAAGAAAACCGAAGGGGATTATAGAGGGGTTATTTTGAACTTGAAGCGTATTGAACTCTTTTGACGGTAATCTCGAGCTTTCGACAAACTATGTTGTCATCTTCAGGAGCTAAAACACAATTATGAAAATAGCAACCAATTTTGAACAGATTTAAATTTTGAAATTACTTACTCGTCGATGACGTTGCAGCTAAATGGTGTTTTGGTACGAAAGCGCGGATGAAAACACTTGTTACAGTTATAAAAGCGAAAGACCGGACATATTGGGTTTGTCGTTGAAGACGAACACAGCGTTACAACAATTTATCAATAAACATAAACAATTTTTTTTTCTATTTAACACCGTTCTGTTCTCCAAAATGTAGGGTTATTTTTCATTTAATGGCTTGAGTATGTTTTCCATTTTTTAATTTGTTCGAGTTTATTGATAAATACTTGTAACGCGTAGCTATGTGTTCCGTCTTTAGAAACAAACCCAATGTGTCCGGTGTTTTGATTTTGTAGTTGTAACAAGTGTTCACATCCACGCTTCCGTACTAAAACACCATTTAGCTGAAACCTCATCGACAAGTAAGTAATCTGAAAATTTAAATCTGTTCAAAATTGGTTGCTATTGTCATAATTGTGTTTTAGCTCCTGAAGATGACAACATAGTTTGTCGAAAGCTCGAGATTACCGTCAAAAGAGTCTGTGCTTTAAGTTTTGCCAATTCCCAATAAACAATTTAATTCATGAAGTCATGAAGAAAATCGAAGGGGATTATAGAGGGATTATTTTGAACTTGAAGTGTATTGAACTCTTTTGACGGTAATCTCGAGCTTTCGACAAACTATGTTGTCATCTTCAGGAGCTAAAACACAATTATGAAAATAGCAACCAATTTAGAACAGATTTACATTGTGAAATTACTTACTCGTCGATGACGTTGCAGCTAAATGGTGTTTTGGTACGAAAGCGCGGATGAAAACACTTGTTACAGTTATAAAAGCGAAAGACCGGACATATTGGGTTTGTCGTTGAAGACGAACACAGCGTTACAACAATTTATCAATAAACATAAACAATTTTTTTTTTCTATTTAACACCGTTCTGTTCTCCAAAATGTAGCGTTATTTTTCATTTAATGGCTTGAGTATGTTTTCCATTTTTTAATTTGTTCGAGTTTATTGATAAATGCTTGTAACGCGTAGCTATGTGTTCCGTCTTTAGAAACAAACCCAATGTGTCCGGTGTTTTGATTTTGTAGTTGTAACAAGTGTTCACATCCACGCTTCCGTATTAAAACACCATTTCGCTGAAACCTCATCGACAAGTAAGTAATCTGAAAATTTAAATCTGCTCAAAATTGGTTGCTATTGTCATAATTGTGTTTTAGCTCCTGAAGATGACAACATAGTTTGTCGAAAGCTCGAGATTACCGTCAAAAGAGTTCACTGTGCTTTAAGTTTTGCCAATTCCCAATAAACAATTTAATTCATGAAGTCATGAAGAAAACCGAAGGGGATTATAGAGGGGTTATTTTGAACTTGAAGCGTATTGAACTCTTTTGACGGTAATCTCGAGCTTTCGACAAACTATGTTGTCATCTTCAGGAGCTAAAACACAATTATGAAAATAGCAACCAATTTTGAACAGATTTAAATTTTGAAATTACTTACTCGTCGATGACGTTGCAGCTAAATGGTGTTTTGGTACGAAAGCGCGGATGAAAACACTTGTTACAGTTATAAAAGCGAAAGACCGGACATATTGGGTTTGTCGTTGAAGACGAACACAGCGTTACAACAATTTATCAATAAACATAAACAATTTTTTTTCTATTTAACACCGTTCTGTTCTCCAAAATGTAGGGTTATTTTTCATTTAATGGCTTGAGTATGTTTTCCATTTTTAATTTGTTCGAGTTTATTGATAAATACTTGTAACGCGTAGCTATGTGTTCCGTCTTTAGAAACAAACCCAATGTGTCCGGTGTTTTGATTTTGTAGTTGTAACAAGTGTTCACATCCACGCTTCCGTACTAAAACACCATTTAGCTGAAACCTCATCGACAAGTAAGTAATCTGAAAATTTAAATCTGTTCAAAATTGGTTGCTATTGTCATAATTGTGTTTTAGCTCCTGAAGATGACAACATAGTTTGTCGAAAGCTCGAGATTACCGTCAAAAGAGTCTGTGCTTTAAGTTTTGCCAATTCCCAATAAACAATTTAATTCATGAAGTCATGAAGAAAATCGAAGGGGATTATAGAGGGGTTATTTTGAACTTGAAGTGTATTGAACTCTTTTGACGGTAATCTCGAGCTTTCGACAAACTATGTTGTCATCTTCAGGAGCTAAAACACAATTATGAAAATAGCAACAAATTTAGAACAGATTTAAATTTTGAAATGACTTACTCGTCGATGACGTTGCAGCTAAATGGTGTTTTGGTACTAAAGCGTGGATGAAAACACTTGTTACAGTTATAAAAGCGAAAGACCGGACATATTGGGTTTGTCGTTGAAGACGAACACATAGCGTTACAACAATTTATCAATAAACCCGAACAATTTTTTTTTCTATTTAACACCGTTCTGTTCTCCAAAATGCAGGGTTGTTTTTCATTTAATGGCTTGAGTATGTTTTCCATTTTTTAATTTGTTCGGGTTTATTGATAAATGCTTGTAACGCGTAGCTGTGTGTTCCGTCTTTAGAAACAAACCCGGTGTTTTGATTTTGTAGATGTAACAAATGTTCTCATCCACGTTTCCATACTAAAACACCATTTAGCTGAAACCTCATCGACAAGTGAGTAATCTGAAAATTTAAATCTATGCTAAATTGGTTGCTATTGTCATAATTGTGTTTTAGCTCCTGAAGATGACAACATAGTTTGTCGAAAGCTCGAGATTACCGTCAAAAGAGTCTGTGCTTTAAGTTTTGCCAATTCCCAATAAACAATTTAATTCATGAAGTCATGAAGGAAACCAAAGGGGATTATAGAGGGGTTATTTTCCATTCACAAAAGCCATATATGTCCTTATCAGATTGTGTACGGTTTTTGATGTATTGCCATTTTTAAGAATTTGTGGAAAATCGCTGCTTTTGAGACTGTACTATTTTTCTGAAGTTGAATTTCGTTATTTTTAAATCAAATTTGCAGGATATGTTTTCAAATGATGTGCTGCTGGAGGAAAAGCTAAGAGTGAAAATTTAGTCCAGTTAGTGTAGGTAAAGAGGTCGGCTAATCTGCAATTTTGTTTGTTGTCAAAAAGATTATACGAGACCTGTAGAAAAATTAGTAGGCAGATGCAGTGATAAAAAAATTCTCGGCCTTTCAAAATACCTATTAGGTAATTAAATATAAATAGTAGATAAAATGCTGCAGGTACCCTAAATCTAAAAATTCCCATTTTTTACACTTTACCTGCCACTGCTGTACCTATATTAACTGGTCTAAATTTTCACTTACAGCTTTTTTCTAGCAACACATCATTTGGGAATATATCTTGCAAATATGATTGGAAAATAACAAACGACAACTTCAGAAAAAATAGTACAGTCGCAAAAGTAGCGATTTCCACAAATTCTTAAAATGGCGATAATTCAAAAACCGTGCAAAATCGGATAAGGTCCGTATCACCCCCTTTCGTTTGTTTCGTGATTTTTGAGACACCCTGTATAAGAAAAAAATTGCTGTTATATGAGGAAAAACGTGTAAGTATGTGGAGCTTTGGGGGAGGGGCAAACCCTTCCTAAGTACGCCCTAGCAATGTGCCCAGGAGTGAGTGCGGCATTTAAAACAAGATCATCATTTCGAACAATGTTTATTAACAATAGCTACATTAATTGTACTTTTATGAATTTAAGAAAATATATTTTAACATTCGCTAATATTATAATAAAAAATAAAAATATTGTTTAAAGAGAATAAATAGAGGTTAGTAGTACAAGTTTATTTTGATTATGAAAAAAAGAAAGGTGAACTATATTATAGTACTGGGGCATTATGCACTAATAATAACTTACAATGTATCAGTCATCGCAAACAGTTTCAGATAAAATATAAATCACAGTATTACAACTTGTTTAAGAGAGAAACTTCAATGATCAACGCTTGTTAACGTTATAGGTTCAAGTTATAGTTAGGACATTCCATCTGATGTACGGCGTGTCCCAAAATATGTAAGTAACCTCTGGCAGTTATGCAGAACATAAAAAATAATATGACGAATTCCATAAAAGCTTGTCGTGTCCTTTGGAGATATTATGTTCTTCTGACAAAAAAAAGATTTCCAGTGATGTCCAGAAACCCACAGGGCAAACCCTCATAGGATCCTTTCACATTATTTTTTAGTGTTCTGCATAAGGATCGCCCCATACTTTGGAACACCCAGTTTGAATGATTTATTCGTCCAGTTGGTTTCTTGGGCACTTAGTCTACTTCAGCTCTGGTCTCTCTGGCCTCGATGATGGCCGCAAGTGGTGGTAGGATCGCCGGCGACATCGCCAGGGCCGGATTCGCGACCGCGATTATGTTGTCGCCGCTGGCAGCGACTATTTGGACCTTTGGAGAATACTTGCTAGGATCTTCTTCGCCATCTTGCTGATCATCTTGCTTTCGCTAGATGTGATATCAAAAATCAATCAAAAAATATACAGCGAGGTTTTCTTTTGGCAGATGTCGAAATGTGTACGAGAGAGAAGCGTCATTGGGGATACATATTGATGTATGTTAGAAAGTGTGCCGATGGCATCAGAGGCCGCGTCACTCGGGTTGCTAGGCAACGAGGTGCGTCTATCTCTTTCTAACATACGTATTGCACGCTTCTCGTACACGTGGTCAGTGGTATTTGGTTTTCAGTGTATAAGAAATTTTAGAAGGCTCCTTAATGTAGTAAAAGAAAACGCATGGCTTTAATATCTAAAAACTACTTTCAATCGCCGACCATTCAACATCATAACACAATCAAACGTATATCTGTAACCTTTATACCAGGAGAAACTATGGCAATGCTGTTCGTGCTGTGAAAACGACCCCCAAACATGTAGCAGTGGTGCTTTGACAGGGTTGCCATGTTGGTGAATTTTTCACCAAATTTGGGGGATTTTTACTTGGGACAGATATAATTTTCTGGGGGAAATCACACGTTTCGCAGCTACAAAACAAGCCCCGCTCTCTGAACCAAACCTAACTCTTTCCAGTAATTAACTGTGATTTGGAGGATATTTTAAAAAGTAGCAATCTGAGGGATTTTTGTGCTTGTTCCGTGGAAATTCTGTCCGACCCATCTGGCAACGCTGTGCTTTGACAGATCCACTATATAAACACTTGCCTGATAGCCGGAAAAAATATACAGCAAGGTTTACTTTTGGCAGACGTCGAGATAAGCGTCATTGGACATACATATTGACGTATGCTAAAAAGAGTGCGCCGATGGCATCAGTGGTCTCGTCACTCGGGTTGCTAGGCAACGAGGTGGTCTATCTCTTTTGAACATACGTATTGAACGTTTCTCGTACACCACGTCAGTGGTATTTAGTTTTCAGTGTATCAGAACTTTTCGAAGCCTCCTTAATGTAGTAAAAGAAAACACATGGCTTCAATATCTAAAAACTAGTTTCAATCGCCGACCATTCAACATCATAACACAATCAAACGTATATCTGTAACCTTTATACCAGGAGAAACTATGGCAATGCTGTTCGTGCTGTGAAAACGACCCCCAAACATGACGCCTGGAGTAGCAGTGGTGCTTTGACAGGGTTGCCATGTTGGTGAATTTTTCACCAAATTTGGGGGATTTTTACTTGGGACCGATATAATTTTCTGGGGGAAATCACACGTTTGGCAGCTACAAAACAAGCCCCGCTCTTTGAACCAAACCTAACTCTTTCTATTACTTAACTGTGATTTGGAGGATTTTTTAAAAAGTAGCTATCTGAGGGATTTTTGTGCTTGTTCCGTGGAAATTCTGTCCGACCCATCTGGCAACACTTTGCTTTGACAGATCCACCATATGAACACTTTCCTAATAGCCGGATTAATTGCGCCTAAACTGAGCCAACAGAGCGTTGAGTTCGGAAACTATTCAGACCACCCTCGTACGTTCCATGTATGTAAACAATTAAGTATACCCACGCTAGCCAACGGACATATTTGCCTAACTACTATAGCAGAATCGCAGACAAACTTGCATGAAAAATCCAACTGATTGATTTTCATGCAAGAGTCCGGCAGCTGAAAGTAAATGACAGGAAGAATCAGTTGTTTTGTAAGTGTCCATGCGTCTGATTAACATTTATTTCTCTTACTCTTATTGATTGTAAAACGAGTATTAACCGTGACCAACTAGATATGCCGAAAATTAAATGCAATATTGAGTGAAGGTCGAATTTTATGATCTGTCTTGTGAATTTCTCATAATCTTTTGAAATACTGTAATTCAGTATGCAGTATGCAAATAAGCAAAAAACATTGAATTGAGTGTTCGAATATTTACCTGGGGGCTACTGGAATTACTAAATGTGAATTGAGAATCTGATTCGTCTACTTCAACTCCAACTGACGATCTTCGTGATATATTACCTCTGAAAAATTAATGTGTGTTAGACCCACTACAAAAAAAAAATATATTCGCTATTTCGAGTATTTAAAGAACATTTTGAAACGTAAACAAGCGTATTCAGTTCGTTCGCAACGCGCATGCGTAAATCGTACTTATTATTATAGCCCGGTAGTCTTAGAATATAGAAACTTGGAATCTATTTAAATATGTTTATTAAAAAGCGGTAATGCTATTCGCCATGATCCAATAACGGATGAAGCGATCGTCATAAGCCGAGAATGGCACGTTTTGGACGTTCTGCTAGCATGCGCTTGTTTTTGCAATATTATCATACCTACAATACCCCGCCTAACAGGAATCCCGAATCTCGGTGTAAAACCAAAGGAGAGGAAGTAGGAGCTGTCAGACTCAAAATACAACTGCATAATTTGAAATTTTGTAATCTGCCGAGTTTAAAAAATGCGATCGGTTACAATGCTATCTCGATTCGTAACGAAAAATGGCTTGTCATCAATACCTTTGAGGTCCTAAAAGTTTGCTTTTTCGAAATCTGACGGGAATTCTAACAGTCAGGCTCGTTTCCTACGCTCAAAATGTTTATTTTTCAATCGCTATATAATTTTTCTCTTGCATATATATATATATATATAGTTAGGTGAAACATTAAAGCTTCCTATACGAAAACAACAATTAGCAACATCCTCACATACTACTGTAAGTTGATTCAATTTAAATTCATTTTACACTTTTGTTGCTACTGTTATCATTGTAATTGCAGCTCCTGATGATGATGGCAAAGTCCATTGAAAGCTAGAGAGAATTAAAAAAGTATAAAGAGTCCTCTTTGCTTAAATTTTGTCGAAGTACCCAACAAAAGGCGGAAGCTTTAATTTTTCACCTAACTGGTCTAGACGACAATAACCACGTCTCACGTTATATACATATATATATATATATATATATATATATATATATATATATTTAAAATAGGAAAATGATGTGCAAAATTCCCAAAAAGAAGGAAAGTGGTTACGAGCAGAAAATAGGATAGGTAACCCGAGCGATACGTATTTCTGCTGGTTGGCTTCATCAGGCCCGAAATGAATGCACATATGCAACTACAAAAGTAGATACACATGCCCATACAAACGAAGATGGACAGGGAAAAAATCATTTCGGGCCTGATGAAGCCAACCAGCAGAAATACGTATCGCTCGGGTTACCTATCCTATTTTCTGCTCGTAACCACTTTCCTTCTTTTTGCGGATTTTGCCCATTATATTCCTATTTTTTGTTCTATAGCTTTCCCCGCATGATAATTTTCTCTTTATATATATATATATATATTAACAATAGGCCAGGAAAATGTCGGAAACATGGAGACTTTGTCATGTATCAAAAAGTAGCATATAGTCGAGGAGTCGAGGAATTTTAAAAAATCGAAACTTTTGAACGAGAAGGAATAAAGAAATAAAAAAGATGCTATCCAAATATCCGATATGTGGGCTTTCTCACGCAAAAATTGTTAGGTTTGTAGCTGCGTTATTTTTGGAGGAGATAGAAATTGAATATCGAACAGCACGAAAATCTACCATTTTTTCGACTTCACTTTTTTGATCGCATTTCTTCCTCTTACCTCCTCTTGCTCATCCGTAAGGCGTAGTTTCCGAAACGGTATCGTTTTCCGATAAAACCTTTCGGGAATCCGGAAAAAAAACAAAAAAAAACGGCGCCGACGTCGGAACGCCCCGATCCAGACTCGAAAGCGGAAGTGAAAAAAAAATACAAAAGATGACCGCTTAATATTGTCCCGAAAAATCAATCCGTAATTTATTATCGTCTCTTGGCTATTCTTACCTTATGGAGGATTGGTTTCTTAAGTTCTGCTGGAACAACGAATGCAAGGACGACCTGATCACAACTCCATCATCATACTCCTAAAAAGTCCAGAAACATTAAAATCCACCAAAAAATAGTAATAACTAGACAGCTTCTAATCGATAGAATCCTGGATGTACTGGCCTGAACACTCATTTTTACTTTGTGAAATATGCAAATTCCAGCAACTCAAAAGGTATCGGAAAATTAAAAATTATACTGTTGATCACCTTAAAATTTATTTTTGAAAAAACTTTCAGTTCAAATCGGAATGTCCGCTCCAAGTCTTCTACCGATCTCACTACTACAAAAGTGCATAAGCCTGCTAAGCAAAAGCAGAAGCTTGAATCCTTACCTTCTTGAAGCATGCAAATGGGTAGTTGTTGGTTTGCTATCCCAATATTTCAAAAATACTCTACAACCCTTGTGCGAAATGTTAATATATCTCTTTTTATCCAACCTCCACAAATTGTGCGTTTTCAATCTTCCAACTACGTTTTTCCAGATATTGAATCCACAGTCTCATTCTCTAAATACTTTAATGTTTAAAAATCGCCCTAGTATACTCCAAAAAATAAAATAGAGCCAAATGTGGATACCTCCTCGTTATTCATGCAGACCATTAACTATTCGAATGAAATAAAAAAATACATGGAAAAATACGTTTAACAATGGATCACCCCTCGTATTATAGAGATGATTCCTTAGCTGACAGTGTCTTATCCAGAATTCTTATTTTAGCAGTGTGCTGTGAAATATCCTTAGATTGTAAGTGACCCTCACCCAGGCAATAATTTGGCAATTCTAACTCACACTATATACGGTATATACACAACTTTTTACGATATAAAAATAAAATAGTTCAAATACTTACGTTTGTATGAAGATAAATAAATATCCAAATTACTATTTCTGAATGTATTTTAGCAATCAAATTGAACTCACGCAAAGCAAGACGATATTACGTAAATTATTTTCTTTTTCACTGCATGAACCAAGTCTGTCATATTAGGAATACTTTTTGATGTCACCCTGTAAAGTATTCATTCGACGTCTTCTTTAATAGCTTAAAAAGCTCGTAATCCGCGAAACCACTACACCAAAGACAATAAATTAAACGCAATCGACAAAATATAATTAGCTCTGAAAATAGAAATATCTAAAAAAAAGTATAATATTACCCCACCTTGTCATAAATATATACAATTTATTACAGAAACCACACAGTTTTTTTATACACCAGCATATCGGAAAATATTTGACTAGACTTAACAAAACCATTTTTAGAGTACGTTTTAATTTAGATACAAATAGTTTTTTCGAAGCGTGACATAACGATTCTTAGGAAGCATTAAAATATAAATTCGTGCATTATTCACGCTTTTAAAATACACTCTAAAAATGGCTTTTCACGAATGATAAAATGCTCGCATAATCAAAGAAGGTACATATTAAAATTTTTGCAATTGACTGATCTGAAAAAAAGACAATTGAACCGGCGAAAACTTTTCGTACGTAAATTATCAAAATGCCAGTTTACTGTGAAGAATATTCGTTCGTAAAAAATGAAGTCAAGTAGATTGACTCAGTTCTTAACATGATATAATATTTGTACATTAACATTGCCACGTTTTCTCCTATACAAGATGGCATATTCAGAATTTCAATATGACGTTAAGTCTGTTGTTCTCCAGCATCGACTTTATTTTTTGTTTTGGACGCCTGATCCCAAAAATGCATAACATGTTATACACTGACATTACTACCACCTTTTTTAAATAACTAAGGTTTGACAATCTATGCAAACATAAAGTTGATCCTGAAAACAAAACCTCAAATTGGAATTCTAATTATCTAATCTCTGTAAAAATAAGATTCAATGTTTATGTGCAATTTATTTTTAAGTCCCACAGCAAATAAAATCAGGAAAAAACTAAAACGATTTTGGAAATACCGACTACCCCAAAGCATGCAAATAGCAAAAGAAAAAAATGGCGTCAAGTAGATTGACTCTACACTTCCTAGGCAACGCTGTCGTAAGTCATGAAGAGAGAAAAAAATTAGCTTGGAATATGTGTGAAAGAGATTTATCGCGTGGAAAATAAAATTAAATATTAAAGCAAACACTGGCAGATGGATGTATGCTTGGAATAATCAAGTAAATGTTTGTACGAAAATTTCATGTATTTTTCTTGATTTTGCAAGCACTTTGCATTCGTTTTACAACAAAAATATGTCACTGATTTATCACACGATTTATCACAACATTCGATAAAAATTGAAGCAGTGTTATGACGAAGTCATTGAAGTCTTTTACGAAATTAATTCCAAGGAAGAAATGTTCGCAAACAAATACATATTTTGCAATCGACCGTTTGAGAAAGTTTTGTAAACAATGTAAAACCACTAATTTTTTGCAGTGCACCTTACTGCTAATGTTAATATTTAAAAAATGACTAAACTTGAGAGCCTCCATATTTCGCAATTGATCTGCAGATACTATGAAGGCGATGCAGTGGCAGTGCATTTATATTTTTGCCATTAAAGTAACAGAATAATTATATAAAATTATAATGTTTCTCCTCGTAAGGTGTCAATTTTACTGCTAGGCCAAGAAATAGGAAGATTTTGTATGGAGGATGTATCGTCACTTCCTAATAATAAGTTCAAACTGTGAAAAAGTATAGTCTTTAACGCATTATAAGCAAAACTGTCATTACACATCTACCTTCTTGTAACCTGTTGACTATACGAACAGTTTTCATATAAGCAAAATGACTAAGAACTTAATACCTCACAAGTGTTTCTATTACTTCTTTACATGCGATCGATGGTTTGAGATTTTCGATTAAACGAGTTTCACAAATCATTAGGAAGCAATAATTTAACGATACCACCAAAAAAATTTACTGCTGCCAAAATTATAGGAAAACTTACCTATTTCCTGGCCTGTGTTCTGAGTGACCTACTTTAAAAAATGTGGAGGCATTTCCTGAGAGCCATACGCATACTCGTGAACTGAGGCGTCCTTATTATAATACCAAAAAGAAACACGTTCGCGACGTAGCCGGTTTCGGACGTGTTAAAATACAGCCGTAATATTTTTTTGTGTAACATGTGAATACTTTTGTATTTGTGATCAATAATCTTTTATATACATATGTTTTATGTTTTCCCTCTTCTTTTCATAGATTTATTGTTCAGGGAGGTCGTGTACCACCATTGGTACATATCTAAAAATAATAAAAACTTTAGTAAAAACATAAAACATGTATATAAGAGAGTATTGATCACAAACAAAAAATCTACACATAAAATAAAGCAAATTTAAGGTAATTCCGGTCACGACAAATTACAAAATGAAAGAGAGTCAAAAGAAGCAAGATCCAAAGCTAAGAGAGTGATGATCTACTGCGATGATTGTGAGAATAAACCGACAATGTGTTTAGACTGTTCTAACGAAAATCATTCTGAAACCCAAGTTTCTTAATAATTTTTAGATTTGCATGTTTTTTTTAATATCAAGTTCTTTCTAGTTTTGAATTTTTCGAGATCAGCTGTCATGTACCACATGTGGTACACGACGTCGTAAACGCGTTTATGGTTTTCACTTGACGAGTACTGTGGAACCGAATGTACCAACGGGTCATGTACCAACTTTAAGCACAGCCGTATCTTCTTTTCCAAGCTTCTTAAAATAGGAATAATTATAAAGCGCACTGTGTACCACATGTGGTACACGACGGCTGTGAAGATGAGCAGTCACGTACCACATGTGGTACACGACGGCTGTGGTGATCAGCAGTCACGTACCACATGTGGTACACGACGTCGTAAACGCGTTTATGGTTTTCACTTGACGAGTACTGTGGAACCGAATGTAGCAACGGGTCATGTACCAACTTTACGTACAGCCGTATCTTCTTTTCCAAGCTTTTTAAAATAGAAATAATTATAAAGCGCACTGTGTACCACATGTGGTACACGACGGCTGTGGTGATCAGCAGTCACGTACCACATGTGGTACACGATGCCTGTGGAGATCAGCAGTCATGTACCACATGTGGTACACGACGTCGTAAACGCGTTTATGGTTTTCACTTGACGATTACTGTGGAACCGAATGTACCAACTTTACGCACAGCCGTATCTTCTTTTCCAAGCTTCTTAAAATAGGAATAATTATAAAGCGCACATGTGGTACACGACGGCTGTGAAGATGAGCAGTCACGTACCACATGTGGTATACGACGGCTGTGGAGATTAGCAGTCATGTACCACATGTGGTACACGACGTCGCAAACGCGTTTATGGTTTTCACTTGACGATTACTGTGGAACCGAATGTACCAACGGGTCATGTACCAACTTTACGTACAGCCGTATCTTCTTTTCCAAGCTTCTTAAAATAGGAATAATTATAAAGCGCACTATATACCACATGTGGTACACGACGGCTGTGGTGATCAGCAGTCACGTACCACATGTGGTACACGACGGCTGTGGAGATCGGCATTCATGTACCACCTCTGGTACGCGACGGCTGTGGAGATCAGCATTCATGTACCACATGTGGTACACGACGGCTGTGAAGATCAGCTGTCATGTACCACATGTGGTACACGACGTCGTGAACGTGTTTATGGTTTTCACTTAACGATTACTGTTGATGCACAATGTTTTATAAGAGCCAAAATGGGTAGGTCTTGTATTTTTTCGAAGACCTACAACTTCGTTAAGGAAAGACGACACGTTCGGCTCTTGGGACCCAACAATTTAGTGCAGCAAAAATGCAATCAGATAGACAGACACATAGACCTTTTGGAAAAGATAAGTATGAATGGATCACCCACTACCATCGCTACATACCTCGTATATGAGATGGCTATTGAAATATTAAATAAAAGTAAGCAATTAAAAAAAGTAATTTATGTGAGCACTGTGAGATACTGAAGCATTCGATACGTTTTTTTTTTTGTCGGACAATTTACTGTCTTCGAAAGAAGAATACAGAAAGCTAGAAAGTCATCGCAAGTAATAATTTAAATATTTCGGAACAGGAATTCTGTTATAAAACAACGCTACGTTTTTGTGTCTTTTGGTATAATTCGGTTCTGTGTTATTTTGTGAGACGACTATGATTGTATAAGTTAAAATATGTCTAAAAACGCACGACGTTTTTCAGGATACACTTCAAAAAAGTGGAACCACTCTACCATGACAGTTCTAAATTAAGTTTTTATCGAGATTACATTTATATTAATTTTTTATACTGTTCTTCGTTACTTTATTAAAATAAGATCGTAACAGAATTCATGGATGAAATCATTGCACATTTGAATTTTTTTCTCATGAAACGCGAAAAAGTATGAATGAATAAAACCTCAAGATATTGTTCGTATAATAGTAAGACATATTTTTGTCTATAAATACACCACATAAATTGTTAGCACCCAAAGTTTGGCAAAAATATACAGGATTGCCATACAACAAATATTCTGTAGGCAATACATACAGTAGGGATGAAATTATACAAGGTGGATGGATTTTGTTGGGAAAACTATTTTTGAATTAATATAAAACATCCGAGATTAAACTATATACAGGGAACAACTTCTGTTAATAGAGACATCAAAATGTTTTTTAACGGGGGGAGGGGGTGAAGTATTTATTTTTTCATTCATGTATTTTTTATCAATATATTAAATATATCAAGGATATAGTGGGAGGGGGGGATCTGCGATTGGAAATTGAAGAGCTGGAAGGGGTCAAATCAATTTATCTCCATCTAATTTCCTTTAGGCTCTTTAACCCCCTCCCCTTAGTTGCGTAAAATTACTGAGGTTTGGAGCGTAAAAAATATACTAACATCAAATAATTGAAAATTGTTCTTCAAATGTCATATTATTGTATAGTACTAGTAAATAAATGTATCGACAAAAAAATCTTGAAAATAAGCCTTTTTTTCATGAAGTTACCCTTACCCCCCTCCTTAAAAAGGTCCTAAATTTTGGGAGTAGAAGGTCGATTCGAAATATACAATCGAGTTTTGGTGCTATTTGTCTACCGGCCTACCCTGCATTCATGTTTCGCTTTCGAATGGCTGAGACACCCTGTATATTTTCCCAAAAACTTGAATCAAATTATAAAACGGCTTAACCACATAGATTTTTTAAAATATCCCACTGACCTTATCTTAATAATCCCATCTTCAATAAATAATATATATACAGCATGCACCTTATGGTTCGAGAACTGGTTACAATATCTAATCTGGAAGAGATTTGGTAGTGTAGCCAGCCTTCTATCACTATTCACACTAAAAAAATCTAGGAACGCTTCAAATCAGTCTTCTTTACACTTACATTATGATTTTTGACTAGATTCGCTAGATAAATGCTAATTTTCAGTAGCTTGTTATAAAGTTCATAGTACTGAAATGTTTATTCACTGTGACAAAGACTAGAGATCGTTTAAAAAATTACTTAATTCTAAAGAAGGTATACGTATCACAAAACAGAAGTGTTCCTAGTGCGTTCCATGTGTGTTTTGTAGCTTGATTATGATATAGCCGCCCATTAAGCATATCCTAGAAGCACGAGCTTAAAAAGCACAATAATTGCATGTTTATTAGATTCCTAGAACTCATATCTCTTATGTACGATTAAGAGCATTGTAACTGATATGAGTTCTGGTAACTAATATACAGTGTAAAATGACGTGTACATAGTGATAATAATAACTTCTCGTTGCTAGGAAATTATAGAATAAAAATAGAAGAAAGGTATTATATATCACATTGTACAACTAATCAGTTTTTGACGTTCAGTGGCAGACTCACAAAAATAATAGCACATTGTGAAAATTTTAATAGTTCATTAATTTTAAATAAGTTGGTTTAATCTAAGTAAACGGTTTAATAGATTTTAGTGAACGATTGCGTTTTGGTTTAATTAAACTAGTTTCATAAATCCAAGTAAACTATTTTACAAATTTGAGTTTAATTAAACTAATTAAACTTGTTAGCTGTTACATGGTTAATTTATTTTTCGAAAAATAAATTGATATTAATTATATATAATATATATTAAACAGTATTTCTGGAAAATATTTATTACCCGTAATGGATTTTCTAATTATTCTAAGTAACTAGATTATTCGGTTTAAAACTGAATTTTCTGGAAGCAGCTTAATTGAAAGTAATATACTATTATACTAATTAGTGTAGGTAATTTAGTTTATGTAGAAAACGTACATTTAGAACAATTAAACATTTTATTAGAAACAGTTGATCAGTTTGTTTGAATCGACCGTTCATTCATGAATTTTTTATTTTAATTCGAAAATATCAATTATGAGTATCAAGTTTCCTAATTTGATTTCTCAGATTTATCAGAGCACATTTATAATATACCTCATTCAGTAAAATGCAATTTGTTCTTTTAAATTCCAAGTATTATCCAAAATCTAAATGAAATAATTAATGAAAGCCAGACAAATACTTTTCCTAAACTAATTAAACAAATTTGATGAATGTAATTAAATTATTTTACTTGCAGCAGATAAAGTCATTTTAATAGTTCATTGATTTTAAATAAGTTGGTTTAATCTAAGTAAACGGTTTAATAGATTTTATTGAACGATTGCGTTTTGGTTTAATTAAACTAGTTTCATAAATCCAAGTAAACTGTTTTACAAATTTGAGTTTATTTAAACTAATTAAACTTGTTAGCTGTTACATGGTTAATTTACTTTTCGAAAAATAAATTGATATTAATTATATATAATATATATTAAACAGTATTTCTGGAAAATATTTATTACCCGTAATGGATTTTCTAATAATTCTAAGTAACTAGATTATTCGGTTTAAAACTGAATTTTCTGGAACCAGCTTGATTGAAAGTAATATACTATTAAGCTCATTTGCTGAAAAATAGCAAACCATGTACCTGTTTTATAAACTATTTAATTAGTGCAGGTAATTTAGTTTATGTAGAAAACGTACATTTAGAACAACTAAACATTTTATTAGAAACAGTTGAACAGTTTATTTGAATCGACTGTTCATTCATGAATTTTTTATTATAATTCGAAAATATCAATTATGAGTATCAAGTTTCCTATTTTGATTTCTCAGATTTATCAGAGCACAGTTATAATATACCTCATTCAGTAAAATGCAATTTGTTCTTTTAAATTCCAAGTATTATCCAAAATCTAAATGAAATAATTAATGAAAGCCAGACAAATACTTTTCCTAAACTAATTAAACAAATTTGATGAATGTAATTAAATTATTTTACTTGCAGCAGATAAAGTCATTTTAATAGTTCATTGATTTTAAATAAGTTGGTTTAATCTAAGTAAACGGTTTAATAGATTTTATTGAACGATTGCGTTTTGGTTTAATTAAACTAGTTTCATAAATCCAAGTAAACTGTTTTAGAAATTTGAGTTTATTTAAACTAATTAAACTTGTTAGCTGTTACATGGTTAATTTACTTTTCGAAAAATAAATTGATATTAATTATATATAATATATATTAAACAGTATTTCTGGAAAATATTTGTTACCCGTAATGGATTTTCTAATAATTCTAAGTAACTAGATTATTCGGTTTAAAACTGAATTTTCTGGAACCAGCTTGATTGAAAGTAATATACTATTAAGCTCATTTGCTGAAAAATAGCAAACCATGTACCTGTCTTATAAACTATTTAATTAGTGCAGGTAATTTAGTTTATGTAGAAAACGTACATTTAGAACAATTTAACATTTTATTAGAAACAGTTGAACAGTTTATTTGAATCACCCGCTCATTCATGAATTTTTTATTATAATTCGAAAATATCAATTATGAGTATCAAGTTTCCTATTTTGATTTCTCATATTTATCAGAGCACAGTTATAATATACCTCATTAAGTAAAATGCAATTTGTTCAAGTATTATCCAAAATCTAAATGAAATAATTAATGAAAACTAGGCAAATACTTTTACCTAAACTAATTGAAGAAATTTGATAAATACAATTAAATTGTTTTACTTAGAGCAGATGAACTCATTTTAATACTTCATTGATTTTAAATAATCTATGTAATCTAAACGGTTTAATGAATTTAACTGAACAATTGCGTCTTGATTTAATTAAACTAGTTTCATAAATCCAAGTAAACTGTTTTATAAATCTGAGTTTAATTAAACTGATTAAACTTGTTAGCTATCACACAACTAATATTCTTTTTTTGAAAAAAACTGATAAAATTAATTTTTTCTCAGTATTCAAAAAATATATAGGGATGTATTTGTTATAAACCTTGAAGTTGTTGACGTCATAGCACATTTTTATATAATTAAATATCTTGGCGATGCTCTAGAATGAACAAAAATTGAGATTGAGTGGAATTTTTGTCACATTGTATAATAATCGTGAATGTTAGATTTTGGTGAATCTGCCACTGGCATCGTATGCTAGTCTTCGAGGTTAATAATGACATGTGTCTGTGAATGAGGCATTTGTCTGACCTGCCGGAGGTCGTCCCCATCTGAGTTCGAGTCCAGCTTTTGCCGTTTTACCGTCGAACCGTCATTATCCGATATCCTAGGACTCCCCCTCGCTGATATGCTGTTATCTCCGTCCCTACTATCTTGGTTCATTCCTAAAGTTTTGTTCACGTAAACTGTGGATAGTCTGGAAAAGATCGCAAGTGGATACAAAAATATACAGGCTGTCCAAGATAATAGTGGCATACTACCGATCTACATGAAGTTTAGGATAAATCAAATACAAAAATTAAATTAAGCTTGTCTATGTCCATATTGTTTTAATTTACGGTGAGTGTCTTCGAAACGCTGCCGAGGCTTCGCGAGCGCAGATCATTTTTTAAGATCCTTCGATATTTCTTTTTTGTTTGGGGCGAAATGAAATGTTTTATACACTAAACATGTGGAATAGTGGTTTCGGTTAATTCAGCTGATGGCGACTGGACTGTTTCGGGATAAAACTTCATAGTCCCGCCTCCCAAAACAAATAAATGAAGTTATGCTTACACGGTACGTAATAAAATTGGTGTATTCTTTCCTTCTAGTTTGAAATTTTAATATGAATATGAGCTAGCTACTTACTGAGTCTTGGAGTAATAACAGCCAGAATCTTTGACAACTTGTCTAGCCAGAGGGAAGAGTTCATCCCTCCTAGTGAGCAAAGCTGGGATAAACCTACAAATCTGAGCAGCTGCTTCATTGACAGACACTTCGTGTAACGTGAGAGGTTTCTCAGGTTTCCTTTTGCAATCGAACCTTCCGTATATCGCTGCATATCGCCTAATTTCGTCCATGCGCCTAGGATCATTTTCCGACATCGACATCACCAACTCTAGTTCTTTGCACACCTGATGAGTATGGATTACAAGGATATACTCAAAACGTAACCAAAGAGTAGTTACATAAAGAGAATACACAGGATGAGAGATGACTCCAAAAACATGGCGTCAGATAGATGATCTTTTTTGAACGGTTTCATTGACCATCGCTTTTAGTGAACGCATTTTTTGTTCAAATTTACTTTGTTTGGACATTTATTCAAGGTCGGGATATTTATCGTCCATTTGCAACATATGAAATATATTTTTCGTTCAATAAAGTTATGAATCACACTTTTAGGGAGAGAACTATTCTCACAACTTGCTATTTAACTTTTATGGACATACGCAGAATACTATACGACGTAGTTCAGTTAGCTTGAAGTTCAAAAGTTTTCTAACCTCAAATTGCTTAATTATTTGACATGGTCGTGAGTCATCTAGTCAGCCTGGCCTTTAGACGATATGTTAATTGATATCGTAAGATTTTTTGACATAACCACCAAAAGCCATGAAAAGAGCTGCTTAGTATAAATGTAGCGTTTTATAAATATTTTATGGCAGCTTGACAACACCGTCTCGGTGTCCATTAGTCCAAGAGCCGACCGCAATGTTTTGGTTACATCCCGCACTGATATAGTGAAATCTGACAAACTTACCTAGTTTGCTGTGCAGCATAGAAATGCGTAAGATGTGAGTAGTTTTTATCCTATCATATCAGTACGCATTGATGTAACAAGTAATTTACGATCTGCCTCCCTACTATGAAGCAGGTGACTCTCAAGGTCAATGGAGTCGACCGGCAGATTAAAAAGGCATTCCACGTAGTGTGTTCTCTTGATATAACTACTGTTTGACATAGCAAATTATACATTCAGAAGAACTGATCCAGAATCGACCCTCTTACATCTGAAAAGCTTTTAGGGCCAGGGGAGTAGCTACCGCCGTATTATTGATACAGTATGAAAGAAAGAAACAGCTGAAAAAGACTTTTTTTGAATTCAACTTCCTCAAAAATATATCTGACATATATTTGACCATCGGCTTATCAGATGAGTGAACATCGTTTTACTAGGTTCATATCATAAACCACAAATATATACCTTCTTTTTGGCATTGTGAGGTTTCGGTTCGAACTGAGGTAGCTGCTTACTGAGCCTCTCAGCTGCAGCTGCAAGTTTGGCAATCTGGTTTTCCATCAGACAAGGCGACAGCTGCACTGAGGGCACATTTGGACCAGGACTCGAACTTGAAGACGGCGGACAACTGGGGTCCATTGGAGAATAAGGTCTGTAAATATTATTAACTAGCTGTTACCACTTCGTACGCATAAAATTGTTACCAACATAAAACGTTGTTGTTAAGTAATGTAACTTCCGATCGTGTTTTGTAACTCTGTTGACATTCTTGAATTGATAGCAAATTCGCTTGCCTGCTATATTTGGTTATTTTATAATTAGAAAAATAATTCAAAACAAACTTGCATGAGTGGCACGTTTTCGCGATTACAATACTTCCTCGGAAGTAGGAATACCTTTTATTGGTGAATGTCAATCCCGGACTAGACACAGGAGGTAAGGCACAAAGATCACCAGGGGAGGGGGAATACATAGTCCTGTTAGCATCAGATGCAGCTGTTTCGGCATAGAACACATGATTGCTAGTCACTCTGGGACTGGAAAGCTCCACTTCGAAGTCCTCTCCAGGTACCAGGGGCACCTTGAACTTGATAGGGTTCGTCACCCACTCTTGCAGCGATTTTTGTAGTCTTCTCACGTGCAGAGGCTTGGACGCCATCCCCACCAAGGACATGATCTCCAGGAACTCTTCTTCTCCAGCGTCACACAGTTGTTGGACATCGTCGCCTCCCATCTCGAGAAGCGTGTCGTAGTAGAGAAGCAAAGAAGCATTCTGCATTACACGAAACAACTGCAACTCAGCTTGGTTGTTCGGGTAGGACGTAGGAAATACTGCAACAAGAACAAATGATGTCAATATGATTGACTCAGCAGAAGTAGACATAAAAAAGTTAGCTACGAAAATGTATAACAAAAAATTAAATGAGTATCCGTCTCCCTCTGAGAGCGCAGATGATCTAATCCCGCGTGGTTGACGATATTGAGTTTAAGAGCATACAACCCACAACAGGACGGAAGCGACTGCTGACTGCGACGCACGACAGCCGGGCCACTGTTTGAGAGAGTTTCAAGGGTGAACGTGAATATTTTATATATTTGTACAGGAATAGTGCAGGAAATTATTGGGCATTTCTCAACAAATTTAGAAATTTGATTTTGCATTTCTTAAAAAAAATAATGAAAATACTTTTTTTTGCATAAATATATAGTTTTAGTTTAGTGAGGTTCATTGAAAATAAAGGTCCTTCATATTTTGGCGTATAACATGTAGAAAAATGACTTTTATAAAACTATGAAATGAGGGAATGACTGATAGGATGGGGGGATGATTCTTACAACAATTTGATGCTGAATTTCAATAAGAAACATAAGTTAATTTATTAATATTGTATTGAGATTTGTTTTTACATCAGAGAGCTTAGATAGTCTTTCTTCCCTGGACACATCATCAATGTATGTAAGAAATGAACAACATCACCCTTAACTTTCAGCATTTTGGAGCTAACTTTACGAGTACAGTTCTTTTTGTGCGTATCGTTTTTGAAAAGATGTCTCGATCTATACAGCAATTTGAATCGTTCGTACTAATTGCAGCTTCAACATTTTGTAATATTTATTCTTTTCGACCAGAAATAGAATATTTATAATGGGTGAGAGAATGATTTCAATTCAAGAGACATAGTTTAAATAGATTGTTTTATGTACATATCTATTTTTTAGCAATCAAAGCTGGACTATACAATCCATACTTATTACCAAATATTTTGGTAATATTCAATTTATAAGAATATGAACAGATTTGATTGTATATATTTTTTATTATTAATTTCAGACCCAGGGACGAGATGAGGGAATGACTTTTAGACTAATAAATTAATCGTATTTTTTTTGTGTCAATATATTATCTAAATTTTTGCTTTTAAAATATACTAAGTGATATATAAATCCGAACACCCAGTTTAAATGGTTTTATTTTAATAAAAGTTGGTGAATGTATTTATCTTACTGTAAATAACAAGTGAAAAAATTTTCAGCCTTATCAGTTGGACATTCCGGTTTTTATACTGCTTTTTTTTAATTCACTAACGCTCTAAAAATGAATATTTCAGCCGCAGTAAACAATCAACGTTGGCGGATTTTGGTTCTGGACATCCTTTACGATCGGTTACGATGCCTAGAGTACGGAGACCTGTACGATTTCGTCAACTTAGTGAGTTTGATAGGGGCCGTATAGTGGCACTTCGGGAAGCTGGACTTTCTTTTCGGGCAATTGCAGTTAGAGTGCAAAGAAGTGTAGACACTGTGGTTAGGTGTTGTCAGGCATGGCTTCGAGAAGGCCGTACGCAAAGAGCAAGGGGCACTGGACGCCGCCGTAGAACAACAGACCGTGAAGATCGCCGCCTAAGATTATTGACCTTAAGGGACCGTTTCTCCACTACCAAATGAATGGTTTGCAGAACACGGAAGACCTATAGGCATGCGAAGTGTTTGCCGACGAATGAGAAGTTTTGGCTTGTTTTCATACCGGCCACACTGGGTCCTCCCTTTAACTCGAGAACACCGACGTAATCGCCTTGAGTGGTGCAGACAACGGTCACTCTGGGATCAGGAATGGAACAGTATTGTCTTTAGTGACGAGTCTCGATTTTGTTTAGACATGCACGATGGTCGTGCCAGGGTTAGAAGGCGACGTGGTGAAAGGAGGAATCCACAGTTTTTTGTTGAAAGACATGTTCATCACACTGTTGGAGTTACGGTTTGGGGTGCTATAGCTTATGGTTCCAGGTCACCTTTAATCTTCATCAGAGGTAACATGAACGCGCAGCGTTATATCCACGAAGTTCTAGAACCCCATCTTTTACCCTATCTTGACACCCTGGCAGATCCAACTTTCCAACAAGATAATGCCCGACCACATGTTGCAAGAGTCACAATAGACTTCTTTCAACATAATCATGTCACATTGTTAGCATGGCCACCAAGGTCTCCCGACTTATCCCCAATTGAGCACGTGTGGGATATGATGGGTAGGAGATTGCTCAATTTGCAACGTCCTCCTCAGACTCTAGAAGCACTTCGAGAGGAGTTGGTGGTTGCCTGGAATGAGATACCACAGGAGGACATTGACCACCTGATCAGAAGCATGCCTAGGGGCGTTGGAGAATGCGTAGCACATCAGGGTGCATCCACACATTATTAAAGGTCAAAGGGCTTTAAAGCAGTGCAATCATTTTGAAATTTTTATCATTTACCTATTATGCTTCATTAAGTACTTATACAAAATTTTATTAAAATAAAACCATTTAAACTGGGTGTTCGGATTTATATGTCACTTAGTATATTAGTGTAGATGCTTATTGATATGCACTTCGCACAACATGTGCATGTACATAATCGCAATGTTACGTAATGTAGAGATGATGGAAAGAACGTAAATAAATATCAAGTAGCTATTGCATATCGTGTACCAAACTCACAATATGCTGCAATTTGGCACGGTCTGTCCAACTTGGAGACTCTGTATATCAGAAACAACTCGTGGAAAAAGTTTGGGCCCATGAACGGTTTTGTTCTATAAGCTGAGATTTATAACATATTGAATTTGAAACAATATATGCGGAATGCATCCCCTATAGGGTTTATGCGGGGTCTTTTGACCTATATCGCGACGACAGAGACAATACGGTAGGAGTCTAAGAAAAGTGTATAGCGCAGGCATTTTCTTCGATGAATCCTGACCTGCACGTCTATTGATTTTTCTATTGCCGTTGCACTCTGTCCACGTTCAAGGGCGCCCAAAGCTCAGTGGAGGGATTCTCGATAACGTCACCTCCTGATTTATCGGTATATCTTTCTGTACTATGTTGAGATGCTGCTGATATGCTGTTGTACTAAAGATAAGTGCTTATATTACATAATTATTATTATTATATTATATATTACATAATGTTCGATTTCTCTTCTCTAACGGACAGTCTTGGAACTCTGTCGATGATCTAGCTCTTTGTCACCCTTTGTCTACAGGTTTTGTTTCTTAGAGCTCTCCTCCCCTAAGCATAGGCAGTTCGAGGGTTGGAATAACAAAGTTTATTTAAGCTCCTCGTAGCCGCGGTGCCCTGGTATTTCGGCCTACGATCGTCTAATTCGTAGAGTAGTTGAGCAATCGCAAAGCAAATGCTCGAATTCCTGTTCACATTCCGTACACAAAGACAGTATCCGGTCGCAATGGCAATAGCAAATCGAAGCTTATGAGAAGAGTATACGAGGGTGAAGCAAATATGAACCGGACTTCTGTTTTAGTAATAATATAAGTTTATTTACATCTTATTTTTCTACACAAACTCCTCTCTTATTACTGCATTTTCCCATCGGATCGGAAGTTTTTTGATTTTCTCATCAAAGAATGAAGCTGTTCGTGACAGTAGCCAATTGTGCGCGATCGTTTCCACACCTTCGTCGTCGTCAAAGTGGTAACCTCCCACGTCTTCTTTAAGCAGCATTCACTAGCCGGCGATTGTGAAGAGAATCAACTAGCAGTACACCTTTGTAATCCCAAAATAATGTTGCAAGAGCTTTCCCTGCAGAAGACTGGTCGGTGCTGCCACTCCATGGCAGCCGTATACTTGTGTCCTTGAAACTGTCTTCTCGCTCCACTCTATCCACCTATGGCGCGTTAAACAGGTTCATATTTGATTCACCCTCGTATAAGGAGTTCTCCTGCCAAACGCATCATCCCAAATGCTTTGAATATTGTTCGGATGTGTTCCTTTAGTATTTCACTCAGTCAATCTACTTGAATTCGTTATATTATATAAGCGCTATCAACGACTTCCTTTGCCCAACCCCCTTGACAATATCGAATTGGACGCTTATGTTTGCATTTCTGTTTGGGTTGTTTTTTTTTCATCCTAGAGTCTGGACTTGCGCTGCTCGAAAAAGACGCTTTTCCGGTATACCCCATGAATTTCTGTGCGGCAAGGCTTCATGTTTCCGCATTATTACAATTGCATATTTTTAGCATCGCCGATGCAAGTGGATCAGCGGTGTAGTGATAGGCAAGATATTGGAGTTTGAGAACTTTCTTTTTTTGCATAGCTATTGTCATTTTAACGGCTCATTTGACGAATGTACAACAAATACGAGTTTCGGGTTTTCTATATCGAGGCTTCAGCACTAGGATAATGCCAACTTGCACTTGTCATTTCTAACGATACCTACATCCTTAAAAATGTACTGTCGCCCAAAATGTACTCCTACTCATTACTATTAACGTATACCCTAAAAGTTTTCGCACAAGATATTTATTGCATTTTTTTTAATGACGAAATTTATTTAAACACTAACTAGTTATCATAAATTACAACTCAATGAGCCGTATTCATAAAACAAAGGATATCCTTGTATTTACTTGCAAATTTTGAAGGAAATCCTCCAGTTGGTATTTATAATAATAATTTGAAGTAAATGCTTTTGCTTTTTGAGTATAAGCATATCCTTCAAAGCTGTGACATAAGTAAAAGGATATTCATAATCTTCACCTTATATACTAAGTGACATATAAATCCGAACACCCAGTTTAAATAGTTTTATTTTAATAAAATTTTGTATAAGTACCTACTTAATCAGGTGGTCAATGTCCTCCTGTGGTATCTCATTCCAGGCAACCACCAACTCCTCTCGAAGTGCTTCTAGGGTCTGAGGAGGACGTTGCAAATTGAGCAATCTCCTACCCATCATATCCCACACGTGCTCAATTGGCGATAAGTCGGGAGATCTTGGTGGCCATGGTAACAATGTGACATCATTATGTTGAAAGAAGTCTATGGTGACTC